CGCCCACTCGCCCACAGAGCAGCACAAACCCACACCATCCCCCAAACGACCAGCAGAGATACAACGTATCACAACATCTCCCTCCAAGGTCAAGAGCGCGACAGACCGTCCCATGTCCGCATCGCCAGCCAAGCGCCCCGCCTCAGCCCAGTCAACCAACACCAGCGCTTCCTCCTCCCACCAGAAAAACCAACAGTCCGCGCTCGAAATCGCCATGAACGGGATCCTGAAACAAGCCCGCGAAGCCAACTCCCGCTCGTCCACAACCACCGACCCTACCGAATCCACCGACGACGCCCTCCACAAACGCCGTCGCCGGCCGCTTCTCGGCCGCGCTCCTTCGCACTCCTCCGTGCGCAGCACGGCAGCAGCAATCACAGCGGACCGCCCATCCCGCGCGAGCTCCATCGATACTCTCAACGAAGACGGCTACGGCAGTGCCGTCGACAGCGTCGCCACCGAAAGCAAGCTCCCGTCGCTCATCAACAGCGGGCAGTTCAACTTTGCCGACTCCGCCGGTGACCACGAGCTTCACGCGCCGCCGCAGAGCCAGTCCCCTCCGCCCATGACCCAGCTGGACTACGAGGATCCAGATGCGGTTGCCATGCGCGAGAAATTCCTCCGCGGTGCGGGTAAGGCGGTCGAGAAAAAGACTGCACCGGATGTGGACAGGCTCCAGGAGCTGGAGAACAGTGGGTGGGGAGCTGGAAGGAGGACTCGTGCGACCAATAGGGTGGTCGATGATGAGTTTTGATGGCAGCTTGCTGATTTTGCTTTCTCTTCTCTTGTCTTGTCAGTTTTTTTGTTGGTTCTAGCTCGTGTTTGTCTGCCTTGTCTGATATCAAGCCTGCTCGCTGGAAAGGGGAGAGAAGCAGGCGATGGATGGTTCATCCGTTTGTCTTTGATTGCTAACTATTTGATGGTGTCCATTGAGAACATTGCATGGCGGACGGCGTCTTCTCATTTACTATAACTATTCGTTGATCCCATGTCGGTTTTATTCGATAGTCTCCCGGCAATTTTGATATCTCCAATCTTCAGGTGACGATAAAATGAGTAGTATCTGTAGCTATATACTGGAAAAGACTCCGACGCCACGGCCAAAGGCGTCGATATGGCTGTTAGCTCCAAGTATTGTTATAATGATCTTGTCGATAACTAATCAGTCAGTAATCTATTGACGGGCGGAACAGACCAGTTTCATTCAATGCGGTATGCAATTTTATCAAGCTAGGTAGATACCGGAGTATCCTATTCTCATGCCATATACAGTGATACAAAGACAGGTACAGAAACCAATTTTGAGAGAAAAGGGGCTTTCACATTGCTATTGGGCTCACTAGGGATATACCTGGGAGCTGAGTAAAGACAACTCCCTAGGTATACATTCACATAAATTTGGGAAGGGTATTGTTAGGCGAAAAGGAAAGACAAGAACACAAAGGAAAGTAGTAGAGGAAACAGCTGTGCCCGGGGAATATTTCAAAAGTACAAAGCACAAACCAAAGTCGACATCGGAACCCCAATCTAGGTAGAATCAATCGTACATGCGTTATTAATTTTACAAAGCCAGCGCACACTCGTCGGTTTAGGCAGCGTGCGCCGCCATACCGCCGGGCAGCGGCGCGTCAAGGTCGATGTCCTCGACGGAGCGGCGGTTCTCGCCGCTGTCGCGGAAGAGATTGGCAAAGTATTTGCGCGCGGCGTCGCTCTCGTGCTTCGTCTTGCCGACTTCTTGCTTGCGTCTCCCGAGGTCCTCGACGTCCTGCGCCAGGCTGGCCTGGAGGTTGCCGGCGGGAAGACGGAGGATGCGGCGAACCTCCGCCGAAATTCGCGTGGCGTTGGTGTGCACGTAGTCCGTATCGGAGAGAGCCACGGCGAGCTTGCGTGACAGACGAGGGGGTAGAGTGGTGGGAATGGAAGAGAGCACGTAAGCGGTAGTGAGGACGGCTGAAAACATGATTAGTCGACATCGCAACATAATGCTATGAACAGGGAAACTTACCGGCAGCGACCACACCGGGCAGGAAGAGGCGTCGCACGTTTTTCGGACCGAGAACCTTGACGGCGCTAAACAGGCTGTCGATCCAACTGATGCCACCGAAGAGCCTGCCTCCTAAGACCGTCACCGCCGTCATGGCCACACCCGTTCCGGCCATCTTTTCTTGTTGCTCCCAGATACTGGACAGGTCAAAGAAATCCAAGAGCTCAACTTCCGTATCTACCTGGCGAGCCATCGTGTGACGGCGACCCCGGCGGAACATCATCTCAGAGCGGAAGTTGAGGGGTGGGAACTTGTCCTCTCCGACATGCAGCAGTCCGATGCTTTGGATGAATCCCACCCCCTGGGTGGTCTTCTCGCGGGCATAATCCTCACAGTCCGAGACCTTGGCAGAGATCCGGTCCAGCATGGCGGTCTTTAAATCTTCGGCGTACTGGAAGGCCGAAAACAGGCCGGGGTATTGAACACCCAGGTCGGCCTCGGAGACATGGGCGATGGTACGGGCAAGAGTGGACCGCGTGTGGTTGTAAACGTCGTCGGTCGAATTGTCGATACACTTTTCGACTTGCTCGCCGATCTCCAGCCTCCTCTTCTTGCCGTTCTCGTAAGCGGGTTCGAGCTCGGAGAGTTCTTGAGTGACACGGTCCAATTCACTCTGGGCCACGTCACGGTTGACCGCGGCCAACGAATTCAAGTCCGCCAGCAGGTTGAGAAGGTAAGTCCTGGCGGGGGCCAGTTTGGACCGCGAGCGCTTTTCCAAAACGAACCGCCGCAGTGAGCTCTCGAGTTCTTCGAAATCCTGAATCTTTTCCTTTTCCTTGCCTTTGCCCTTGTCTTTTCCTTTATCGTCGGGCTTGCCATCGTCGTCATCATCTCCGTGAGGATCGGAGCCACCACCGTCACCACCACCACCACCACCACCACCACCACCACCGGCGCCGACACTTTCTATCGCACCCGGGGGCGCCACAGGGATGGCATTGCTGGAGACAAAGTGGACCAGCTCGGCGGATTCCTTGTACGTCCGGGGGCTGAGCTTGCCGACCTGATCCAGAATCATCCGCTCGCAGCGTTGCTTATCGCGGATCTGGTCGAAGCCGTTGACAACGATGAACATGTAGGCCTTCTCGTGGGCGGCATTGTGGATGAACTCCTTAGCCGACAGGGTGAAGTGGTTGGCCGCCGAGACGACGAACACGACGACATCGATCTCCTCCTGTCGAGCAAACACCGCGGTGGTCTTCAGCGAGTCCGAGTTCAACCCAGGGGCGTCGATCAACGCGATATCCACCACGCCATTGTTGAGCAGCGACTCGTCGATCGTCCGCACGTCCTTGACGTACACCTTGCACTGCATGTACTTGGTGTTTTCGATCACGATATTTTCCAACTCATTCAGCGGATAGACGTCGTAAGTGCTCTCGTCATTGCGGCTGTAGTGTTGATCCTTATGCACGGCGTGCACTTCCTCGATCCCGCTGTTTTCGCGCGCATCCAACACCTCGCAGAAGATGCTGGTGCAGGGCTGCTGGTCCTCGGGGAGCACCTTGCGACGGAGCAGGGCATTGCAGAAGGTCGACTTCCCGGCGTTGAGATCTCCCGTGATCAGGACCTTACTCGAGGTGTCCTCGATACGATCGCGCAGCGAGAGCAGATGCTTGATACTCTGACTGACTTTCCCATCCAGCAGCGACGCGATCGAGCTCTTCTCCAGCGAATGCACCAGCTCCGCCTGCGACAGCGCGCCTAGCTTCAAGTCCAGCTTCAAGATAGAAAACTCCTGGGCGATCTGCGGGCTCATCAATCGCGGTTCCGGCGCCGGTCGACGCTCGGCGGTGGCACTGGACTCGGGCACGTCCTCGCCCGCGGCCATGGTGGCGGCACGTTTGATCTGACCGGGGCGGGGCAGATCCTGTTCCCTCTGCACCTGTAACTCCCCAAGGTCGGACGAGCGGTAGCGCATGGCGGGCCGTTGCGACGGGGAGGCGGGAGTGCTTTGTACGGCGGGATAGTGGGCAGGCCACTGACGGTTCATCTCCTGGAGTTCCTTGAGGGTCTCGATGGTGCGCGAGATCGAGCGTCCCAGCTTCGTGCGATTCGAATTGCTACAATCACGGGTTAGTCTGGCGCGGCGATGGGGAGGAAGGATTTCCGTCGACGCACTAGAGGAGTTGATGGACATGGCTGGCGACAACCTGGCGCTCGTGTTCGGCTGGATGATCGCACATGACGGTCAGTCTCTCTCTCTCTCTCTTTCTCTCAAACTCCACTTCCCCTCCTATCCCATTTGAACGTACCGGCCGGATTCCACTCGCCGGGATGTGTCGGCGTATGCACAGGGGTCGGTCGATCGACCATCAGATCGGATCTCCATCCGCTGGTCTCATCTCCATCCATGACACTGCTCCCTCCGTACCCCGAATCCTCATTCAGCGACGACATCAAGGCGGTGGCACTCTGCGACGTCGATCCATTCCCCACGGTCATATAGGCGGGCGGAGCTGTCGGATGGAAAGGGTACTCGGACGGGGGCGACGACGACGACGGCGATCCCTCTGGCGGATGTCTGGATGAACCTTCCCCAGCGGAAGATCCACCATTTCTCGAAAAGTATTCCTGACTCATGATCACGGAAGGTACATGAAGGGTGGTTGTTGTTGGGAGTTGATTGAGGGGGCGAACGAGGAGGGGAAGAAAAGTTGGAAGTTGGAAAGAGAAGTTCGATTTTCTTCGGGAAGGGTATTGATACGGGGATGGCCTGACCGTGTATGTCAGTTACGACCGTTTATAGCCTCAAGGGGAATAGCGTACGTATAATGGCCCCCATAATTACCTAGTTCTGTCATGTTAATTACTGGTAATACCAAAATAACCACAATACGGCCCGTTACTTATCGACCCCCGGCGGTTCCCGTCCCTTTTGATGTCACTGATAGCATCTCTCTCTCTCTCTCTCTCTCTCTCTTATTTCCCCCACAATACATATCCTCTCTCCATCATGAATGTAAGTCCCCCCCCTTGATTGATGGATTATCTGTCACTAATACTGGTAGATCGTCGAATGGGCCTTTGGGAAGCGCATGACGCCCGCGGAACGTCTGCGCAAGCATCAGCGAGCCCTCGATCGCACCCAGCGGGAACTTGACCGGGAACGTGTCAAGCTGGAGAATCAGGAGAAGAAGCTCGTCCAGGATATCAAGAAGAGTGCCAAGAATGGTCAGGTTGGCGCGTGTAAGATCCAGGCCAAGGACCTGGTGCGGACGAGACGGTACGTATAGTTCGGGAGTGGGGGACGACGTGGCTAATGACGAATGTTATCTATGATTTGATAGATATATCCAAAAGTTTTATCAGATGCGAACCCAACTACAGGCGATTTCGTTACGAATCCAGGTATACAACCATCATGCGGCGTCCATTCCGGTTTACTGTCTTGATACTGATTATGATTTCATTTCGTTGGTCCATAGACCGTCCGCAGCAATGAACAGATGATGCAGTCGATGAAAGGTGCCACCATGCTCCTGGGGAGTATGAACCGCCAGATGAACCTCCCCGCGCTGCAACGGATCGCTATGGAGTTCGAGCGCGAGAACGATGTGATGGATCAACGGCAGGAAATGATGGACGATGCGATTGATGAGGCAACGGGGATGGAGGGCGAGGAGGAGGAAGGTGAAGATATCGTCAAGGAAGTGCTGGATGAGATCGGTGTGAACCTCGGCCAAGATGTGCGTTTTCCTTTGCCACCTCAACCCCCCGCGTGGATGGGGGAGAAGATCTACGGTACTAACTGCGTGGATAGCTGAGCGAAGCCCCTACCGACATGCCAAAGACGGCAGTCAGCGAGGGCCGGGTGGCGGAGGCTGTTGGGGCTGGCGGGGCCAGCTCCCAGGATGACGACCTGCAGGCTAGACTGGACAGTCTGCGGCGGTGATACCACGATCGGAGTTAGTCTGCGCTTTTTTATCCTATTTGATTTTTTCGTCGCAGGATTCACGCTTTTCTTTCATGATTTTCTTTCATCTTCTTTTTATCCTTTCTCTATTATTTGTTTGCTGGAAGCCAAGTTTGCAAAGCTATTGTGCGTTTACGAATTTTGATGCTGTTTGGCTTTTTCTTTCTTTCTTTCTTTCTTTTTTTCTTTTTTTTTTTTTTTACCAAAATCCACTATCCTATCCGGCCTTAAAACCGTGGAAGCTAAATGTGGATTATAAACGTGAATATGGATCCATATTTGAAAGAAAACAAATCTAATGCTAGCAGTGGTGTAGAAAACCAGCTACAATCAACACCGCTCATGTGACATACGTACCTCTCTGGCAGGCCGGCCACTGACACCCAGGCCTAGTCGTCGTGAGGAGGATATGGGACACCGTCGTCAGGAGAATATGTGACATCATCGCGAGGAGGACATGGGACATCGTCGCGAGGAGGATATGTGACATCCTCGACCGGTGGCCGGTGAAATTCACCCTCGGGGTGAAATGCCCATTGACCAAACCACGACATGGCCTCCATCTCGGTGAGCGTGGGTCTCAACGGGGGATCCTTCTCGAACGTCATCCGCAGCATATCCGCGCAGTCCTGCGACAAGTCCTCGCGGATCGGCAGATCCTCGTTGATCAGGCGGTCCCGCCGAGCAAGTGCCTCGTCTACGCCCACAGTGGTGAGATAGAATTTGCGGAGTTCGTTTTGCTCTCGGCTCAAATTGGGGTTCCAGGCTCGATTCTCCCATGCCGCATACCCATGCAGCACCTCGTAGAAGATGCACACCAAATGCCACAGGTGAAAGCAGCGTGCATCGTGCGGTAACTTACAGTCGAAATTGAATTTACGGAGCCCCTCGAAATCCACCCCGTCGAGCAGCTTCGTGTGCTCCATAGCCTGCTCCGGGGTTAATTGATACTCCCGGAAGAAAATATGCCCGCTGATCTCGGCTTGGAAATCCACGTCGTCGAGTCCAAAGCTCAGCAGGCCGAGGTCGATGAGGTGCGTCTCCAGATCCTCCTGTATCATATAGTTATTATGAGACAGGTCTCCGTGCGACACGTTCATATCCCGGAGAGCGGCAAACCCCTCGAGCAACTGGGAGGCAACCTTGCACGACTGGATCTCGTTCAGCACGGGCCGTTTCTGGTCCATGAGAACTATCCCCGTCCGGCTCGGAAGGAGCCGCGCCGCCGCCTGGTCGTAGTCGGCCGGCAGAGGTTGGGTGAGATGCGCGACGCTATGGGCATCGTCGGCATAGCCCTCCATGATGGTCGACGAATATGAACCGCAGGAGTAGACCGAGTGTAGGGTCGGAAACCGTTCGCACTGATCTAGCAGGAGTAAAAGCAACGCTTCGCGGGGCACATACGGCAATTCCCCGGTGTCTTCGGCCAGACGGGTCATCTTGGGCGAGTCCCACTTTAGCCATGCCATCTGGTTGGTCTTCAGTCTTTCCATCTTGACGGCCCACAAATCGGACGGCATGAGCCGATGTCGCGCGCTGAATACACTGGCAAATGCTGTCGACCATGGCAGTCACCCCTCGTTAGCTGTCCGAACCGGAGCGTTGGCAGAGAAAGACCTACTTCCTGCTCCATAAAATCCTGTCCGGTCCCAGATATCCGTCAGATCCTCGCACGCTTTCCGCCATCGATCCCGCGTCTTGTCGGTTTCATTCGATGATAGCTCTAGGTCTTCCGCTTGCTTCTCGGAGTCGTCGGTCCTGATGCCCTTCGCATCAGCATGTGTGCACTGGGAGATCTTCGTATGGCCCCTCGCAATCATGGCGTCATGGAAGCGTCTGCGGACGATTCTATGGAGACGCGGGTAGGTTTGTGAGATGGGCTGGTCGGGATCGACGAGGAGATACATCACCGTAGCCAGAGCGTTCATCCATGGATATCCGTTTTGGTCCAAGCCATATATCGGGCGCCCATGGGCGTCTTGAAGGGGTGCTTCAGCCATGTTGTCAAGGCAAAAGCTGCGTGCGTACGGCGTTCAAAATTTGTCGTAGGTTAGAGGTCGTATTCCAGTCGTTGATTTGAGGAGTCTCCGGGTGGTCATCGAGGGTGCCTTATATGCGATTGCATCTTATCTTGAAGATATATGGAACCGTGTCTCGTCATATGCGACCTTCTTTTTATTCTTCGGCCAGACCAACGAAAGGGCTTTGTTTGTTGCCATTGTCCTGTCTCATAGTTAGTATTGATGGATGAAGCTTTTGTTTGTCTCTCACAAAGGCAAACCGTGCAGACAATCACCGACTTCTTTCTCTTTCTCCTGAGCTTTGTCTTTTTCTTTCACCTTTATCTTTCAAGTTTGTCTTTGTCTGTCTTCGTCTTTTGTCTCCACCTTTGTCTCCATCTTCATTGTCAGATTCCATTGCCATATCCCAGGAATGATGGAACCGACCTCAATCTCAATCGAATATGGACACCGTCATTGACTCTAGTAGAGCCTCATCCTCTCCAAATCTACGTGAGTCATCGAAAATCCACAGGGCGTCGTTCCATACTGACATTGCCCAAATAGGGACAGGAAATGACCGCATAATCCAATGCAGTATGCATGTCTATGGATTCTCATTGGAGGAAAAGCACGATGGATCAGAGATGATATCGAATGAGTGCCTGTCAGTCGCTCTTGGCTGCATGAGATCCCCACACCTCCCATCCCAATTAGCGTCGTCAACTCGACGCCCACCTCCCGGTGTTGCATGGGCAGTCCCGCTCATCGTCTGCAAGCAAAGAATGCTGGGTGATGTCGGTCGGCTGCACTGCGACAGAATCTGGCATACCTTAGCCTCCTGCAGCCAGTTGTGCTTATTCGTCATCCCTTTCGCGACGTGAGCCCGACTCGCGATGGAGGGCACTTACGTTGGCCCTAGTTGCATCGCCTCGCTCGGGGAACCAAGGCTCGGAGAGGAGTGTGCATGACGGGGCTCAAAATCGCAGTCTCTACCAATGATACAATCGAATAGAAGAAGGGGGGGAGGGAAAGAGAGAGGCAGAAAAAGAAAAGGAATATCAGCAAAAACCCGCCGAGCAGGGCAATTCTAGCCTCACTCTACATTGCCCGGGCTCAGCCACTGCGCCTCATCGATCCTCGTATTCTTGGAATCTGCTGCTCCCCTCGCCGCTGTTTTCTGCAATTCTTCTGTCTTCTGTTGTATCCACCCAAGTTCTGGGAATTCCACCTCCCCGTGTGGCTACCTGTTCGCCCTTGCCTAGGTCGACCAAGCTGCTCGGCATCTGCGGAGTACGACTGGGATCAAGAGGAGAATCCACCAGTCAGGGTCGTCGCAAAGACCCCTCGGGCGAGGGCTGGACCTGAGTTCAGTCACCAAATGTTCGCTAGTGAGATTCGGGGATGACGGTGGGCAAGGCAGAAGTGCAGGGGGGTTCGCGCCTTGAAACACTCAGACTGACGGCTTTTGCCCCGGCGGTTCACCCACTGATGGAATTCTGCCTGTAATCGAGGCCGACCACTGTCGTTACTAGTGGGGATTGTCTCCTAGCTTGTTCTGCTCTGGAGAAGTGGGACCCGAAACTATTTCTACCGTCTGCATCCCCCCCAATCGCTCTGTGCATCGATCGGTCTCAGATCTGCCTCCCGTCCCTTCAACCCTATCAAGTACTACGGTCCCCGCTTCACTGCCTCGTTCTTGCAAGATCTCTTGAAGGATCACTTGCCCACTATCGACAATTAGCAATTCCCCCGCGGGTCTGTGGAGTAGGAAGTTGGACCCCATGGCGGTCATCCACCCCAATATGATGCCGCCGGTGCCACCCTCTCACCACCCGCCTGCCACTCATGCCCCCTCCGACGAAATCCCCCGGGTCATCCATGACCCCCCGACGAGGCTGATCCATCCCGGGCATCTGGCCGACCAGATGGCCGACCAGATGGCCCGACTCCAGGTGAACCCAGATCGATTTGGCCCCGCAAAGGCCCCCAAATTCGAAGAGTTCCCGGCGTCTCCCAAAGGAGCGGACTCCATCGAGTACCGCGGATTCACCTTCTTCAAGGCTGACTCGACGCCTGGCAATCGGTCCACCTGGACGCATGCGGAGAATACCCCGATGCACCTGAGCCAGGCTGACCTGCTGCGCCTGGTGCACCGGCGGGCCAAACGGTTCGCGGCCACCGAGCAATACCAGTCCCTGTCCCGACTGAAGCGGGTCCACGTCGACCGGCTGATCGAGGAGCTGAAGAAGAGGGACCCCCAGTTCGAGTGGACCTGCGTCTACGTCAAGGAGGACGAGAAGGCCGTCAAGGGCAAGAACTCCCGTCGCGGGGATTACGAGACCGTCTCGCTGGACATCATCCTCATGAAAACGCCGTCCAGCGCACCGGGCTTCGCCAAGGGCCCCTTTGACCGACACGTGAGTTTCGGATCCCCGACCGCGAAGGAGCGCGTTCCGACCTCGGGCCATCCCCCGATCATCAACGTCGAACCGCGATCGATCCACCCGGGCCCGGAACGCGGGGGTCCTTGGACTGCGCCCGGGCCTGTGCATCCGGGACAGGGCCCCCCCGTGATCAACAACGGGCCCCAACCGGGACCCCAGTTTCCGCCCGCCCCGCAGGGTCGTCCGCCGACGGCCGCTCCCGCTCCACACGACCAGCAGATGCCCGGCGCGTGGCCTCCAGGGGCGCATCCCCCTAACGCGCATCCGCCACCGGACGGGCACGGGATGCCTCGAGGACACCCCGCAGACCCCAGAGACCTCGGGCCGGGGCCTATCATGGGAGGCCCGGATCCCAGGGCGCGAGAGATCCCGGCCGGCCCAGATGGACGGCCCCTGCAGCACATGCAACCACCGCAACATCTGCCACCCCATCAGCACACGCCGGCCCACCAACACATGCCTCCTCATCAACACATGCCTCCTCACCCGCAAATGCCACCCCATCAGCACATGCCATCCCATCAGCAAACGCCACCTCATCCGCAAATGCCACCCCATCAGCACATGCCATCCCATCAGCAAATGCCACCTCATCCGCAAATGCCATCCCATCAGCACATGCCGCACCCCCGGCACATGCCCCCCCAGCACATACCCCCCCAGCAACACATGCCCCCTGGATTGGAACAGATTCGCCGCGAGTTCGCCGCACCGACTCCCCACCCGGCCGCCCGAAGCGACGTTCCCATGGCGCCGCATGCCCCCCACGCCGCCCACGGGCGACCTCCGCATCCCGGGGCGTTTCCAGGGCTGGACGCGGAGGCGGAGTGGGGACCGGAGTCGAGCAGCGTGGAGGACGACGAGCCCGAGCTGCTGGACGCCGAAGATCTCAGCTCCGTGACGGATGGCTCGGACGAGGAGGACGAGTTGCACCCGCCGGAGGGGTGGCGGGGGAGCCTGTACCGGCGGCACTCGCCGGTCAAACCGGCCCCGCAGGCGCCGCGATACCGTACACACTACCGCAAGCAGCCCAGCAAGAGCCGGTCGGCGTCGAAGCAGGGGCGCCGACGCTACCCGGGGGGCGTTGTGGACGTGGTGCCGGCAGACAGCAAGCACGGGTCGCGGCGGACGGCCAAGGGGGGCAGCCGGGAGCTCCTGCCCCGACCAGCGCGACCGACGGTCATCCACGGGCCTGTTAGTTCCGATGACTTGGATCTAGCGCTGGTGGAGGACCCGTTCCGCGGGGGGCGGGCCCGGAACGACATTCGCACCCGCATCCTGGACGATCGCGAGGCGCGCATCGAGCGACGGGAGAAGATGATAGACTACCGGACGCGACTGCTGGACGACCGACTGAGCGAGCGGTTGGACGACCGACTGGACGAGCCCTCTTACCTGGGTCGTAGCATGTCCCTGCGCGAGCCGACGTCCTACCACCCGTCCCGACGATATAGCAGCTATCTCCCGGGGGGGCTACATTGAGTGCCCACTTTTTCCCACCCCCGTCCGGGAGACGGTGCTCCATGTTCTCATTTCTCCCCCATGTCTTCTTTTTTAATTTTAATTTTTTTCTTTTCCTGTCTCATCTCCGGCGTTCCGACCGGATTCTCTTCTCGTTCATTGGATCGCGGGGCGTCTGTGGGGGAGATTCTTTCCGAGGGTTGTAGGGTCTTTCCGGGAGACTTGTGGGGAACCCGGAACGATGGCGTCATAGGTTGGATATCATCTTTGAATCGGGGTAACATGAATGATCATGATGAAGCTGGATCTGACGGTCGACAAGATGTAATCTGTACGTGTAGTGAGTCGAGGCAGTCAGTAAGAAGGGGAAGAGGAAGAGGAAGAGAGAGAGAGAGAGAGAAGAGAAAGAGAAGAAAAGCTTATCGATAAGCGGACGATGGCTGCCTGAGGCACTGCTGCCCCGCCTCCCGTTTCGTCATTTAAATTCCTCCATTTCTCTTCTTCTTCTTCTCTCTCTCTCTTCATCTTCTCTTCACGTCAATCCTTCTGGTCATTCTCTATCCCCCCTACTCTATCCCAGTCTCCTTAGATTCATTCTCCAATACCGCCATCATGCCCCGCCAATTCTTCATCGGAGGTAACTTTAAGATGTACGCTTCCCCTCTTGAGAGACCAGAGATCAAGATCACGATCACGATCAAGATCAGAGATAGAATCAAAGATAGATCAGCCTCTCACATGGATTAGGAACGGCACTGCCGAGAGCATCACCTCCATCATCAACAACCTCAACTCCTCCCAGTTGGACAAGTCCTCCGAGGTCGTCATCTCCCCCCCCGCCCTCTACCTCACCCTGTCCCGCCAACTGGCCAACCCCAACATCGGCGTCGCCGCCCAGAACGTCTTCGACAAGCCCAACGGCGCCTTCACCGGCGAGATCTCCGTCGAGCAGCTGCGCGACACCAAGATCAACTGGGCCATTGTCGGTCACAGCGAGCGTCGTGTCATCCTGAAGGAGTCGGACGAGGTATGCCATACCCCAATCAACCGGAGATCAAGAGAGTATGTGGGATTCTCGGTACTAACCGAGAACAGTTCATTGCCCGCAAGGTCAAGGCCGCCGTCGACGGTGGCCTCGAGGTCATCTTCTGCATCGGTGAGACGCTTGAGGTAAGCCCCACTTTTTTCTCCCGAACGCTAGGCAAGGTTAGGGAGGGGTTGTTGAGACTAACGCCCGGTCTAGGAGCGGGAAGCCAACAAGACCATCGATGTCGTCACTCGCCAGCTGAACGCTGCCGCCAAGGAGCTCTCCAAGGACCAGTGGTCCAAGGTCGTCATTGCCTACGAGCCCGTCTGGTATGTTTTTTTTTTTCTTCTTTTCCCCTTCTTCTACTGCTCCTCCGTCTAACTCAATCAGGGCCATCGGCACCGGCAAGGTCGCTACCACCGAGCAGGCCCAGGAGGTCCACGCCGCCATCCGCAAGTGGCTTGCCGACGCCATCTCCCCCGAGGCCTCCGACAACGTCCGCGTCATCTACGGCGGCTCCGTCAGCGAGAAGAACTGCAAGGAGCTGGCCAAGCAGCCCGATGTCGATGGCTTCCTCGTCGGCGGTGCCAGCCTGAAGCCCGCCTTCGTCGACATCGTCAACGCCCGTCTGTAAGCGGCACGCCTTTTCACCTCCAAAAAGATACCACAAAACATATGAATATAAAACAAAAATAACGTCTACAAGAAACATTGCCGACCAGTCGCCTGCCGGGAGCAGGCACCGACTGTAGGATCTGACTGATCTGTCTGGTCAAATGTGATCTGCTCGATGGGACGTAGGATATAAATGAACGATACCAGCCCGTGCAATCTTTGCTGTTCTTCCATTTGATTTCCTAAGCCCTTATCCCTCGTAGATGAACCTATATACATATACATATACTTGTAATTCTTCTGGTGCACTTATCTATCAGCATATGGTCTATATAGTTGGTCAGTCGTACACGACTACTAAACACAATCACGATGAATACGACACCGACACCCCCACCCCCTTCCAGTACGACATCCCCGCCGCACCCCCCCGCCCGTCGTCCCGGACCCTCCCCCCGCCCCCGACAGCGAACCCCCTGCAAACGACCCGGGCCCCAGTCCCACGCCGGCACTCACCAACAACTCCTTGACCCGGCCTTCCCAGAGCACCCGCACATTCCACGACTGGTCGACGCGGATCTTGAGCACCGAGTCGCTTGCGTGGTCACTCTCGGCGTCCGTTGGGGGAGGAGGAGGAGGAGATGTAGTAGTGGTAGGCACCGACCCGGAGAGTAGAGCCGACGAGGGCCACTCGGTCATGCGTATCTTGCGACGTGCCCATGCGAGTCCGTCCTCGTCGCCATCGTCGTCGGTGATCTTCCGGCTGGAGCGACGCCAGAGTTCGCAGCCGGCGACCATCTCGCTTTCCCAGCTGTAGACGTTGAAGCCGAAACGGGAGCTGAAGGCGAGGTTGGGCGAGGCGCGCAGGGAGTAGGTCGTGGAGAGGGAGCCCGTGAGTGGCGTGAGGGAGAGGGTGATGGTGTAGGGGAAGGTGGAGATTGGGGAGGAGGCGTTCGGGGGAGATGTAGTGGTGGTGGTGGTGGAGGAGGAGCGGGAGGAGGAGGGGAGACCCTCGGTGGCGGCGGGGAGGGTGCTGAACCGGAGACCGGTGGACATGCCGATCAGGGAGGATACAGGCGAGTAGTACGCTTCGGCGCCGGCGGAGAGGAGCGACACGCGCTGGTCTGGCGGGAGAGACGGCGAGGCGCGCGGGTCGGGCCCAAAGTTCCACAGCCCGCGCCAGCCGAAGAGGGAGTTGTCCGTGCTGAAGAGGTACTCGTTGCTGTATTTGCCCGTGTCGTGGGAGAGCTGGGTGAGCAGGGAGGCCTGCGGGGCGGACTTGGAGAGTGGCGGTCCGCGCGTGGAGCAGACGGCCAGCGCCAGCTGCATGGTTGGGGAGATGCGACGGAGGAAGAGCGCGTTCAGCGTGGTCGGCGGGGGGAGGTGTAGCGTTGCGTGGAGCAGCGTCGGTTTCTGGCCCAAAGGTCCGTCGACCATGGCGGCGAGGGAGCTCCCGTCATGCTGGCTGTTGCTGCTGCTAGTCTTGAGATCGTCGAGGTCGACGGGTGCGACGGGGGGCTGGACCTGCCGGTAGCCCGGGGATAACTTCCGGAGCGGGATCAGGGCACTGCGGCTGGGTAGGTTGTCGAAGGGGACGGTGCTGTACAGGTAGGACACGGAGCCATCAATCACACCGACGGTGCCTAGGGTGTAACTAGTCGCGAAATTGGGGGTCGCGAGGGAGGAGAGGTGGACACGCAGTCGTTCGGGGGTGGAGAAGTCGAGGAGGGATTGCGCCGTGGCGGTGAGAGAGGCGTAGGAATTGTCGCGATTGCAGTCAGTGGCCTCCGTGAAGGCGAGCTGAATGTAGTCCATGAAGTCGAGCATGGTCAGGCTGATCGCGCATGGCGATTCGGCTGGGGAGGCGGATGGGGTGAGGTTATTCGCGTGACGGAGATGGAGATAGAGGATGGCCTGGAGAATCAGGCAAGCGGGCTGTGTTCCCGATCTGGTTAGCGCCTACATAAGTAGTCAGCGTAGAGTGTGTACACAGCATAAGAACTCTGTACCTGAGGCAGCCAGATGAGTCAGCGAGCGCACCAGATAAGCCCCGCGACAACGATAATCCGCCCGTTATCAGACAGAAAAAAAAAAGCAGAAAAAGATCATCGAGATCGATCTCCAACAGTCAACAGTCACCCAGGTTAACGATTCTCCCCTACCTCTCTCATACACAGCAAGATGCCTCGTTCTAAGCGCGCCAGAGTCGTCCACGAGACCAAGACGGCCAAGAAGTCCCACAAGGAGCAGACCCGTCGACTGTACGGCAATATCCGAGAATGTGTCGAGTCCTACGAGCACCTCTTTGTCTTTTCGGTCGATAATATGCGCAATACTTATTTGAAGGATGTGCGGGCGGAATTCGCGGATAGCCGGTATGTTTGTTACAATTGACACTAGAGGAGGAGAAGGAGGACCTGGTGGTGGGGGCACATTTGTGTGGCCGACTGGGAGAGACGGGAAAATATCAATCAAGAAGTGATAACTGACAAGAAGATGATAGCCTCTTCTTCGGCAAGACCAAGGTCATGGCCGTCGCCCTGGGTCACACGCCCGAGTCCGAGGCCGCCCCCAACCTGCACAAGATCGCTCCGCTGCTGGCCGGCGCCGTCGGCCTGCTCTTCACCAACCGCGACCCGGCCACCGTCACCGAGTACTTCGACAACTTCCGCCCTCAGGACTTTGCGCGCGCCGGCTCCGTCGCCACCCGCGACTTTGCCATCCCCAATGGCCTCGTCTACTCCCGCGCCGGCGAGGTCCCCGTCACGGACGACCAGCCCATCAGCCACACCATCGAGCCTGAGCTGCGGCGGTTGGGCGTCCCCACCCGGTTGGTCCAGGGGAAGGTCATGCTGCAGCTGACGGGTGACCAGGAGGCGGAGGGGTTCGCCGTCTGTCGGGAGGGCGAGGAGCTCGATTCGCGGCAGACGACCCTGTTGAAGATGTTTGGCGTCACCTCGTCCGAGTTCCACGTCGCCCTCAAGGCCCACTGGACGAGGGAGACGGGTGAGGTGGAGGTCTTGGAGGAGAAGGCTGGGATGGAGGTGGATGGGCAATGATTTATCTTCTTTTTTCCCTTTCTTTTACCCCCCTTTTGGATCTCTCTCTCTCTTTTTGTGATATCTTTCTGCTCCCCCGTATCAAAAAGTACCCTCGATTGTGGCTGCTGGGCATGGAGTTGGGTGTTGGCTTTTGTTTTACAGATCTCGAGTATTCCGTCGATTACGAGACCTACAGACTAGACCTACGTGGACAGCTACTCAAGCCTTCTTGTTCACGCATCTGATATACATACGAAGAACCTGGTCCGGTCATTGCGTTGGAAACCTTACCTGATCTCCTTACCTGCGCGCCGGGTCTCCCGGCCAGGACAACGTCTTGACTACCTAACGTACATACTTACCCTGTAAAGCCAAGGTGGCCAGGGATCATAACAAAACAAGGGAAGGATCGAAAGCAGTAGAAAACAGAAAATGAAAAAAAAGGTCACGCCAGCCGGATCCATCGCAAGATATACCGTCATTCACAGGGTCGACTACGCAATCCATGGTCGATCGCGTCGAGTCGAAAAAAAAAAAAAAAAAAAAACCATGGGAAAGGTCATCCCCGTCGATGCCTTACCCAGTGTCGTTTGAAGAACATTCAGTTAGAAATTACCCACCAACCCACCATGGAATGCCGAAAAAAAAGAAAACAGGGGATCAAGTAAAAAGAGTCAAGGGAAAAAGGAATCAAGTCCATCTCAGTATCTTCTCTTGGCACGGGGATCATCGTAGGCGTCGTCCTCGTGGTATCTCTTCCGTCCGTAGTCCTCGCGCCCGCCGTAGCGGTCACGGTCACGATCACGCTCGCGCTCCCGGTCTCGGTACCGGTAGCTGTCACGGTCGCGGTCGCGGTCGCGGGGACGGTCCAGGTCGCGCTCCCGGTCGTAGTCGCGGCGGTCGCGGTCCGCGAAGCTGTCCCGGGGTCGGACGGGCTCGCGGTTGCTGCCGGTGCCGGTGGCGCCGCGGTCGCGCTCGAACCGGCCTCGCCCACCCCCGGGGCCGGACGGCGCGTTGGGGGGGGCCTGTCCGCCAAAGCCGTTCCGGCCGCCTTGATATCCCACCCCGCCGCGCGGGCCAAATCCACGATCCCCACGGAAGCCGCCCTTGAATCCTCGGCCGCCGCCACCGAAGCCGCGGAACCCGCCGCCGTAGCCCCCGGGTCCAGACGGGGCGTTGAAGCCGCCGGGTCCGATCGGGCGGGACGGCATCGCCTTGGTATATCCACGACCACCGAGGCCGCCGCCAAACCGACGAGGCTTCCAGCCCTTGACCGTGCGACCACGCTCCACATCCACCACCACGCGGCGATCCTTGATCCGAATACCATCCGTCTCCTTGTAGGCGGCTGGACCAGAACAGAAAAAAATGTGTGTCAGCAAGATTGATCAACCGGGGCCTGAGGCATATCCCTCCGAGTGGACGATGCCATGACAGCGAGAGGTCTACCTTTCATATCCTTCTCCCGCTCGTAGACGATGAACGCATATCCGCGGTGCGCTTTCTTGGCGCCTTTCGGGGTGACATTATCCTTGACGATGCGGATCTAGAGAAGTTAGTCGGGATCGACCACGACTACGGAGCGCTCGTGATAGAGAGGGAGAGGGGAAGGAGGGGACATACCCGCTCAATCGGACCAAAGCGGCCAAACTCGCGCTCCAGATCCGCGTCCTTGACGTCGTAGCTCAGACGGGAGACGAACAGCGTCTTGAACGGGTCACCACGGGCCTGCGGGTCATGGCTGGGGTCAACTGCATCCTGTCAGCCACCGTCTTATCTCCTCCACACTGTCCTTGGAAAGCACCATCACATACACGCCTGGACACTCTCGGTCAACTGGTTTTGCAGGTTTTCCTTCTGCTCCTGCTTCTGGCGCCACTTGCGTTGGATCCAGCTCTCGGTCGGCGTGTAGGGGACCTCCTCCTCGTATTTCTTCACCTCGGGCAGGAACTGCGCGATCCCGCCGATCTGACTCTTCTTCACGTCCTCGGGGGCCCGATCCAGCGGCGTCACGTAGCGCAGGGGCGGGCGCGGCTGGAACAGGGCGAGCAGCGGAGGGGGGAGCTTGTCCGTCATTGTGCCCTCCACCGGCTGCACTGGAGGAGACTAGCGTTGAGAGAACAAAAATTAGAGGAAGAGAAAGGACAAAGTGACTAGTTCAACCGGGTCGACATGGAGCAGGATGAGACAGTTGGTCGAGATGGAAGCCGACGATGTTGTTCCGAATCGCGTCCAAACTGAGGTTGGAAATGCGCCTGTTGTCCCGTTTGGGTTAGTCCATTTTGGGTTAATCGCCTACCGCCACCCGCGCCAGCCGGGATAGACGCCGACCAATCACGGGACGCGTCTGCACCGTCGGCGAAAAGATTCCAAAGTTGCGGCCTGAATGACACGGCTTTCCTCCTCCATACATCACCACCGATCAATACCTTCAACATGCCGGTCCAAGGGATCAAGGCAGTGACTACTGCCCGGGTGAGACCCCTCGTTCCTGTGGACAGGATCCGACATGACTGACTCCCTCCAGAATGGCGTCGGCGCCTTCATCCTCCAATGCAAGCGACTGGACTTTCACTACTGCGACTGGGCCGGGAGCTCTCGGGGCATGGTGTACGTGCTATCTAACTGTCGGACAATGCTCCAGAGTCATATACTAACAAAAATTTATCCAGCGCCTTCCTGAAGCATAAACTCCCCGCCATCGCCAAGGAGAACCCCCAGATCGAGATCCGCGTCTCCCCCCGTCCGCACCGTCACCCCGTCATCAAGGGCCAGTACATCAACGGCCGCGAAAAGGCCATCTGCGTGCGCAACCTCGAGCCCGAGCAGATCGTCAACAAGGTCTCCCTGCTCAAGGAGGCTAGCGGCGAGAAGCTCAAGCGCATCAAGAAGCCCGTCTCCAGTATCAACGAGAGCGTCCGGGGGATCTGGTCGCCCTTCCACGGCGAGTACAAGGGCATCTAAACGCGAGCGGGTCTGGTGGGGGGATTGCCCGAGGGTGTTATTGGAGCGTTTATATCTTGTTTTTCTCTTCATTTTCTGTTTTCTTTATTCATGGTTGTCATGTATATTGGGTTTGCTGGTTTGAGGGTAGCGGCCAGAAGGCTGCTTCCGATGTACTATACAGAAATGTGGTTTCGCAATCTATACCATGATCAGTTACTACTATATATGGTATAAATACTAAATATGTATATTCTGATGTACCTGTGATCTACGGATATATCAAACAGTCCAGCCAAAAAGTAGTCATATAATAAACCGCTATGCTGAGATGCTATACCAAGAGATGGCCAAATCCGAAACCCACCCAAAAAATGCAATCAGGGTATACCGAGAGAAGAGGGACAACGCGAAGCCTTGCCGAACACCAGCGACACGCAAAAAAAAAAGAAAGAAGAAAGAAAGATCATAAGTAGACTTGAAACATCGACCGGGGCTGACTGACGGCTTTGCCACAGTTGTCCACTAGACACTTTGCGAACGGTTTGGTCTTGTGGGAGGCGGAATTCTTCTTCGCTTTCGACTGGGAGCGGTGGGTGGCACACTCCCCGCAATAGACCTGCACCGGTGTCAGTAGATGTCCTGATAGAGGGGAGAGAGGGGAGAGAAGGGCTCGACCAACATGTCCGCACTGTTTCACCACCCAGATCTGCTGCTTGATCTCACTGCCCACGCCCAGCTCCGCATCGCAGTTGGGACAGCACACCACATCCTCGTCGCCGACCGTCCGCGTGAACCCCTCGGGCACCGGACTCGGAGGTTTATACGCTCGGGCGGGCGGGGGATGGCGTTCCAGCTCCCTCGGGTTGACGTCCAGGTTGAGCGTCAGATCGACGGCCCCGTGGGAGGGGTCCCCGCCCATCCACAAAACATCATCCATTTGTGGCGGCGGTTGATGACGGGCGATTTCTCGCGCCCGCCGGGCGATCACTTGCGTAAGGATATCCCCCCGCGCCCTCTCGGGGAGCCGCGAGCTGTGGAAGCCCAACATCCGCAGCAGGCTGTTGCTCACCCCGAACGACTGCGGCGGCGGCGGCGGTGGCGGCGGACGACGGGCCGCACCGACGCGCCCATAAATTGCACCTCTGGGCTACTCGGTGGGTCATCTGGCGAGGTGATGGTGACTTCCGGCTCCTCCTCCTCCTCCTCCTCTTCTTCTGCCTCCAGATCGACCACGTCAACCCTCCGGTCTCGCCCCAGCCCGGGCGGCTGGGGGCGTCGGGTCTGCGGGGGCGAATCGGGCTCGTTCGTCAGGTCGATGACCCCGTCTCCGGGGGAGGGGTCCGATACGACCGGACGGCGAAAATCGAGACCATCGCCGGGGTAATGCAATCGGGGTGGTGAGGGACGGGGATTCTGGGGTACACCGGCACTGGACGGGCCGGGGGCGGATTGGCTGGATGACCGCCGGGAGGCCTGACTGTGACGCGAAGGCATTTCGGAAGCATGACGGGATCGCTATGAAGACCGATACGGTGTCAGTCCACGACCGAAGCATCATCGGGGACGGACAGGAGACTGACCTTTTTGGGGCGCGCGGCCACGAACTGCACGTCACTGGGATCCATCCGGGATGGGGACGATGAGGGGGCGACAGGACGCCAGAGGAACCGAGGGGCGGATGGCGATCAGAATCCGGGAAGAGGGACTGTGAGCGAGGGTCGGTCTCGACAGGCATGGACCGACCAGGGAACGTGGTTGAGGGATAGATGAAGATGGAGAGAAGTGAAGATGAAGAAAGACAAGAAAGAGAGAGACTTATCGATGTTATCGATTAGGATCTGACCGCCCGCCACTCACCTCATCCGACTAGAGTGGAGATCTCTACACGAAAGAAGTCCATGAAGAGCAAGACGACTCTGCTCTTGTCAGTCTCTGGATGGTGGATAGGATGGAGATGGATTCGGTTTTGTTCCTCTTTGTTAGGATTTCTTTATGTACGCTTTCATTAACGAGATGTTCCCCCAGGAATAGTAACGGCTAAAAATACAAAAAAAAAAAAAACACCAGGATGTGAGACCGCCTTCTTTCTTTCTTTCTTGCTGGCTTCTTTCATTCTATCGGTCTGTTCAATCGTCCGTCCGATCCTCCCATCGACTATGCAGCGCCCACCACCGTGAGGCCGCCCTCGCCGTTCAGCGCCACGATGCGCTGCGCGGCCGCACCCCAGGTCGCCGCCACAGCGGGCACGGCACTCCGCAGCGGTTCCGACCAGCTCTTGCTGCTCTTGGAGTACTGCTGCACCGTGACTCCGCTGGGACCACCGGCCAGCAGAAACTGGCCCGTGTAGTCCCAGCTGATCGAGTCCACCTGGCTGCCCGTGTCCAGCGCTTTGACCTCCTGCGAGTGTCGCAGATCCCAGATCGAGACCACCGTGGATCGGTCCGCCACCGAGGCGAGGAAGGTCCCATTTTCGGAAAAGAAGAGGGCCTTGACCGGACCGGACATGGTGTAGTTGGCGGCCGCGGTGCCCGTCTTGACGTCGAAGATCTTGATCTGGCCGTCGACGCCACCTGCGGCGATGAGATGTCCATCGGGATGGAACTGCACCGAGAGGAGAGCTAGATAAGGAATTGGTGTTAGCCAATACACACAAAAATAAAATCAAAAAGAGCGGAAGATCAAGGCAGCACGTACAGGCGTCGGTAAAGACCTGAGTCACGGCGGCATTCGTCGAGAGGTCGTACAGCACGTAGCTCTTGTCGGCACCCACCGACGCGACAATGTCGCCCGTCGCATGTGTCGCCAAGGCGGTTGCAGCGCCGGCGTGGGAGGTAAAGGCGGCCGTCCGCGTGCCGTTCTCGTAGACGGCGACGGCGCCCGTCGAGGAGGCCACCACGGCCTTGTCGCCCGCCCAGACCGCGGCGGTGACGGTCCCATCAGTCTGGAGGTTCTGCACCACTTGCTTCTGCGACAACGAGTAGATTCCGATCGCCCCCTCGGCCCCACCGATCAGGGCCAGGTCGCCCGACGCGTGCACCGCCAATGCCTTGGCGCCCGGCACCAGCGGCGCGGTGGTCTCCAGGGGTTTGTAGGCCGAGATCGAGTCGGCGGATGCCCAGCCCTCGGGGACTGCGCGCTTGCGGCGCGTTTTCGAGAGGCTGTCATCAATCACATCGTCAGTTATCACCATGCACCAGGAGAAGGGAACGGGGAATGACAAGGGGGTCACCTACGACGCCTGGGTACTCTCCACCCGGGCCAGGACGGCCTCGGGCAATCCCGCCGCATCCACCTGCATCGCCTCACCCCCGGCGGCGGCGCCGCGGCTGGCCCCAACCGAGACCTTGGACAGCGCATCCCGGGCCTCGTCCCGTTCCTGGGTGAGGCGGGCGATCACGCGGACGGCGGCGTCATGCTGATAGAGCGCGGTGCTCAACTCCTGTCGGGTCTGGGCCAGGGTCTGTCGCAGGGTATAGGTCTCCAAGGCGAGCGCATCCCATTCCTCTTGAAAGACGCTCAGCAAGGACGGAATGGAGGTCAAAGTGGGAGGTCGGGGTCGGACGACGCGCTGGGACTGGACCTGGATCAAGTCCTCGGTGGACAGCTCCTCCCCATTCACGGGATCCTTGCCATTCTCGGCGATGTAGGCTTCGATCAGTCGCTTCTCAAAGACGCTGCCTAATGAATCGTATCACAGGTCAGCGTCCATCTCTCTCTCTCCCTCTCTCTCTCAACGACCTTACCGCTCTTGGGGGAGACGACTGGCTCCTGGGGAGCCTCTCCGGAAACTGCAGAACATCAATGATCAGTAAGCGCCTCATCATCAATTCCCAAATTAACTTACTTGCACACAACATCGTTCTCCAAGGGGGAATTGAGGGTGGATGTGGCAGGAAGAGAGAGGTGGAAGACGAACGTGAAGCTGTCCAGCCTGAGTCTTTTCCACGCCTCCCGATCCGGTCTAGTGGCTGCCTTAGTCAGGCCGATCTCTCTTCATCTCCATCTTCCTCTTCCTACTTACCTACTCTCGTGCTATCTGATTCTTCTGTCCCTCCGAGTAAATTGCTTCTCTGGTGTCTATTATCCTATCCGGTCGTTATACCAGTGGTCCAGAGCATGAAGTCCTGAACCCCCGTCCATTGCGGCTCCCATGCGCTGCATTCTCCCCTGATCCCTCGATCGAGCCAACCCCAGGCACACACGTCCGTTCACCATGTCCTTCAAAGCCAAGGACCTGACATACGGTATGTGCGGCTCAACAGGAGAACGTCATGCGCCCCGTCGCTAAGAGAATCAGATTCCAAGGAACCGGCCTTCCTGCAGCGACTCAAGAACCAGTACGGAAACTCCACGGGACGCCTAGAGCGTCCGGCCGCTCGGCCGCGCTTGGCCAAACGGGATGACGAGGACGATGCGCCAACGTACGTCGATGAGGAGAGCAACGAGGTCCTGACCAAGGAGGAGTATGAGGCTCTCGTCCGAGGCGACGACCCCCAGAAGGCCGGAGAGGCGACCGATGGCGCCACCCCCCAGCAACGAGAGGAACCGTCCGTGGGGGACAATCCCACCGACACGGCACGCGCGACACCCAAGCAGAACGTGGTCGACGTCGGCGGTCCCAGGAAGCGGAAACAGGCCAAGGTGGTAGGGGAGGAGTCCTCCGCCGGGCGAGACCAGACGCCGCCCAAGGAGCTCGCATCCACCAAGCCCAAGGGGAAGAAGAAGAAAATCAAACTGTCTTTTGACGATGCGTAAACCCAGGCTTTTCTCACTATATTGTCTTTTCATCGTCGATATCACCTCGTAGGCCAGTCGACTGGGAAAGAGATCCCCGACGCGCCCGCCGAGTGGACTGTATGTAAACTGTAGATTGTAGACTGTAAACCCGGCGCATTAATAATCGTCGACCCCCAACGCCATCAGTCTCTTGGCCTTCATCCAGGAAATCCAAACCCATTAATAATTACGGGTCGTGGTGGATATATAACCCAAGAGGACCTGATTGTGCGGTGGTGCGACTGGCCTGAGGCTTCCCGACCATCTCCAACATTTTTCTCTCCCGCATCGCATTCATTTCTTCATCCACTTCTCTCTCTCTCTGTCCGAGAATTACACCCCCCAACCATGCCTGTGGTCAATGTGGATGACCTCGTCCGGTTACAACGGACCCCCGAGGACATTCGGAATGTAAGTGAGACTCTCTGTTCGTCTGCTGCCCCGCCGTGCGCCGTGGCCCCTCATCCGGTCGCTCCCCGCGGCGGGACGGCATTGATGTCATTGCCTCCGACGCCCACAGAAGAATCACCACCGTGGTCGCTAACTCGCTTGTCTAGATCTGTATTCTCGCACACGTCGTATGTAGGAATCCAAGAGCACCGTTGGAGGGGAATATTCACTCTAATCATCGCGAATGTTTAGGACCATGGCAAAACGTCCCTCACGGACAGCCTGATCGCCACTAATGGCATCATCTCCCCCAAGCTGGCGGGAAAGATCCGCTATCTGGACTCCCGGCCCGATGAGCAGCTGCGCGGCATCACCATGGAGTCGTCGGCGATCTCCCTGTTCTTCTCGATGATGCGCCGGTCGGCCCCCGACGCCGCCCCGGAGCCCCGCAAGTACCTGGTCAACCTGATCGACTCGCCGGGTCACATCGACTTCAGCAGTGAGGTGTCCACCGCGTCGCGACTCTGCGACGGCGCCATTGTCCTCGTCGACGCCGTCGAGGGCGTCTGCAGTCAGACCGTGACCGTGCTGCGCCAGACCTGGGTCGAGCAGCTGAAGCCCATCCTGGTCATCAACAAGATCGACCGCTTGGTCACCGAGCTCCAGATGAGTTCCGCCGAGGCCTACTCGCACATGGGCAAGATCCTCGAGCAGGTCAACGCCGTCATCGGCAGCTTCTACCAGGGGGAGCGCATGGAGGAGGATCTCCAGTGGCGCGAGCGCATGGAGGAGCGCATCAACACCACGGCGACCAAGGACAAGGATCGCCCCCAGCGACAGGCGCCCGACGACGAGTCGGTGGTGGGTAGCACGGATGGCCTGGAGTTTGAGGAGCTCGACGACGAGGGTCTCTACTTTGCCCCCGAGAAGAACAACGTCATCTTCTGCAGCGCGGTGGACGGCTGGGCCTTCACCATCCGCCAGTTTGCCGCCATCTACGAGAAGAAGCTGGGGATCAAGCGTTCGGTGCTGGAGAAGGTCCTCTGGGGCGATTTTTACCTCGATCCGAAGACGAAGCGCGTGCTCGGCCAGAAACATCTCAAGGGCCGGGCTCTGAAGCCCATGTTCGTCCAGCTGGTGTTGGACAGCATCTGGGCGGCCTACGAGGCGACCACGGGAGGTAGAACGGGGAAAGGGTACGTATCTCCCCCATTCACGGTGTTTTTTTCTTCCTTTCCTTTTTGGACGTGAGCACTCATCCATCCTAGCGACCCCGTCCTGCTGGAGAAGATCACCAAGTCCCTCGGCGTGACCATCCCCCCGTACGTTTTACGATCCCGCGACCCCCGCAACGTCATGACGACGCTGTTCTCCATGTGGCTGCCGCTGTCGACCGCGGTCCTGGTGTCGGTCATCGAGTACCTCCCGAGCCCCCCCGCCGCCCAGGCATCCCGCCTGCCGGCGCTGATAGAAGACTCGCCCGCGTCGGGCGTGGTCGCCCCCGCTGTGAAAGACGCCATGGTCCACTTCAAGACCGGCCCCGAAGCGCCCGTCGTGGCCTACGTCAGCAAGATGGTCGCCGTCCCAGAGAGTGAGCTCTCCTCGAGCAAGAAGCGCACCGAGAACACCATGTCGGCGGACGAGGCGCGAGAAATTGCCCGCCGGAAGCGCGACGAGATCGCGAAGCTACAGGCGGAGGCGGCCGGTGGCCAGCGGTCCGACGACGACTTCGAACGCATCACGTCCGCGTTCGAGCACGCATCGCTCAACAACGGCAGCGCCCCCGATGACGCCGAGGAAAAGGAGGATCCGGAGCACCTGATCGGCTTCGCCCGTCTCTACTCGGGGACGCTTTCCGTGGGCGACTCCGTCTACGTGCTCGGACCCAAATTCACCCCGGGGAACCCCCACGCCAGTCCCGAACCCCAGAAGGTCACCGTCACAGATCTCTACCTCCTCATGGGCCGCAGCCTGGAGCCCCTCCGGTCCGTCCCCGCGGGGGCGGTGTTCGGCATCGGGGGCCTGGCGGGCCACGTCCTCAAGACGGGGACGCTGTGCTCGCAGCTCGAGGGCGGCATCAACCTGGCGGGCGTGTCCATCAGCACCCCGCCCATCGTCCGGGTGTCCCTCGAGCCGGTCCACCCGGCCGACCTGGGCAAGATGGTCACCGGGCTGCGTCTACTGGAGCAGAGCGACCCGTGCGCGCAGTACGAGCTGCTGCCCAACGGCGAGCATGTGATCCTGACGGCCGGCGAATTGCATCTCGAGCGATGCCTCAAAGATCTCCGCGAGCGGTTCGCCCGCTGCGAGATCCACACCGGCCAGACCATCGTGCCCTACCGCGAGACCATCGTCAGCGCCCCGGAAATGCCGCCGCCGAAGCACCCCGAGCTCGGCCGCGGCGGCGTGGAGACGACCTCCGCGTCCAAGCTGCTCACCCTGCGCCTGCGGGTCGTGCCCCTCCCGACGGTGGTGACCGAGTTCTTCGCCAAGCACGTCGGCACCATCAAGCGACTGCAGTCGGCGCAGCGGGGCTCGGAGAGCGCGCCCTCGGTGGAGACCAGCGACGCCACCGACGAAGCGCGCGAAGGCAGCATCCTCTCCCTGCAAGACTTCCGGCGCGAACTCACCCGGATCTTCGATGAGGAGGAGGTGACGGGCGACAGGGAGCTTTGGCGGAACGTCGTGGACCGGATCACAGCCTTTGGACCGCGCCGGATTGGCCCGAATATCCTCGTCGATGCGACGACGGTGAACACCTGCGAAAAATTGTACGCATCTTCTTTTCCCTCCATTCCTTTTTGCTCCTCCTTTTTCTATCTTCAAGTGCCATTACTGATCAATCCCACAGCCTCCTCGACGACCCCAAGCAACAACCGACCCTCACAGCCGATACCAGCAGTCGCGATGCGCTCATCGTGCGCGATCTCAGCGACAAGATCGCCTATGCGTTCCAGCTAGCCACGGGACAGGGTCCGCTGTGCCAGGAGCCGATCCAAGGCACAGCCGTCTTCCTCGAAGAGCTCACCGTCCACGCGAGCGAAGGCGACGTCGACCTCGGCCGACTAACCGGCGAGGCCATCCGTCTCGTCCGCGAGAGCATCACGCAGGGATTCCTAGACTGGAGTCCGCGGATCATGCTGGCGATGTACAGCTGCGAGATTCAAGCGTCGAGTATGTCTCCCTCCTACAAACTATTCTTACTACTAGTCGTAAAAATGCGTCGTACGGTATCCAGAGCTAACCTCAAACAACAGCCGAAGTCCTCGGCCGCGTCTACGGCGTCATCACCCGGCGCCGAGGCCGCATCCTCTCGGAGACCATGAAAGAAGGCACCCCCTTCTTCTCAATCCTGGCCCTCCTCCCCGTGGCCGAATCCTTCGGCTTCGCCGACGAGATCCGCAAGCGCACCTCCGGCGCCGCCCAGCCGCAGCTGATCTTCGCGGGCTTTGAGGCCCTCGACGAGGACCCCTTCTGGGTGCCTGCCACCGAGGAAGAACTCGAGGATCTGGGTGAGTTGGCGGATCGCGAGAATGTCGCGAAGCGGTATATGGATGCTGTGCGGACGCGGAAGGGGCTGGTTGTGCAGGGGCGGAAGTTGGTGGATGCGGAGAAGCAGAAGACGTTGAAGAGGTAGTTTCTTTCTCTTTGTTTTGGTTACTGGGCCTGTGGGGAAAAGTTTATATATATATATACTATCTATCTTTTATAGATTCTTTTTGATCTTGTTGTTTTACGATGATTCTCAAAAATAGTACAAGTGAAATTTCATGTTGATTCTATGAACGTGTCCTTGGACTTTACACATTGAATCATGCAAGAACAATACAGATGTACCCCCCATGTATCAACATCTTCATCCACAAAGCGGAAATGAAGACTAGTAGAAGAGGGGTCGTGAGATGAGTAAAAGTATCCCACGCGAAACAGCCATCAACCTTCCTCCGTTGACAAACACAGCCAGACATGGGGAAAGTCAAGACCATGGATACTGGGGAGGTGAATACGAGCAAACAGTTGACTCTATTCTAGAAGTGGGAAGGGGGAGAGGGTGGAGTAGGTAGTATATTGATCTGTTTATGTACTGATGAGTAGTAACAGTGTGCTTGCACGGATTCAGTCCGTGTCTTGGGAATGCTGCGTCGTGGCTCTGGGAGTCTGTCGAGCGGTGTTTCGATTCCTGCACGTCAAGGCCTGCTCAAGGCTTGGTGAGGAACCGGCTTGCTGCGGAGATGGTTCCACGGCGGGACGCGGCGAGAGGCCGCTAAAAAGACACACGAGGTTCGCCCTGAGGGCGTCGTACTCCCTCATGGCGGTCTGGGGCCCAGGGGTCCGGGTTCCAAGGGTGTCTATCGGGATGATGATACGATACTCGCCAACGGTCGGGTCGTCCAGCAGGTAGGGTTGTCCAGTGTAGAAGAGAGCTTCTAACCGACATCACACTCAAAAGGGCCGCGCCACCTTCCGCAGCTCAGCCTGCCCCGTGACCGGATCTCTCATCTCCTTCCAGCTCACAGGGAACATCATATTGCCCGCCTCGCTGCGAGCCATGACGACGCCGAGGTCGTTCCGCGCCGTGGTCAGATAGTAGAAGCTCTGGTCGCCGAGGGAGATGACGGACCCGCGGACGATGTCGCCCACGCGGAACATCTCGTCGACGACGACGCGATCCTTCTCGACGGCCCGCACGTCCTCCTTGCGGATGAGAGCCTGGAACCGCAGCTCGTCGGCGCTGCTGTGATTCTCCGGGTTGGCCGCCACGCTGAGGATGGCCTCGACGTTGTCGTTGTCCGACGCGGCATTCGCCGACCGGGGCGCCGTCGCGGATTCGTCCAGCACGACCAGAATCGACACCGTCACCTGCCGCTTCTGCACCCGGGTCACGCGCGCCAGCACGATCGAATCGACGGCGGGGAGGGTGTTGTACTTCCGGGACGGCGGGGCGGAGGTCTTTTGACCCGTCGAAGCGGCGTTCCGCGAGACGGTCAGGGTGGACTTGGCTTGCGAGCCGGCATTGGCAGGGTCAAGGACGACGGGTCCCGCGATGGACGCGTAGACGTGAGCGTTCTGCACGTGCGTCCCCGGACCGGCCGCATAGGTGGTCACGGGGCCCAGACGCTGGCCGGGAATAGCCAGAGTGGGGAGGGAGCTGGCCATCTCAATTCTAGTAACTCAATGGTGGGGTGTGGACAAGAAAAAGGGAAGTGAGAGGAGGAGGGAGTGAAGATGAAGATGAAATGGAGAAACAGAAGGAAAAAAAGGTCGGGTCGGGAGTCGGGGCGACGTTTCGCCGAAGTGGAGTCACCTGATACTCTTATACTTTCCATACAATCTACAGAGTGTAGGATATATACAAGCCACGCGGATGAACAGCAGAAAAGGTACAGTTCGACCTCACGTATCAAGGATCGGCTCTAGCAACATACTGAAAAAGATTCATCTCAGGGACCGAGCGGCTCCCGAAAAAGCCACGGCCCGGCAAACCAACATCGACAGAACGATGCGTTCCGAGCACGCCGAATGCTCGCTGGTGGAAACATTAAGACACCGAATCAAATGCCCGCTGAACACCTGGAAAGAAGACAAAAGAGAACTACAGAAGGAAGGCGGGGGAAGGACAGAAGGGAGACATGAAGAAAAAGAGAGAGAAGCAGTGTCCGATCACGGACTGGAGAGAGAACGTGGATGGAGGCACGCCGGTCAGCCCTCGACCAGCGTCGGTCGCGGCCCACTCCCCAGGAATTCGAGGCATCGTCGAGCCAGCGCAATGACCTCACCCTCGCCGTCGTCGGCATCCTCCTCGTCCGACTCGATATTGCGGTCCGAGATCGACCGGACCATCTGCACCACGTCGTCCGACTTGGCGATGTACCCGATCAGCCGCTGGTCCTCCGACTCCAGCAGCTGCAGGAGCGTCCAGATGGCGATGTGCTGGAAGGTCGGGTCGCCACTGGCCAGGAAGCGCCGCAGGTAGCCGTGGATGCCACCGTTGGGATCCGCCCAATCGCGCACGAAGATAGTATAGTCTCCCACTAGATACTGTCAGTCGAGGGCCCCCCCCAGAAGGATGGGACGAGAATAGAGGTAGGGGTAGAATTAGATGGGGGAATACCTTTGGAGGAGAGGTTGCCCAGCGCCGCGGCACTGTTCCCTTGCACTTCGATGCTCTCCGACTCGGTCAGCGGGATCAAGACGTCGAACACGCCCAGGGTCAGCAGGTGCGGCTTGAGGTCATCGCTGAGGGCCAGCACGGCGATGGCGGCGGTCATCTCGGACTGCACGCTGAGGGGCACGCGCAGGACCAGGTCCTTGCACTTCTGGACGGCGCCCGCCTGGAGGACGAGCTCCTTGTTCCGGTCGGAGCTGGCGGCCAGGTTCCGCAGGGTCGAGATGGCGTGGCACTGGATCTCCTCGTTGTCGGTCGAGCCCAGCAGGTCGACCAGGGGCTTGAGGAAGCCGGCGTCGATGATGGGCGACTCGTTCAGCGGGTGAATGGAGATGTTGCGAATGCAGGCGACGGCGGAGAGGATGAGCGGCAGGTAGGAGGACTGGAGGAGGCGCAGGAGCGGCGGCAGGCCCTTGGCGCGGACGATCTCGAGCTGGTACTTCTCGTCGGAGGCCAGGTTGCGCAGGGCCAAGGCCGCCTGGCACTGCACCTTGGGGGTGGAGGAGTCCATCAGGTGGACGAGCGACTGGACCAGGCGCGACTCGGTCTGGGCCAAGCGCTTGCGGTTGGACGAGTCGACGGCGATGTTGCTGAGCGCGGTGGTGCAGTAGTACTGCACGTCGACGTCGGGGGAGGAGAGCAGCTGGACGAGGACGGGGATGGCGCCGGCATTGACGAGCTGCTGTCGGTTGTCATCTGTTTTTGTTAGCATCGACAAGATCAACCGATCAATAAACAGATAGATGAAAGGGGAGATACCAGAATGGGTCATGTTCAGGAGCGCCCCCGTGGCATTCCGCTGGACGCGCATGTCCTTGGACTTGGCCAGGCGGATGAGGGGCCCCAGGGCGCCCGACCGGGCGATCTTAGCCTTATTCTCCTCGTGGGTGGCCAGGTTGGTGATGCACCCGACGGCGTTGCACTGGACCTCGACGTTAGGCGACACCATCTGGCGGATCAGCGGCGCCAGCCCTCCGAGAGCGACAATCAACACCTTGTTATCCGCTGTGTTGGTCAGCCACGGTATTCCACGGATGTCCAATCGCGCGGGGAAGAGAGAGAGAGAGAGAGAGAGAGAGAGAGAGAGAGAGAGCGCCTACCATTGACGGCGAGGTTGCCCAGGGCGGCGCTGGCGGCCCGTTGGACTTCAATGTCGGAGCTCTGTAGGAGGAAGAGGATGGGTTCGAGGGTATCCCGATCGACATCGCGGACGTCTAGACACCACCGTTAACGATACAACCCCCGCAGGGTCCGGATCGCGAGGGTCGCCTACCTCGTTCTGTGATTTCGGCAAAGGTCAAGCTCGCACTCCGTTGGAGGTCGACGTTCTCCGAGTACACCAGGGTACTCAAGGCGCGCAGGGGTTCGCCGGAAAAGAAGTCGGTCTCGGTGCGCTATCGCAGAGGGGCGGTCAGTTTGACCTCGGCGCCGGGGTCGCGTGCGATCACTTACATTCTCCAAGTAGCCGAGTAGGTCGGAGACCGCTTCTCGCTCGTCATCGGCGAGGGTGGTCTCGTAGATGCCATCGCGCGAGCGACCGGCGATGGGACCCAGGCACGCCGTGATGTGGCACCAGCGGTCGACCGTCGAGAAGCACGACAGACATGTTTCGGCGAATCCGCTCATGCCGTCCGAGTTGGCGGTCCGTCGGACCAGCAGAACGGCCCCGCAAGTGTTGAAGGGGGAAGAGAGAGAGGAGGAACGATGGGCGGGGGGGCGGGGACGGTGCGAAGGAGGCGGAGACGACAGCCCAGGATGGCACCCTTTCAGGGGGGAGTTTTTTATATGATTTTGTCTTTTTTCGAAATCAAAATTTCTTTTGATTTTTTGTCAGATGGATTGAGTTCTCTCCCCGCTGATGAAACCGTCTGGGAAGCGCGTCTGGACGGCGCTTGGTTGGGTGAGGATGGAGGAAGATCTTTTCTGACGTTCTTCAGCGTCGGAGGAAGGAAGAAGCGGAGGAGCGAGGGCCACGATGGCGCAACCGAATCAGGGACGGGCGGGATCGGATAGACGGCGCAATGCAAGGCAGATGATGTGAGGGGATGACTGGGATTGGCGATGGGGGGGAGGCTCTGCAATCCACCCAGCGAGCAACGGGCAACACAAGGCCCCGGCGCGTGATGATGATTAGTGCCCTCTTTTGACCCAGGTTGGGGGATGGATGTCCTTCTGTAGTCCCTTTTCTCTTTCCAATATGGGAAAAGAGGTGGGAAAAGATGAGGGTCAGGGAAGAAGGAGAGGTTGGGAAGATAGAGACGAGAGAAGAGAAGAGACAAAGAGGAGGAAGTGGAAGTGGAAGTGAAGTCGAAGGGAAATGACGGTGATGGGGATGGGCCTCAGGCTCTCCTTCCTAATCCGGTTTAGTGTCTCAGCTCCCCAGATAGGCCGATAGAGATAGCTACTTGATACAGGAGGTACAGGAAAAATAATCGAACAATAGCTCTGGTGGCATGAGAGACAGATGGTGATGAAGTCTGAGAGATATAGCCCGTACGTAAGTTGACCGATTGAGGTTATGGACAGACAGTTGATAATTGGTACATACACGGATCTATATGTCGATATATATGCTGCTAGATAAACAAGGACCAGATCCATTCCACTACACCCATAGATAACAATCCTCTTTAACTCCCCTGACAGACCAGTGCCTGACACCCCCAGAATGACCTGCTAATCCAACCATGACCTGACCACCGTCGTGTCTGGAGTGGCCACGGTGAAGCTCTCCATCCCATGACGTCTTTGATGCCTCAGGTGTCTATACCTGCTCATGATATCCCGTCACTGGTCCTCTCCCCTCGCCCGGATAGTCGCCTCTAGAGAATAGAACCCCGTATCATACCGTCATGACCGATCTCATATAATTGATGTGCTGACACATCGGATCCTTGGGACAACATGGTGGAAGAAGAGACCAAGGGAAAGAGGGGGAGGGGAGCCCGTCACCGGACCCGGGACGCTTGGCTGTTCTTAATATAGCATGGGATATGCGACCAGGGTCAACTAGAGACTAGAGAAGACAAAGGGGAGAGCCCTGATTCCTTTGTTTTCATTCTCTCGGATCCATTCCCCAGGTTCATTCCCCAGGTTCATCCCCACGACGGGGGTGGTTCACGTGAGCTGCGCGCACGAGTCTGGAGATGTCCTCCAGTGGACTCCGCCATGGGGGTGAGATCATCTTGCCAATCGAGATAGGCACTCCCGGTGACGGGTTATCTGTAAGACAGTAGAGTCAATAGAGGAGGTATGCTGTCGAGTCGATATCGACGAGAGTATATCCTATATAGAGTATAGAATAGATAAGAAGATCAGGCCACTGCCCGTCTTCACCGCCTGCCCAGCTCATCTTCTCCACTCGTCTCTCTCAGCCATCCAAGTCAACTGCATGAACCGAACCTCAAAAGACTCCCCTCCTTCCTCCAATAATCAACGGTTTCTCTTCCACCTTGATTGCCTCTGGCCACAGCTGAGTCACCGGCGTTTTTTCCCACCATCTTTTGGACCAGTCGGTGCGCTTTCTGGACCTCCCCCCGCCGTCCGGTCACCTGGTCACGCCGTCAACCTCAAGTCGCCTCCAACACCAGCGGAAACCACCACCGCAACGGTCACCGGGACGCTTACACGATCGTGGATTTCTGGGAATCATCACCTCGTTCTATATTGCATCCAGTCTAATCGCACGACCTCCCTCGACGGGCCACCACCGTTGTACACCGTCTTCCCGGGACCAACACGCCCCGTTCACTCGGGCTGACCGCCCTCCTCCGTTCATTCCTCCGCCCGACCGTGCGCCACCCCCAGGGTTCCGCCCGCTCCCTCGCCCGGCTACCACTCTTTCCCCCCCCCCGGGTCTACGACGGCGACGAGACGATCGACGAACTGGAAAACGACACCGAGACGTTCACCGGGTGACAACTATTCCCCGACACCATCGAGTCGAGAGACAACTCAAAGAGATCGGGGAGATCCGCGCTCCCCCCCCCCCCCCTCTCGTGACTCGCCGGAAGACGGAGAAGAAGGAGACAGGAGCGGACGAGGAAGAAGTAAGAAGAAAGACGAGGAAGAAGACGCAAACGGGATCATGACCCAGTCAGACTCGCGGCCGACGCCCGAGGCCACCCCGGCCGAATCGCGCGAACTGGACTCGACCGACGCCCCGGCCTCCAGCGCCCGCACGAAACAAGGAGCCACCATTCGCTTTTTCCCCTACCAAGATTCGCCCCAAAGTCCCCGTCCCTCCCTCCCCTTCATCCCCCTGTCTCGGACCCTCCCCTCCGACAGCTGCGTCATCCGCGTCGGTCGCTACTCCGAACGCGATGGCCACCCCGTCGCCAACCCCCCCGGTCTGTCCGATGCCCCCGTCGGCTTCAAGTCCAAGGTCGTCAGTCGGAAACACTGCGAGTTCCTCTACATGAACGGCCAGTGGCACGTCAAGGACGTCGGCAGCTCCTCGGGCACCTTTCTGAACCACATGCGGCTCAGTCAGCCCAACACGGCCTCTCGCCTGTATCCCGTCAAGGATGGGGACATCGTCCAGCTGGGTATCGACTACCGCGGTGGCGAGGAGATGATCTACCGCTGCGTGCGCATCCGCGTCGAGTGCAATCGGGCCTGGCAACGCCAGCCCAACAAGTTCAAGTACGCCCGGTCCTTCCGTGCCCTTATGACCCGTGACCATCGCTGACCGTTGTCTTTTGGTCTGGTGTAGCAAAAATACCGAGACCCTGATCCAGAATCTCGGCAAGGGCGATGCCGCGAATTATGAAGGATGTCGCGAGTGTTCCATCTGCCTGGGCTCGGTTTTGGTTCGTTCGACCCCCGTCCCATCCCGGAAAGGTACTAACCCGGACAGCGACCCTACCAGTGCTTGTTTATGGCGGCGTGTGCTCACGTGTGGCATTACAAATGCGTTAGCCGCCTGATCCACACGCCCGATTACCCCATGTTCCAGTGCCCCAATTGTCGCGCCTACACCGACCTCAGCGCCGAGGTCGACGACACCAACGAGTCCGAGAAGGACGAGAGGGAGGGGATCGACGTCCCGCCGGCCGCCGCCCCGGCCGATCCTCAGCCGGAGTCGGCGCGGGTGACCCCGAGTCCGGAAGCGTTCCCGGCGGGTGATCCGCCGGCGGAGGACCCGTCGCAGATCGCCGAGGCGGATGGGGGTTCCCACCCGACCCCACCGCCGGCGGCCGGACTGGCGGACACCGTCGAGAACATGCACCTCCATGATCCCGAGGGCGCGCCCGACGGGGGAGCCCTGGGTCCGACGGAGACCGCCGTCTCGACGACCCCGGAACCCCCGCGGTCCGTCCGATCGTCGCCGGCCACCACCAACACCGACTCGGGGGCCCCCGCCCTCCCCGTCGATGTCCCGGGCTGGCAGACGCTGGGCCCGGCGCCCAGCGTCCTGGCGTGTCGACCGGCTCAACTCCGCGCCGACACCCCCGTGCGATCCGAATCGTCCGATGACAACGTCATGACCCCGGAGAACGACTCGGGCATCTTGGCGCTGGACGGGCGGGCGGGCATGTCGTGACCGGTCTAGCATCCACCATCGCATTGCATGATCTGCATGATCGTCGGATGTGCTTCCGTGTCTTGGAATATACCCTTTGGAAGCGTTGGCATTTTGTTTCTCTCTCTCTCTCTCTCTCTTTCCGTGTCAGTGACCCCTGCCGTCTGCATCTGAGAATCGTCCATGTTGAACATGGATCTGCGACGTGTTAGCACTTGGTCTGTGGTGAGATCGGTCTCTGCTCGTTGTGCTTGATTCTGTTTCCATGTCTGTTCTTCGGCTTTCCTGTTCTTCCTTGTTTCTTTCCCATTCCCGTTCGTGACCGCTTAGCGCTTGATCTGGAGCATGTACATAGGCGTCCCATACGAATTTAATGAACAACCGGCATTCTCCTTGGCAAGTCCTGTGTCTCGTGGGTGACGATGGTGGCTGACGTATCCGTATCATCCATGTCTCCATCCCGCCAATGGAATCATCTTTTCTCGTCATGATAACCCCACTTGTGCATCACCCTGTTGGGATGTCTGGTGCTGACAGACCTGATCCGACAGTTATTTATTTCTGACGTGCCTCTGCCAGTCAGGACCGAATTGATCTTCCCTGCGTACATTCCAATAAAAGCCACCCACCACTCAATCAATATCAACCCAAACCCTCCAAATGGGCATCATCGCAGTCGCCGGCGGCACCGGCAGTGTCGGCCGCACCATCGTCGACGCCCTCGTCGCGCGCGCCACCCACAAAGTCATCATCCTCTCTCGCACAGTCTGCACCCACTTGATCCTCCTCCCTGCTCTCAAGCCCCACGACTAACTCTAGCAACACTCCAGGATCGTCCCCCCCAAGACGGCGTCTCATTGCAACCCGTCAACTACCAGGACGTGGACGCCACCGCGCGCGCCCTCGAAGCCGCCTCCATCGACACCGTCATCTGCGCCTTCGGAATCGACAACCAGGCTGTCCAGGACACGCAGCTCAAGCTGATAAAAGCGGCGGACCGCTCAGCCTGCACGCGCCGCTTTGTCGTCAGTAGCTTCGACCTGCTGTATAAGGAAGAGTATGCACCTTTTCCTCCTTTTTCTTTCCCTCGACCTTGGTTGCACGATAGTGCTCAAACAGAATAGACACGTGCCGCTCCTACCCTGGGCGCAATGGGCGCTGGACACGGACCGCGCCATCGCGCAGACAGGTCTCCACTACACGCGGATCGTGTCCGGCCCGTTCCTCGACTACTACGGCGTACCGCACTGGAAGTCGTACCTGAAACCGTTTGTCAACGCCGTCAATGTCGGCGCCAAGTGGGCTGCGATCCCCGGGGACGGCACCACGCCCGTCAGCTTCGTCACGAGTCAGGACATGGCGCGGCTGGTCGCGCGGCTGATGGACGAGGACGGCGCGCGCTGGCCGCGGGTGGCCGGCATTGCCGGGCAGACGAGGTCGTTCGGTGAGATCTTGGCCATCGCGGAGAGGGTGCGCGGGGGGAAGTTCTCTGTCGTGTATAATTCGTTGGATCGGCTGCGCAGTGGTCATATCTCGTTTCCGGATTTCGTGGAGACCGGGTTGGAGGAGCCCGACCCGTCGAACGAGTGGATCTTTGCTACCTTTAATTATCTTTCTGCTACGGGGAACTATTTCGTTCAGACGGAGGAGACGCTCGATGCGCGGTTCCCTGAGGTCCGCATCACGACGGCGGAGGAGGTGATTGAGGAGTCGTGGGGAGGTCGTTGATGGGTATCAGGTTTCTAGCCTACGTCTATCCCAAAGTCTTGTCTATTCTTCTCCCCGAGTACATGTTAATCATAAAAAAATAACTATCTTGAGGGCATCAATCATATCAAGCCCGACCAAAGGTCGTTCGGTATTTTGGCGCAGTGGCTGGGATAAAAACCCCAAAAAGAAACATATATATAAAGAACACACACAACCATGGTATCAAACAAACAATCGATAATCTTCGCAATTGCCCGAGAAGCCCTGCTTCTCCCACTGGTACATTCCACTGTCGTAGCCACCAGCCTACACCGTACCGTCGCTCTCCTTGCACCCGCAGCCACAGGTCGGGATAGGCCGCAGGGAGAGACGACTTATGCTTCGTGGATTTCAACCGAGTCTCACGGAGAAGCCTTGAAGTCCTTGGATTGCCCTGTAGCCTGATGGATGGAATAATCGTGACTGGAGTTGACTCGTTGCTCTTTATATAGCTTTCTGGGCCATGCTCCCCGGCCCCGCCGACGATCGACAAGAAGACGCAGACGAGGCATTCCATGACTCCTCAAGCAGCGCAAAGACCGTGAGAACGTTGCCGTCTTTGTTCCATACTCTACCTCCACAGTGGCAGGACAAAGAGCTAGCGAACGTGTGAGGTTGTACGTCATCCCGGATGTGATCCTATTTGATCGGGGGGTCTCTGCTGACGGACGATACACTCGACCTTTATCTCGATGGGCAGTAGCACAGAATGGCCGAGGCTTTTAGGGCCTATAGAAGGGTCCATCACAGTCTCCCCGATCTTTTCATTAGCGATGGCAAGGCCGCTTTAGGTTTGGGACCGATGCTCTTGGCCGCTGTACGCCCTAACCCTTCGTATCAATCGCGCTACGGTGGCAGTTAGGGGTTCATTCAGCCGGATCATCTGATGGACGCGGTATGGACGCATAGGTTATGTAGCGTTATCATGATTCTTTGTGCTGGACGCCTGACGCCCTGCCAATGGTATCCCGTCAGATCATGGATAGTTGGCTGAAGGTGGACAGAAGAATCCGAAACCATCATGACCGCCTCAGACGGCCCGCGGGGTCGATAATTGATAGTACGTCGGAGTTGCGACTTCCATACTTAGAAAATCGAGTCAAGAGCAAAGCCCAACAGGCAAATCGACTCAGTACCACTCAAGTTCTGGTATGCCGACCTGGAGGGCAACCCTAATCGTCCCCACGGCGATCATCGCTAACCACGACTGGTTCCCCGTTCAAACCCACTGGGTGGGTAGGTCTAGGGAGCACGGACCACGGCGCGTCTTCAAATCCATGCCGCTGTGGGTCTAGGATCCTCCCGTGGTCATTCAATGTGGCATCCGGCACTTGGTGGGAGATAGATGTATACCTACTCCGTCGATTCGGAGTGGCATGCTGGTTGTTGCGCTGGTTTGACCATGCTATCTGTTTGAGCACCGCTATTCTGCTGATCGAGATATGGTCTGCGGAATGAATGGCAGGTGAAACTCGACGAAAGGTTGACCGTCTGACCGTGACACACACACCTGTGAAGGGTGTTTATTCCTGGAGACCATATGGGGTACTGTGGCCCAGTGAGAGACCACTTCCCGTCGCTGATATCAAGATGACGAGGATCCACTAGCCTGTACGGTGGATGAGTTGAGGTAGACATCTCCGCGAGGGGAGAAATGGACAGAGATCCTCAGTGTTATTCACGTACCGCCACATTACTTTGACATCGAGGTGAGCATCATACACAAGCCAATCTGGGGTAATCGCTGTCCAGTCTGAACTCCGAAAGAGTCTTTGATGCGTTTGTCTTGGCTGCATGGTGGTTACATCGAACAATCGCCTGTGCAACCAAATTAGCCTATAAAACAGCCCGACTGATGAACCCCATGCCTCGACATACCAATGGACACTTCACAGGGTAGAAGTTGAACGGACCAGAGGTTTTGATTCCCGGCGGACGGCCGAGTCAATGTGGTGGGGATAGACCTGCTGTATTGGACGGAAGATTATATCCACGAAACGCGCATTGAGAAGACGACAATTCCGTCTCTGTATATGAAGGGTAGTATGACGCATGGTCCCGTCTCTATCACCAGAAATTGGTTGTTTCAAGTTTATCAGCCGAGAAAGAAACCTCGTCGAGACGGAACCGGGATGATCCCGGTCTATAAGCAACCTTGTGGCTGAGGAAGATGAACGCCACGCAACCAACCACCAAGCAAACGGTGAGATAGCAAACAAAGCAACAGGGGCAGTCAAAAGTCATGGCATGGAAACCCTCCCCCCGATAGTCATCCACTATGAGCCATGCACCCCTCGCTACGAAACACCTGGACGCCCGCCGTCAACGTCGTGACATGGTTTCTCCTGGCCACGGCCATCCTCAGTGTCCTGACACGACTGGGAACTAAATACTGGATCTTTCGGAAGTGGACCGTCGATGATGGGCTGGCACTGGGTTCCTTGGTACGAACGTTGAGAAGCGGTCCTCTTGACGACTCGAGCTGACGTGTGATATTGGTGTTCAGATCTTCTGCGCTGGCCAGTCCCTCGCCGTCTCCATGGCCACCGCCAATGGATACGGCCAGCGGTTTGATACGTTGTCAGCGACGGGCATCGATGGGATGATGAAGGTGAGTGCATCGCCATTCCATAATCCGACCGGTTCCTGATCTCCCCTCGCAACGGGCGAGGCCCACAGTCGCAATATGCTGCAACCCTCCTCTGCATCCCCAGTATGGGTCTGTCCAAGCTGGCCCTCATCCGTTTCATCCAAGACCTGACGCCCGCTGCTGCGGACCGTCGCGTCGCCGTTTGGCTGCACGCCTTAGTCGTCGTCTGGGCTGCTGTCGGGGTTGTCTCCGCCGCCTTGCAGTGCCGTGTGCCGCGTCCCTGGGACTACGTCCATGGGGAGTGCTTTGATCGGGTATGCACCGTCCCTGGGGATGATAGCTATAGTGACTAACCGGGGGAGAGTTGTACAGATGGCCTGGTGGCAGTACCTGGGAGTTACCAACATCCTCTCCGAGGGAGGCATCATCGCGCAGGCGATGATGGTCATCGTCAAGATCCAGACCCATGGGAGGAAGAAAGCTGTCCTGGGGGCTGTGTTTACGCTGCGTATTGTGTCCGTCTTCTCACGCTACCCTGGCCTTTTATCTTCTGTTCTTCCATTCTAATACTGCCGTCTAGGGTCATCGTCGCCATCCTTATCCAACTGATCTACGCCTCCAAAACTGCCCATAGCACGGACGTGACCTTCGACACCTGGCCCGTCGCGGTCGCCACGCAATTGACCCAGTGCCTCAGCATTGTGACAGCGTGTTCGCCGCAGTTCAAGCCCTTCCTCGACAGTCTCCGGTCGACGGGAATGAGCTTGGAGGGGAAATCCCGCCATGGGAGCTCGCAGAAGGGCTATGGTTCACAGACCTCCACCCGTTTTCGTCGCGGCATCTCTCAGAGTGAGGCCCATGAGCTTATGCCACTCCCACTGCGGGGCACCAGCCAGACTATCGTGTCGACGGCGGGGATCTCGCCCGACTCGGACGCAGAGAGCCAAGGAAGCCAGTCTCGGATCATTCGGGAGGTGCGAACCTGGACGATCACCGAGGCCCCGGCGGGTCAATAGAAGAATGCTGGAAGACTCTGGGTTGGATTGGGTTGGCATTGGAGGGTGGTGTGATGGGCAACTAATTTCCCGATATTGCGGCGCAGAGTGATTGTAGATTAATAACCACAGGGATGGCAATATTATTCCTACCAGGAGATGAGTGGCATCAGTTTATAGGGTCGTCGGGAGGCCACCGAGGAAAATATCGGGCAAACGATGAGCGTTCGTCGACATCAGGTAATATAAGATCCTAGACATTCTTTCGGAGGTTGCAGCCGGAGTGGATTTCAGAGGGGACTATGCAGGGATCGAGAACAAACCCTGACTGCATCTGCAAGTCAGAATCGACAATTCTGAGACGTCAATTTCGTCCAGACCAGTCTCCGTCTCGGCATGCAGGGATAGCCTCGAGGTTTAATCGCCGCGGTTTGCTCGTTTCCGTTGGTCGTGCAACGGCAGTCTCTCCCTTGTGATCCCGTCTGTGGCGTTACTGGGACCGTTTGTTTTTTCTTCTGATCTTTCATTCATTGTGTCTCTTCTCTCTCGTCCCTCTTTCGGTTCGATCCTTTGATACTATCCGCCACGTGCTGTCATACCCATCCAGTATGGACTCCTCTTGGAAGCAGCAGGATCCCTTGACCGTCGAGGTTGAGGGCCAGTCCTCGCGCAAGGAGTATGACGATGTGAATCTGGCCCGGCTCGGGAAACGCCCGGTTCTAAAGGTGAGAACGATTCGATCATGCACGGGGAAGTGATTATGTGGCTCATATGTGTAGCGGAACTTCGGCCTCATGTCCATGCTGGGATTCAGCTGTACGATTCTCATCACCTGGGAGGGTATTGTTGTGTAGGTCTCCTGTTCCATGATGGACTAGATCTTCGGAGAATGGACAGAGTTAACGGACGGTAGACTTTTTCTCCAGGCATATCAGAAGTAGGGTCAGCCCAGGCGTGCACGAAAATGCTAAACTAATCGTCCTCCAGTGGTGGGCCAGCGGGCGCAGTCTATGGCTTCTTGTTCGTCTGGTCCGGTGTAACGGCGAGCTTCGTCGTCCTCTCCGAACTGGTCTCGATGGCGCCAACGTCGGGCGGCCAGTATCACTGGTGCTCCATGATGGCCCCGCCCGGCGCCATGAAACTCTGCAGTTACCTGACAGGTGGGTCCGACACGGATGGTAGAATGGTGAAGGCCGAGTCGAGACTAACGGACCAGGTTGGCTCACCGTCATCGGATGGCAAGCTACTTACGCGACTTCATGCTACCTGTGCGGTACGCTGATCCAGGGCTTGATCGTGCTCACCAACCCGAGCTACGTACCCCAAGCCTGGCATGGGACGCTGCTCTTCTGGGCCGTAAATGCGTTTTCAATTGGCATCAATAGCGGCGGAGGTAAACTGCTCCCGCGGTTCGAGGGCCTGATCCTGATCCTCCACGTCCTGGGGTTCTTCGCCATATTGATCCCCGTGACGTACATGGCCGACCACGGCACGGCCACGGAAGTGTTCACCCAGTTCTTGAACCTGGGCGAGTGGCCCTCGCAGGGTCTGTCATTCTTTGTCGGTATCATGGGATGCGTGTTTGCATTCGTCGGTGGTGATGCTGCCGTCCATGTACGTCTCCGCCCCCCTATGCGCTCGTGCCTGTATCTAATCGGTGAACGTGCGGTAGATGTCGGAGGAGATCTCAAACGCCTCCGTCGCGGTGCCCCGATCCATCATGCTGAGCGTCCTTATCAACGGATCGCTGGGATTTGCCATGCTGATCGCCGTGCTGTTCTGCGTCGGCGATATTGACGCCGCCCTCGAGTCGCCCACGGGCTACCCTTTCATGCACATCTTTCTGCAGGCGACAGGCTCCATCCCAGGGACCGCGGTGATGTGCTCCATCATTACGGTCATGGGAATCTGTACCTCTGTGGGCATGCTGGCATCGGCCTCCCGCCAGTTTTGGTCGTTCTCCCGCGATCGGGGCATCCCGGGCTGGCGATTATGGAGCAAGGTGCGTTTCCTCAGCCCGTCGCTTCTCTCCCCTAATTGATGCCATCTGCACATCGCAGATCACACTGACGCATAGCAGGTCACCCCCAAATCCGCCATTCCCATCTACTCGGTCATCCTGACCACTACGGTGGCCTGCCTCCTGGCCCTGATCAACATCGGCTCGTCGGTGGCCTTCAACGACCTGGTATCCATGTCGATCTCCGGACTGTATCTGTCTTACATGGTTGTGACTGTCTTGCTGCTGTACCGCCGCTGCACCGGCGGTATCGTCAGTGCCCGTGGCAGCCACGCGGCCGTGATCAACACCGCGGGCGCCCAGCTCGTCTGGGGACCGTTCCACCTGCGCGGTGTGCCTGGCATCCTGGTCAACGTGTACGCCATGGTGTTCATGACCATCGCGGTGTTCTTTAGCTTCTGGCCGCCGCAGAAGAACGTGACGGTCGACACGATGAATTTCAGTGTTGTGGGGACAGTAGGAGTGATCGTGTTGAGCTTGTTGTATTATTATCTCCGGGCACGGCGGACCTACGCCGGCCCGTTGGTGGAGATCTAGATGTAGCTATGGGTCTCTAGATGTACAGGTCTGATCATCAATCCACATATCCCATCATTCGAGTCAATCGCATTACCGCTGGTAGAATGGCTGCTGGGGCAGTCCGGGCACTGGCTCCCCGAGCACCAAGGTCTCATATCCGATCATGATGCGGGTTCCGGGACCGAGAAAATTTGTCGCCTCCTCTGAAAATTGCATGTCATAAGTATAGACACCGATCGTGCCCTGGGGGTGAGAGCTTACCTTTGCAAGCCTCAACCACCTCTGCCTCCCCCATGGTCTTGGCGTAGTCCTCTACGCGCTCCACCCACAACTCAGCCACTCCATCGAAATCTAGGGCGGGGGTTCCCACTACAGCTGCCATGGACTGAAGTTCAGGAACGGCATGGTACTGCTGGATATTAGCCTGTCTTCATTCTATTTCACACCTTGGGTCAGTAAAGGACAGACAGACCTGCGTGTATCGTTTGGCGATCTGCTTGAAGCCAGGGATTTTCAGAGCAAAATCGGCGTGCGTCGTTTCCCAAAATTCATGGAAGGCTTCAGGAGTCATATCCTCCTTGCGCTTGAGGAACAGGGAGATCCGGATATAGGGCTGTCGGGACATGGTTGCTGTAAGATGGCTACGCCCTTTTCGACCAAGGAGAACAGATTTGTGTGTTTGGCGAAGGACAAGAAAATGAACACTGGAATCCCCTGCGAAATGAGGAGAGCCTTTTATTACCCCTCGTTTCTTCAAGCCTCCTCCACGCTCTAGTGCTTGGAAGCCAGTGGAATTGTTCACTGTGACAGGCTGGGGAGCCATGCTAACGATAGCTATTAGCTACCGTTGGTTTGGGCTGAGTTGGAAGGCGACGATCGCCCCACTAGAACTGGCATTGTTACGCTGGATTGGTGGGCTGATGCTGGTGACGATTTCTATTCCTTATCTTTTCAGTGTGGAGCCATCGTCCATGTATTTCGAGCCGTCTGGCTCGTCCTTCACGCCGTCTTCTACCACCCCGTCCACCTAAAGGAAGAGAATCGATAAATGCACGCACGACGTATGACCCCTCAAAATATAATCAGGAATACCGATCTGTTCTAGACATCCAGGTGACTGCCCTTATATCGGGAGTAAGTCTCTGACCATGTATAGTTGGCGAAGCAAACATATCAGGACGCCAGCATTGGATATCCACACGCGTCAGCCGGAAACCGCAGTAATCGGAGCACCCTTGGGTCCGTGCTCGTTTCCAAGTACATACAGATCGCGACACACTCGCTGCGAATGCGACATTCGACCCAAGGCTTCCACTGCGAGAAATGACACATGAGGCCCATCCAGTGTGCCACGATGAGCAACGCCGGTGGGTCACGCTGGCGCAATAATGCCAGGAAATTCGGCTCCAGGCGTCCAACCCACATTTTGCATTGATCGGCGGCGCGTGCGGATTTTTCGAGCTTCATTATTACCGCCAAAACCCGCAGTGGGCTATGGTATGGACTTGTCTCCTTCGTCGTGCAATCGTCGATCTCACACAGATCCGCCAGTTCTGTATCAAGACCAGCCCGTCCCTGTTGGACTTGATTGCTGTAGATTTGGAACTCTTCTTTGTGGGTATCCTTGAATGCAGGCGCCCAGATACTTCCGGAGAGAGAGGGACCTGCCAGGGACGTGATACATCGTAACCCGCTTTGCAGGCAGAGCCAGTTCATGTCCTCCGGTCGGTTGGTTAGGACCCAAGAATCCGTCGGAGAGAAGCGCTCGGGGCAGAGACTCATCACTCCCATCAGGATGCAGGTCGACAGCAGCGCGTCGACATTTTCCCGCGTGACGGAGGAGCACAGCGCGGCCTGGTAACGGTGGATTGCCTGCTGCCATAAATACGACTCTACGAGAGAGCACCTCTCGTTTCCGGGCGACACGCGGTTCAGGTGCAGAATGCCTACAGCGAGGACGGTATACATCAAGTAGGGGCTCTCTTGGGGAATCAGTGTATTTCCAAGTAAAATTGGGAAGAACCTCGATCCTCACCGCAAATGCCACCCGGATCATGTCCGTGTTCAGGACCCTGCGGAGCGACGGATGACCCACTGTCTCAGTCGAGTAATTGACAAAATGTTGGAAGGCCACCAAACTGAGCGACCGAGCATTTCTCGTTCGTTCGAGGGGGGAGGAGCTCCACTTCATATCTGTCTCCAACGCCTGGAGCACCATGCTCTCCATATCTTTTAGCGAAAGGGAGAAGGCGACGCCTGTCCATTGATTGATGGATGTTGCGCTGGCCAGTGCGTTACTCCGATCTGGTTTCCTGTCCGGGGCATAGCTACAAGGTATAGCGCGTTTTTGGCATCGTTGACAGCCGGGGCGAGTCTCATCGCACTAGCCACGAGGGTCAACTGGGTCTCACTGGGTCTATCAGAATATCAAACCTTGACGTGTCGCTTCTTACACGCGAGGCAGCCTGTCCTGGACTTGTTGTGGGGACGTCGGGCATGATAAGGAGCCTCTTGCGTCAGAGGAACGGAGATTTGGAACACGATTTGACCGGACTCGTATTGAGTCAGGGCCATGGGGAATTCGATGTCGATCGATGAACTGGTGGATAGGTAGTGCTGGGTGTGGATGAGGATGGGATATGGCAACGGTGTTCGAACGACATTATCCTCAGCCTCGCGCTCGGGCATGCTGACCAATGATATAATACACCATCGCGCCATATGATACTAGTTTCTACTAGTTCAGTAAAGGAGTATGTTAGCCTGCAACCATGCGAGTCAACATGATAGCATAGCATGATCGCCGCTGTACGCGATGGATGGCCAGGTGCGCCGTATATCCACCTCCTAATAACACCAGTTCCTCACCTATTTAGTCCATCCAGACAAGCATCTGACAGCTGGACCTGATGGACGACAGACCTGAACTTGGGATATGGTCTAAGTCTAGGAGTGTGTGGAGGAAGTGACTGGAATTGACAAGACTAATAAGATTGCCGTGATAGCAAGAGGTGTAGAGAAGAACTTGAAGATAGAAGAAAAACAGAAGTCCACTGCCCAGTCAGGTGACAGGCCACCTGATCCCTCGTCACGCCAGAAAAATTCTCCAGCTCTTCACACTTCTTCCTCAAAACTCATCCGACGGTGACCATCGTCGCTAGGTTCAGACTCTGCACCATGGCGAGCACGGCCAGTCCACTGATGAGTATCTCTTCCTTCAGCGCGTCCGACATCTCCCCGACGACCTCGAACGACCCAACCTCGGATGTTGAAAAGAGTTTATTTCGAAAGCGACAGAGGACCTGGCTCCCCGGATCCACCAGCTGGAAATCGCCCGTGACAGCTCCATCCGATTCCCACCTGAGCATTGACTGGGTCTCTGGACTCTGGAACCGGTAAGTTCGCGACCAGAGGCTGTGACGCTCCAGGCGGACCTTGGTGCCATCGATGACTAGGGTCACCTCGACGCTGGTCAACTTGAAGGATGCGCTACTTCGCCGCGCCATTTCACCGGAGTTGGGTTGTAGATGGACCATCTGCATCTGGGGGACCTCGCGAGACACCCGCACGCGGTATAAAGGGGTACGGTCGTCGGAATCCAGGAGGTTGAGGTACTTCTCCTGGTAATGGACGTGGATCATCTGGATAGGAACCATGGCTTTGATGGAAAGAGGAGGGTGTAACGGTTTGTTTGGGCAGAAGAGAGGGTGCAAATTCGTGTTGGATGCCCATGTCCACACCGGCAGCCATCCCAGGGTATTTATGTTCAACCCATTGCTCTACACAATTGATGATCTCAGTACAAAGAGATGACTGTTGAATCTTCCGGAAGTGATCAATGGTAGGTGAAAGATGCTAGTCCCCCCAGCCGAACTAATATAATCCTGCGTTCTCATACGCCCGTTCGCGAACAAGCCAATCAGAATGTCAACGGTGTTGGGGGCGAGGCGCAGTCATCCACTTTCAGCTCCTACAGACAACTTGCAACATGGAGAAAACAGATTCTCGATAGGAGATTATGGTCAATGTCCCCCAATAGCTCCGGTGGACCCAAACGCGACATGGCTGACCAGACTCAAAAGCCCCGACGGCGAGCAGGAGCAGGGTGTCGCACTTGCCGGTAAACAGTCCAGTATCCCATAACTATAGTATCCTGAACTTGGATTAACCAATGGGAATAGGATCCGCCGCGTCAAATGCGACCAAAGTCGTCCTACCTGTCACCGCTGTCACTCGACTGGTCGAGAGTGTGATGGCTACGAAGTCACAAACATTTATCCTTCAATGGGTCAGACGAAGCGATATTTACAACCCAAACCATCATCTGCACTGACGTCCTCGGTCAGGGAACCGTTGGATTTGTCTCTGGAGGAGCTAGAGGCTTTTCATTTCTTCCGCCGAAACTCTGCACACGAGATCTCCAATGGTTTCCCTTCAAATTTGTGGGAAAGGATAATCCTCCAGATGACCCACCAGGAGCCTTCGATCCGTCATGCAGTGGTGGCGGTTGGGTCACTGCATTGGAGGTATCGGGGGATGATTGGGACCAAGGGCAGCAGCGGCGGAATGCAATGGAGCCAGGAATTTCCCATTCGACAATATATCAAGGCGCTTCGTCATCTTCGACAGCGGCTGTCCAGGGCGCACGACCCACTGGCAGCTCCAGTAGCCCTGATAGCCTGCCTGCTGTTCATGTGCCTGGAGATGCTGCAGGGAAACCGCATGGGAGCTGTAGGACACCTGCGGACGGGACTTCAGATCCTCGCCGGAATCCCCTCTTTATTCGCAAGCCACGACCACCAACTGCCCCATCGGTATCTTTATCTCCAGTCCAACCTTTCGACCAACCTGTTGCATCAGGTGGCCGCCCAATTTGCCAGCCTTGACTTGGAAGCCACTATGTTTGGGGAACGCTCGCCTGTCCTGCATTTGGCGGCACAAGAGGTCGAGATGGGCGATAGAGTGGCCCTTCCGGCCGCGTTTTCGAGTGTAGATGAAGCTCGGATTTACCTCGAGATCCTGTCAAACCGTCTACTCTATCTTCGAGGGGAGCTCCTTCAACTCGCCGAAAAACACCTGCACCGCCGTGATGTCGGATGGGTGGTCAGGCACTGCCAACAGCATGCGCTGGTACGAAGTATCGACCTCACGGATCGCCCGAACCTCTTGGACCATGTGGCACAGCTACAGACCCACCTCGCCGCCTGGCTTGTGGCCTTCCGCAATCTAACTATGAATCCGCTCTATGGATGCTCACGCGCGACGATGCTGCTCGAGATGCGTCAATTCTCCATGGCCTTCGTCGCAGCCACTCTCCGCGATACCCAGGAGGTCCGCTGCGATCAGTTCAACCCCCAGTTCCGGCGGATGATCTTCATCGCCCGCCGATTTGCTCACAACCTCATTACCGCACAGCCTAGCATGACGTTCACTCTCGTCTCGGGCGGGATCCACTGTCTTTATATTGTAGCCACCAAATGTCGGGATCCCATGACGCGGAGGGAGGCAATCATGTTGTTGCGTCAGATACCCTGCCAAGAGGGAATGTGGGATGGCCCGCTGATGGCTCGATTTGCGGAACAGCTGGTGGAATGGGAGGAGAGCATGGCCCAAGTCATCGCGGGCAGGCGAGTTCAGACACCAGAAGATGTGCCCGAAGCGGCCCGAGTTACGGATGCTGTGCTGGTGGGAATGGACCGTCCAGGCCGTGGCAGACTGGTATGTGCCCGGCACTTGCACGAGACGACGGGAGAGTTGCTTTTAATGGAGCGAGAGTTCATCTTATGATTGCATTAAGTGGTTTGCTTCACCAAATGAGACTAAAAGTCCGCCACTGATACCTCGGACCTGGGGACACCAAAGCGCAGTGACACAGCCCCACAGATAGATCGCATGATAATGACGGGGCTGAGTGTGAGAGAGTGGTGAAAGATAGGCCCTCTCCTATCGCAGAATTCTAAACCATTTTAGCGGGGAGAAGAAGTCATTGGTCGTCATTCCCATCCGACGCTGGCAATCAGACCAACCACGGAGTTTTGATATCGGGGATCACCATGTGGGGAAGTGCTCTCAATTCTGCCTATGAATACCTCATTGATCTATCAGATGTATTTGTATTATGAACCAGCCTGACCGAGGTAGGAGGCCTTTCGAACGCAATGTGACCATGGACATTCGCTATGGTGGAACGACCTTCGAACGATACATCAAGATACAATCCTATCTATCGTCCAAGACCCCATCGCCCACAAAATCTGGTATGATTCAAATATCTATGTACTTTCTACCAAACAAAGATCCCCTAGTCTATTCTCTTTCGAGAAGCACTACACGACTGGCATAATCCGACTTTAGAGAATACTGCAGCCCGAGATTCATCAAGGTCGCCCCCGTATATGTCGAATTGCTATCCACCCGGTAGGTGGCCTTCGCATCCAACCCCTGCAGTCGAAGCCACGGCACAGCATGATTAATGAGAGCGCGCAGCTGGAAAATAAAGAGGACTGCCTGTGAGCCGTCCTCGGATATGAATAGCGCCGAGGGCCAGTTGGACTCCTCGGGAAGACGCAGTCGCCACAAATCTCCGGTCAGAATGATCGGATTCACCTTCTCCGCCAACGCGATGAGCCCCGGTAACGCGGCGCGCTCTTCTTCGTGCAGTTCCTCCGGGTGTAGCTCTAGACCGAACGAGCCGCCCATCATGGCAACGTGGGCGCGAAACTCAACCGGCACGCTGCGTCCGGTCTGCTGGTTGGGAACGGCCGATATGTGGGCACCCATAGCGCTCGGCGGATAGGCCAGCGACGTACCCATTTGGATGGCAACGCGTTCCGCACCGTCCGTGTTGTCCGATGTCCAGATCTGCGGGAAATACTGTAATACCCCCGGGTCAAACCGGCCACCGCCGGATGCGCAGCCCTCCCACAGGACGTCGGGGAAACGCGACGTCAGCGTGTCGAACACGCGGTACATGCCCAGCATGTACTGGTGATCCGCGCTGGGAGAGGAAGCTTCGTGCATCCCGCGGTTGTGGTCCCACTTGACGTAGGAAATCTCGGCGCTGCGGAGAAGGGTGCTGACCGTGTCGATGATGAAGTCTTGGACCTCGCGCAGCCCCACGTTGAGCACCAACTGATTACGTTCAAGGGTGCGGGGATATGACCCTGCATGGAGGACCCAGTCAGGATGCTCGTGGTAGAGCACGGAGTCGGGGTTGACCATCTCTGGTTCAACCCAGATGCCGAAACGCAGGGGGGTTGACGTATTGGCCGCTTTCAACGCCGTGACCTGGTCAACCAGCGGCTTGAGGCCATCCGGGAATCGCTCCCGGTTGGGCTGCCAGTCGCCTAGTCCGGCGTTGTCGGAAAGTCGGGGGTACTTGTTGCCAAACCAACCGTCGTCCATGACGAAAAGTTTAGCCCCCAACGCCGCGGACTCTTTCGCCAAGTCATAGATGCTGCTCTGGTTGTAGTTGAAACTTAGCCCTTCCCAGCTATTTAGTAGCACAGGACGCTCGCTCGTGCTGAACTGGCTGCGCATCAAATGTTTTCGATAGAGTCGGTGCAGCGAGCGAGACATTCCCCCGATGCCGTCAGGCGAGTACACGGCCACACACTCGGGCGATGTGAGCGTCTCCCCGGGTCCGAGTCGCCAGGAGAGCTGGCTGGGGTTGAAGCCCAATAGCGCCCGGGTGAATCCTTGAGAGCCCTTCTCGACATCCACCGAGAAGGAACCCGTGTAAACTAGAGAAAAACCCCAAGCCTCCCCTTGGGACTCTGTGGTGGAAGGGTGCACGAGCGAGACAAAGGGGTTGTGAAGATGGGAGGAGAAGCCGGTACTGCTTCCGAACCTATTTATGCTTTGTCAACCATTTGCCTTTTTCGATGACTCGAATATGTATCAACTCACCCTTGCACGCCGTACTCCACCGTTCGCCTCTCTCTCTGAGCCTCCCTTGCCCAGTCACCTCGGAGACTGATCATGTCCAGGTCTTCGAAGGGCAGATCCACGCTTAAACTGGACAGGGCTTCGACGGTAATATCCCCCTCGCCCTTGTTGGTGACGCTCACACTGCGCACAATCGCATCGTGCCGGGGGAAGATGGAGTAGGACAGATTCGCCGCTACGGCACTGTGATCATCGTACAGATGCACAATCAAAGTCGTTACGTCCTGTTCGTCCCCAAAGGTGGCCGGCAACCCGGGTAGTGCAGGCTTGCCGGGAACCACGGTGTGCGACTGATACTGCAAGTTGGAGATGGTATAACCTGGCGACTGGCGAATGCGCACCGCGGGAATGCGAAAGTCGCCGCGTCCTTGGTCGGGGAACTCCCGGCGCACCCGACCGGACGTTCCCACCCAACCGCTGACCTGGGGTTCGACGGCGGTCGGTATGGCGCCGCTGATGCTGCCGCCGAAGTGGTCCGACACCAGATCGCCACTTGTCTTGTCGACGTGGAAGAGGTAGGAGACATGGTCTCCGTGGAGAGCGAAATTTGTTCCGTCTACCACGACAGGTCCATGGCTGGAGTCCACCGTGGCAGCCTGAGAAGTCTCAAAGAGTGTCAGAATGCTGGCCGCTGCAGTGACTGCGACACGCCCTGAGGGCACACGCATTTTGTTGAACTGTCGAGGGGGAGGGGTAGAATATTCTGCAGTGCTAAGGGGAATTTGTTTGGGGAGGCTTTACACACCCTTAATATGTGTTCGCCCATTGCAATGGATCGGCAAGTCAATTCCGGGTATGGACGCGATGGATCCCCCTGCATAATAGATTCTCCCACTCGAATAGTACCGTCGCGCAAGGGTGGGGAAGGGGAAACGTCGGCTAAATACGTACGAAGCCATTATCTCATCGTTATATCCCCCAAAAGTCACGGACCGGCTCCGTGGAGTGCGGAGAAACCAAAGTCGAAAAATAAATGGCCAAGGTCTGCTAAGTCCTGACTAAAGATTTAGTGGTGATGACTTGACTCTCCATGCATGGAATGATGTCTCTCAATCCCGGCCCAGGTCAATAGTTCATCCAGGTATTGAATATGAACGAAGCCAAGCCGTATTCGGGGTTACCAGTAAGGTCAGCCCCATCAGACGTGGCATCTTGCATTATCCGGGATATTTGGGAGATTTGCGAATCAATTGTTATTTATCCCTGGTCCGCCCAAAAGTCCGTGAGGGGACTGAGCCAGTCAACAGTTTAGGGATGGTCCTTACTTGATATTAGCCAAAAGAGACAGGCTGGATCAACCAGCTATGATCGAAACATCCCATATGAGCTGGAGCAATGACAGGTGTGCATATCCGACTGCTATAAAGTGCAGAATGACTCCGTCTCTGCCTCTGACAGTTAATGTTCTGATTTCTTTGTTCCTGGGCCTGCCTCGTAGTTGCTCAAGGGATATGCCTGTTCTCCGCAGCCGGTATCCACACTAGGACCCACTGGCCCGGCAACGAGCTCCACTTACGCATGGACTCGAACTCCCAGACCCAAATAGGACTGACCAGTAGTTGCCAATTACAGACTGGCAGCAATTACAGAATGGGCATGTTTCACGACTGACGGAGGGGTCCCGACAGAATGCTGTGTCCGGTCTCGGCATCGCCCAATCAATGGGGTCTGCCATTGATCTTGACATGATTGAAGGCGGCGCGTGGAGAAAAGGAGTGCAGAACGAAGAAGCAATACAGTGGCCTCTTCTGGTCGGAGCAATGATCTTCATGTCCGTCTTCCCCATATTCCCCAGCATCAGGTGATTTTAACAAGCCCTATACATGGAATATCGTCATCACATGTCATCCATACAGCAGTCACGAAGAGCTCCCACTGTGTGACTGGGCGGGGATATGTGAATTGTTTTTGTGCCATCGTAGACCCGGTCTGTAGCACCAGGAGCTAACTTGTTTGTATTAAATCCATTCGGTCAACGTTGCGGTTGTTTTGGGAGAAGTTCTCGAGGCCGCGCCCATGCCTCGTAATCCATTCATCGCAAGTCGACAAACAGGCGAGACGAAACTGCGCCTTGCCGTCGCATTGCCTACATCCTAATAAGCAAGACACAGGATGCATGGTGGCTTCATTAATCGCTTGTATGACTTGGAATCAGGGCCAGGCCATACCCGCATTCCGCCTCGTCATACCACTGCAGTTTCCACGTTGGAAAGTACCCGGAAACGAGAGATTATATAGGGAGAATCTCAAGTACGAGCTGCTCCTGAGGGCCCAGAGGCGTGGACCGTGGTGAGTTGTATGCTTCTCCTAGCAAGACCGGTTCAATCACAGGATACATTTCGAGAAGCAGCAACACTCCCGTCCTCACAAATTAGAACCAACACAATGGCGAGCCTCGACCAGACCATGGAGCACGATCAGATGGCTGAGACCATGCAACCCAATCGACCACGACCCTCCCCCATTGCCATTGTCGGTATGGCCGCCAGACTCCCCGGTGGGGTGAACTCCCTATCGAAGTTCTGGGAGTTCTTGATGGAAAAGAAAAACGGCGTCTGTGAGGTACCTGGCACCCGCTACAATATTGACGGCTTCTATCACGAAAGCCTGCCGCACTCAGTCCGGTCGCGCCAGGGATACTTCCTGGATGAAGATTTGGCGATGGCGGACCCATCCTTCTTACCAGTGTTCGAGCATGAATCTAGCCGTGAGCCCGGTAATATCGATCCGCAGCAGCGTCTGTTGCTGGAGGTAGCCTGGGAGTGTCTGGAGAACGCAGGGCAGTCCCACAACTATCGAGGTAGGAACATAGGCTGCTACACAGGCACGTTCGGAGGCGACTGGGCGGAGTTAGCTAGTAAGGACCACCAGCAGGAAAACCGCCTCTACGTGTCGACAACGGGGGACTTTTCACTGTCAAGCTGGCTGTCATGGAATTTGGATCTTCGAGGACCAACGTGGGTGTCTTTCCCTTCATGATCCAGCCATATGTGGAGTATCTTCTCATACATCCCACGAGACAGGATGACGATTGAAACTGGCTGTTCGTCGGCCATGGCAGGCGTTCATGAGGCTTGCCTCTCACTGCAGGCGGGGGACTGCGAGGCCGCGATTGTCGCCGGTACCAGTCTAATCTTTTCCCCCACGTTGCAAAGCCACGTTCAAGACGCAGGAGCCATTTCCACGTCTGGTATTTGTAGGACATTCGACGCCGCAGCCGATGGGTACGGACGTGGAGAAGCGCTCAATGCCATTTTGATAAAGCGACTCGACGACGCTATCGCAGACCGGGACTGCATCCGTGCAGTTATTCGCGCCTCCGCTATCAACAATGACGGGAGAACGCCGCACATATCGGCTCCATCTGTCGAGGGGCAAGAGCAGCTGATCCGTAAAACGTACGCAAAGGCCGGGATTGAGGACGTGGATCGCACGGCGTTTTTCGAATGCCACGGGACTGGCACAGTAGCCGGTGATACTACCGAGGCGGCGGCCGTTGCTCGGGTGTTTCGCCGTGGTATGTATCTCGGATCGATCAAGCCTAACTTCGGCCATTCCGAAGGCGCCTCGGGCATCACTAGTATAATCAAAGTGGCACTGGCTCTGGAAAACAAGACAATCCCACCCAACGTGCATTTTTGCACTCCAAACCCCAAGAGTAAGGGATACTCCAGGGTGCTCTGCCCAGACAGATATGGATAGTGGACTGATTGCCGATGGCGTAGTTCCCTTCCAGAAAGCGAACCTTGTGGTCCCAGTAGAAGCCACTCCTTGGCCAGTTGGGAAGGATGAGAGGGCCAGCGTGAATAACTTTGGCCTAGGGGGCACCAATGTGCACGTAAGCTCATGCCTCCAAATGCTTTGGAGTGGAATTTGATAGGCTCCAGATGATTATGGAGTCAACGGCTTCGGTGCAGCTACCAAATAAGCCCGAGATCAGTTTACGATCACGCCTAGTGGTGTGCTCTGCCAGAAGCCAAGAATCTCTGGAAAAACGAATCGATGACATCGTCCAATATATGCGCAGATTTCCCACTCGCCTGCATGACATCGCGTATACGCTTGGGATGCGACGAGGACATATGGCCCACCGCGCGTTCGCGGTATCCGATGGGAAGATCATCGAATCAGCAGATATGAAACGAATCGACTGTTACCATCCACCAACACTCGTCTTTGTTTTCACAGGACAAGGCGCCCAATGGGCAGGCATGGGCAAGGGTTTGTGGGATACGTTTCCTGTCTTTAGAGAAAGCCTGGCGAGGATGGATGGGGTTTTGCAAAGCCTTCCAGACCCCCCTGTCTGGACCCTGCAAGGTGAGTGAGACCCCGTACCCTGGGATCAACACCGCGCACAAACATTGTGGCTCATCAGACCGATGCAGACGAGTTGCTCTGTACAAAGAGTTTGGCGCGGATCAATGATGCCGCGCTAAGCCAGCCGCTGTGTTGCGCTCTGCAGATTGGCCTCGTTGATCTCCTGGCGTTATGGGGCATTGCCCCTGCTATCGTGGTGGGCCATTCGAGTGGTGAGATTGCTGGGGCCTATGCGTCCGGCGCCTTAACTGCAGCCGCGGCTATCGTCAATGCCTACTACCGCGGCCAGGTTATTCATACGAGCGCTCGCCACGGCTCCATGTTAGCAGTCGGTTTAAACCGCCATGAAGTCATCCCATATCTCCAGGGAGACGTGGTAATTGGGTGTGAAAATAGTCAGAACAGCGTGACACTGTCCGGTGACCACGAGAGCATCACTGAAACCATGAGTGTGATCCAGAAAAGCCATCCAGATATCCTCTGTCGGCAACTGCGCGTAGAGAAGGCGTATCATTCACCGCACATGCAAGAGGTTTCTGGTCTGTATGAAAAGAAGATAGCTCCTTGGTTGCCTGAACAGACTCCAATGATCCCAATGTCCTCAACGGTCACTGGAGCTATTCTCACGGACCCAGAGCTCCTCAACAGTCGATATTGGCGCCAGAACCTAGACTCCCCAGTCCTCTTCTCCTCAGCAGTACAAAGCCTTCTTGATGACGGCCCAGGACGCCGCATATTCCTCGAAATCGGCCCACATGCGACGCTTTCTGGCCCGTTGAGACAGATACTAGCCAGTCACAAGAACGGAACGGAATATGTCTATGTTCCCAGCCTCATAAGACCTGACGATCCGGTTAAAGCAATGCTCGACGCTGCTGGAACCCTTCATATCTATGGATTCGACCGAATTGACTTCGAGGCCATCAACGGGCCCGGGAGCCTGTTGGCGGATCTCCCGCCATATCCCTGGATACGGTCACGGCGGCTATGGAATGAGAGCCGTCCTGTCCAGGCATGGAGGCTTCGGAGCGTGCCATTCCACGAGCTCCTCGGAGCTCGAACCCTGGAGTCAGTCAACATCGAGCCGTGCTGGCGGAATATGCTCTCCCTGGTCAACGTCCCCTGGCTGGAAGACCACAAGATCCGAGGGAGGATCTTGTTTCCCGGGGCGTGTTACGTAGCAATGGCTGGGGTGGCCGTGCAGCAAACGACGTCGTGCGAAAACTACCAAATCCGTCAGCTAAATTTCAAGACGGCTCTCTTCATTGAGAACGACGAACCCGTTGAGCTCATCACCAGTATGAGACCCGTAAGAATTTCAGACCATGCCGAGTCTGAATGGTTCGAGTTCTCTATCACGTCAGTAATGGGGAAGAGTGAGACCAAGCACTGCACGGGTCAAGTGCGCTCCGTGGGTAGCATCTCGGAGGTCTCGTCAGCATCGTCCAGCGTTTCGGGATACCCGCGGCGGGTGGCTTCGAAGTCTTGGTATCGGGCCCTGCGCCGGGCAGGCCTTGACTTCGGGTTACGTTTTCGAGGATTAAAGAATATCACAGCGGATCCAACCTCGTGTCGAGCCACCGCGATGGTTCGAACCACCGACACGGTGTCGGTCAGCCCATATATCGTCCATCCCATCATCATCGACCAGTGCCTGCAGCTATTAAGCGTCGCCATGTGCCGGGGGCTGGCACGTAATCTGACCACGCGGTGTATCCCAGCACTCCTCGAGAACCTTTATGTTGGACCGGTCTCGAGCGCAGAGGCACGCATCCATGCGTCAACTATGGCCCGTGAAGGCAACTTCATCCCGGGCAGCATGGAGGCCGCAACTTCGGAAGGCGTGTTTCTGTCGCTCACGGGCGCCGTCCTATACGCCCTTGACGACAATCCCCCGGGTGCACCCGAATCTATTGTAGCCCGCACAGTCTGGAGACCAGCACCGGAGTTCCTCCCCAGCGAGATCCAACCGCAGTCATGTGCGGTAACAGACGTCGAGTTCGAGGCGGTGCAGAACCTGACCTTCCTCTACGCCGCTGAGACCTATGCTGTAATTGCAGATATCGACATCCAGGACAGACCCCAGCACCTTCACAAGTATAGGAATCTCCTCCGTTCCATGTCAGACGAGGCGGATGATCGGCTCCGGACCCTCTCAGAGCTATGCACGCGCGAAAACATCGCGGTGCCACCCGGCACATTCGCCGATCGGAAATCATGCCTGGCCGCGACAAGCAATTGGCGCCAAGATGGTCAGCATACGTACGCGAACATTGTCTTCAGCGCCCACGCGGTTCAGCAGACCTGCGTTGAGATTTTTGAAGGTCGACGAGATCCCCTTCAATGGCTGGTAGAGGACGACATCCTTCCGAGCATATATCGAACGATCAGCCAGTTCGACCCGGCGACAGAGAGTTTTCTGCAACGGCTAGGCCACTCTAAGCCAGGCCTACGAGTTTTGGAAGTGGGATCCGGTACAGGGGCGCTGACAGAACCTGTATTGCGCAGCCTGCAGACGCCCATAGGAGTCCCTCTATACTCCGAGTACACCTTCACAGATATTTCCGCCGCGTTCTTTGGTCCGGCCCAAGAGAGGTTCAGCGCATCCAGTGCCATGAAATATGCTGTTCTTGACATTACCAAAGACCCAGCGCAGTTGGGGTTTGAGTTAGGGGCCTACGATCTGGTGATAGCCGGTAATGTACGATGAACTCCGTCTTGGAAGCCAGCCGAAACTGACAGCCGTTGTTCGATATAGGTACTCCACGGAACTCCCAGCCTGAACCAAGCCTTGCAGAATATTCGAGCACTCCTAACGCCCGGGGGATTGCTCATGTTGCAAGAGATCTGTGAACGTAAGTGCATTTAAGGGCTCCCCCCCGATCATTCAACGTGACTGTCCTAACCATGTCTCAGGATCTCCGCTGGCGGAATATGTCTGCGTGCGTTCCCCCACAGCCGGTTCCATTGAACTGAAAAAACACCACCCAATGCATGCTGACTTCTTTCACAGGGATCCTTACCCGGTTGGTGGGTTGGCGAGAACGACGGCCGACACGACCGGCCTTATGTCGGTGTAGATCACTGGCAAGACGAGTTCGACACCGCGGGCTTCTCAAAGTTAAAGTTTATTTCCCATAGCCTCTCTGGTCAGATCGCCACTATGATCACCCAGTGTCCATCAGCTGTCGAACCCTCAAAGTCGATCAGCATGCTGGCATCATCCTCGCGTCCGGCTCCATGGAAGATGGCCATTGAGCGGGCTTTCGCCGCTGAGGGGTGCAAGGCCACCTGGTACAACCAGAACTGGCTGCCCCCGACGAAGGAGGATGTCATCTGCCTTCTGGATGCCGAGGGCCCATTCATCCACGACATGACTGAAGACCGCTTTTTGACCCTGAAACGATTCTTCCTCGGCCGAGCAGAGGCCATTACGCTCTGGGTGACCGCCCCCGCCCAAATCCACTGCCAGGATCCACGATATGGCGCGATCCATGGGTTTCTCCGATCGGTTCGCGTCGAGCTGGGCAAGAGCTTCCTGACCATGTTCGAGGTCGATCTCCAGGATGAGAGCGCCCCCGGCCACATATATCAGGTTTATCGAGACCTCTGCTCTCAACGGGAGCGTCGACGAGGTAATCTCGAGACTGAGTATGCCGTTTATGATGGCGTAATCCATGTCCCCAGGATTTATCCTGTTGATCTCATGGCGGAACTCCCTCATCGGCCGGTCGATGCCCACACACCCAAGCAGCTCGCTTTGGGACAGATTGGAGTGCTAAGTTCTTTCTACTGGACTCCCAAGGATCCCACCTCACCTAGTCCCACAGACGTAGTCGTGGAGGTCAAGTTTATCGGCCTAAACTTCAGGGTAAGAATTCCACGGTATGGAAATTTGTGATATCCAGACTGACGGAAACAGGATGTGGCAGTGGCTCATGGCATCCTCGGTGCTCCACACGAGATCGGTTTAGAAGGATCGGGGATCATAATCCAAGTCGGGAGCGAGGTGTCTAATTTCCAGGTCGGACAACGGGTCGCGTTTCTAGCACCAGGCTGTGGCGGCACCGTGATTACCGTTCCAGCCAGTTCTCTCCTGAGGATCCCAGAGAGTTGGTCTCTGGAAGACGGGGCAACGGTGCCAGCCGTCTATTCTACTGTGGTCTACTGCTTGGATTTTGTTGGGAAGCTGAAAGCCGGACAGGTGATGTTTCTTATGCCGTCCGATCAAGGAAAGAATCCTATAGCTGACTGGAAAGCAGTCAGTTCTCATCCACTCGGCCTGCGGAGGTGTCGGCTTGGCTGCGATTCAGCTCTGCCGGTTACGAGGAGCAGAGGTGGGTTGGAATAGCTGTCGGTGGAGCCTCCATGCCACGCCAGGGCTAAATTGGTTGTAGGTGTATGCGACGGTAGGGAACGCCGACAAGGTAGAGTACCTGGTCAACACCTACCAGATCCCACGCTCGCGCATCTTCTATTCTCGTGATGCGTCGTTCTACGCGGGGCTCATGCGTGAGATCAACCACCGCGGGGTGGACATCGTCCTCAACTCGCTCTCCGGGGAGTTGCTCCATGTATCGTGGAACTGCGTTGCGAAACAAGGGACCATGATCGAGATCGGCAAGCGAGACATTCTCTCCCATGGAATGCTGCCTTTGAGTCCGTTCCAGCACGGACGGTCTTTTGTGGTAGTAGACCTCTTCTCCGTGGGGTCCACGTTAGGCCATCAGTATGCCCTCCCCCGAGGATCCTCAGATCACGGCACCCAAGGCCGCCTAGACTGACTGACTTGAACGCAGATTGTTGGAAGACAACGTGCAAAGGTACATGGATGCGGGAGACATCGCCCCTATTCGCCAGGCGAGCTGTTTCCCGGCGTGTGAAGTTGGTGCCGCAATCAAATGCATGCAGACGGGGCATCATATCGGTAAGATCCTCGTCCGAATGCCTCATCAGTCCGATCTGTCCAGCCTGGACGTGAAGCCATGCCCCCTGCCCATGACGTTTTCTCCCGAACATAGCTATTTCCTCTCCGGTGGCCTTGGAGGCGTGGGACGGGCCATCTCCACCTGGATGGTGGAACAAGGTGCCCGGTATTTCACGTATCTCTCACCGCATGCCGGGCAGACCGTCGAGCACCGGGCCTTCCTGGCTGAGCTGGCAGCCCAGGGCTGCCAGGCCGTGGCGGTGGTGGGTCAGGCGGAGAACATGCAAGATGTCCAAACTGCGATCGCCCAGAGTGCCCGCCCGGTGCGGGGGGTGATCCAGTTGGCCTTGGACTTGAAGGTACGGGTGCTCCGTATGGCCCACGGCGTCGTTGCTTACCGATCGTACAGGACTCCGGTCTACAGGACATGGCTTTCCCGGACTGGCATGCCGCCTATGCACCCAAGGCGAAAGGGGCGTGGAATCTCCACCAGGCCTTGGAGAAAACGGCGCTGGATTTCTTCGTGCTCTGCGGGTCTCTGGTTGGCGCGGCAGGAAATCGCAGACAGTCCAACTACGCAGCGGCCAACACGTTCATGACGGCTCTATGCCTACACCGCCAGTCTTTGGGGCAGCCCGCGGGGATCGTGGACCTCGGCGGGGTGGAGGACGTGGGGTACCTCGCCGACAACCCCCAAATCATGCAGTATTTCGAGGCGCAGGGGTTCAAGCTACTCCGGGAGCACGACGTGATCTTGGGTCTGCGATCCCAGCTGCAGCCCTGCACCATGTCCCAGCCCTCGCAGTCCGTGATCGCCCGTCACCAGCTGCTTGTCGGGCTGATGTCACCCAAGAAATCACTCGAGGACTACGACGATCCCCGTTTCCACATCCTGAGTAACATGCCCACTGACGACAACGAGCCCAACCGGGGTCAGCTGGACGACGCTAGGATCAGCCAATTTCTCCTCCAGGTGGACGCGGATCCGAGCCTGCTGGAGCAGCCATCCACGGAGGAATTCCTCGTTGTCCAGCTCGGCTCCAAGATGAGCCCGACCAAGGCGGAAAACCTGGTCGCGCTGGGGCAACTACCGATCGACTCGCTCGCGGCGGTCGAGATGCGCGCCTGGGCCCGGCGCCGGCTGGGCGTGGACGTTTCCCCCGCGGAGATCGCCGCCGCCGAAACGGTGCATGGCTTCGCCCTGTTGGCCATCCGCGCTCTCCGCGCGCGTCACAATCAAATCGCGGACTCGTCGTAGACCTTGACCGACGTGGTTCTTTCTGGCGGTGTCTCTTTTGCCCCGCCGTCTCGCTTTGGAAGTCTAGCATGTCAGCCCAGTCGATCAAACAATCAATTGCATTCAAACATTATTCCTGTAGTAACTGGTATATGATACAACGTAGTCGTAGCCCTGGTGTTCGTGTCGGTCTCCACCTCTACGGTCCCGTCCATTCAATGCGGCCCCGATTCACCACCAAGCCCTCCAGGACCGCGATCGCCGCCCAGAGTCGATTCTCCGCTTCGGGGAACACGAGGGAGCGCGGCCCATAGAACACCTCGTCACTCACCTCCTCCGGGTGCCGCGGTAAGCAATGCATGAACTTCCACCCCGATTTGGCTCCGCCCCGCTTGGCCAGATCGGCGGTGATCTGGAACCCTTCGAAGTCGGTCAGACGCCGGCGCTGGTCCGCCTCCTGCCCCATGGAGACCCAGGTGTCCGTCACCAGAAGATCCGCGCCCTGGACCGCCTCCTCGGGGACATTGGTCTGGTGCAGCTGGCCCGCCCGCGGGGCTCCGGTCCCCTGCCGCGCCTCCTCAATGACGGCGAGCATCTCCGCGGGGATCTCGTATCCCCGGGGGTCGCGACGGCCAGGTCGACGCCCATCTTGGCGGCGGCGATGGCCATGTCAAACAGAACATTGTTGGCGTCCCCCACCCAGGCAATCTTCAGCCCCTCCAGGCCCAGGCCGGAGAGGCGGTGGGCCTTGCGGGTGAAGGTCTCGTGGATGGTCTGGAAATCGGCCACGGCCTGCAGCGGATGGTAGCGGTCACACAGCGCGTTGATCACGGGCACGGTCGAGTGCTTGGCCAGATCCGCGACCTCGGCGTGCTGGGCGACGCGCGCGACCACCGCCGAGACCATGGACGAGACGACCACGGACGTGTCGTAGGACGACTCGTTCACGCCGAGCTGGATATCGTCCTTGCCCAAGAACATCGGATGACCGCCCATCTGGGCGACGGCCCCCTCGGTGGAGATGCGGGTCCGCGTGCTGCGTTTATTGAAGATCATCGCCACCGTTTTGCCGGTCAACGACCCGACCAAGTTCTGCTGGATGGAGCCCGAGCGGCCGTGCTTCTTGTGGGCGGAGGCATTGCGCACGAGGGTGGCGAATTCGGTCGACGTCAGATCGGCGATGGACAGGAGATGCCGGGGCGCGAAGGGCGACGTTGGCGGGACCGCCTGGGCGGCCGAGGAGTAGTGACGCCAGGCGTGCGCTGTATGCGCGCGCGCCGATCCCGGTAGACGGGAGATCGACATGGTGGGCGATCTGACGGGGAATGAGCCGGTGGGCTATCGGATCAGGCGAGGTATGGATATGGAACCAGAACAGTTCTAATTCTCAACTGACACAGGGGAAGCGGTAAATCGAGTCGTCGAATGTCCGGGAATGACCCAAGCGAGGAACTGGATCGATGCAGGTGCAGATGCAGTCGTCGATGGAGGGATGAGTGATGACGCAAGAGACAAACCGGGCAAACCGGGACACCTGACGGCCTGAGGCAACCGTCACCGCACCGGCTGCTGAGGGATGGACGGTCTCTCCAGCATTGACGGTCGGGAGTCCATCCTCGTCGGTGGTCGTATCGCGTGTTTGTCTGCTCCAGGTACCCTCGGTGTCGAAAGCATGTGAATCAGTCTAGGTCTCTGGTCATCCTTGGAGGGACAGCAACCTGGCGGAGAGGTCAGATATATATCGTGGAGACTCTCGGTAGCAATGGAAGGCACCACACTCATCTCGAGATGACGCCGTATTGGACGAGTCCCACTCCCATCGGACCCGTCTGGTGAGCAGAATCGCGAACCCATCTAGGTACCATCCCGATCCATCTGAACGGGGTTCGCTCATGGCTCGGGCATTGGAAGGGTCTCGGTCGACGAGCGGGAGGACAAACCAGGCAAACCGCGATCTACCGCCTCAGGCATCCGTCCGGAGGGAGACAAACCAGGCAAACACGCAGCGCCATCACGTGTGGACACCATTCACCACCGGGCGGGATCGCTGCCTCAGTAGCCTCCGCCGGGTGAGTGCCTATCGAATCTTGCAGAATTGACCTGGAGACTGGTGTCTCGAGGGGACATGGGGGGGCGGACATCCCATCTCGTAATGACAATCCCCCATCGCCGAGTCGGGAATCCGAGTTGCTCCATCGGGAACGCCGAGCGCGTCGAGCTCCGACCGCGGTGATTGGCCGCCCCCGCCGACGGTGGACTGGGATGCGGGGAGAGCTGCCGTGGTCGATCCAATTGATCGCCGGTAATCCTTATCATCCCAAGGGCAAAGCTCCGAGACGGCCAGATGGCGTGGAGTTGGGTTGCTATATAAGTGGACCGTTGTCCGCGGGTGGTCAAGTCTCCATCGCTTGTTGTTTCCTGTCGTTTTTCCTACTCCCACCTTCTCCCCTTCCTTCCGCCGAGACCGACACCCCGGTCTCCCCATATCGCATCCCGCATCCTCCCCTCCCTTTCTCCTTCGACTCCCACCGTCTCCATGGCCGCTATCGCTCGCTCTAGCCTGCGCATGCGCCCGGCGATGATGCGCGCGCCGGTCGCTCGTGCCTTCGCCACGACCGGCGCCCGTCGGGTGGCCTACTTCCCCGAGGAGCCCGCCGGGCCCCGCGTCGTCTCCGCGATTCCCGGCCCCAAGAACAAGGCGGCCGTCGCCGAGCTGGACAAGGTCTTTGACGTCCGCAGTGTGAACATGTTGACCGACTACTCCAAGTCGCACGGGAACTAGTAGGTGTCATGCTTCCGGGGACGAGCGCGAACGGCGGGTGGACGGCTAACCCGATGACGTAGTATCGCCGATCTGGATGGCAACCAGCTGTTGGATGTGTAAGCACTGCCCATCCCTCCGTAGGAGGGGGAACAAGAAAAGAAAAGAAAGAAAGACGAAAGAAAGAAAGAAAGAAGAAAGCTGACAATTACCAGGTATGCGCAGATCGCCTCGATCCCCGTGGGCTACAACAACCCTCACCTCAAGGAGGTCGCCACCTCCCCCGAGATGGTCTCCGCCCTGATCAACCGCCCCGCCCTGGGCAACTTCCCCTCCGCCGACTGGGGCCACATCCTGGAGACCGGTCTGCTCAAGGCCGCCCCCAAGGGCCTGAACCAGGTCTTCACCGCCATGGCGGGCTCCGACGCCAACGAGACGGCCTACAAGGCCGCCTTCATGTACTACCGCCAGCGCCAGCGCGGTGGACCCCAGACCGAGTTCACCGAGGAGGAGCTGCAGAGCACCATGCGCAACCAGGGCCCCGGCTCCCCGCAGCTGTCCATCATGTCCTTCAAGTCGGCCTTCCACGGCCGGCTCTTCGGGAGTCTGTCCACCACCCGCAGCAAGCCCATCCACAAGCTCGACATCCCCGCCTTCGACTGGCCCCAGGCCACCTTCCCCACCCTCAAGTACCCGCTCGAGGAGCACGTCCAGGAGAACGCCCAGGAGGAGAAGCGCTGCCTGGAGGAGGTCGAGCGCCTCATCCAGGAGTTCCACAACCCCGTGGCCGCCGTCGTCGTCGAGCCCATCCAGTCCGAGGGCGGCGACAACCACGCCTCGCCCGCCTTCTTCCGCGGCCTGCGCGAGATCACCCAGCGCCACCAGGTGCTCTTCATCGTCGACGAGGTCCAGACCGGCGTCGGCGCCACCGGTAAGTTCTGGGCCCACGACCACTGGAACCTGCCCACCCCGCCCGACATGGTGACCTTCTCCAAGAAGGCCCAGGCCGCCGGCTACTACTACGGCAACCCCGCCCTGCGCCCCAACAAGCCCTACCGCCAGTTCAACACCTGGATGGGCGACCCCGCCCGCGCCCTCATCTTCCGCGGCATCATCGAGGAGATCGAGCGCCTGGACCTGGTCAAGAACACCGCCGCCACCGGTGACTACCTGTACGCCGGTCTGCAGCGCCTGGCCGAGCGCTACCCCGAGCACATGCAGAACCTGCGCGGCCAGGGCCAGGGTACCTTCATCGCCTGGGACAGCCCCCGTCGGGACGAGATCATTGCGAAGTCCAAGGCCGAGGGCATCAACATCGGCGGCAGCGGCCAGAACGCCATCCGTCTGCGCCCCATGCTGGTCTTCCAGAACCACCACGGTATGTCTTTTCCCTCTTTCTTTCCCATTGGTTGATTGACGTTAGCTAACCCGTTTCTCCTTCTGTAGCGGACCTTCTCCTGGAGCGTGTGGAGAAGATCATCCAGAAGTTGTAATTCCTTGTTTCTCTTTTGAGTCGTCATTTTCTGCCCCTTTGTCTGCCTGGTCGGTCATCGTGGGTTTTGCGCAATTGGCGAGATCCGGAGGGCTTCCGGACCGCCTGGAGTTTCTTGTTTGGGTCTGGGATTTATCTTTGAGGGATGGTTAAAAGCCTCTCGTTAGGCGTGGAATAATGAATGGACGTGTTCTGATCCTGTTCAAACCGTATTGCCTTCTGTAGCCGAAGCCCGTAGACGTATATCCACTCTGCTTGACGGTCTATATGTATCGATCCGGTGTCTGATGCCTTAGACTACGGTTTACTCCTGCACAATGCAACCACACCAGAGTAGGATCCACTAATCGTCTGTTCCAAGCCTATTTCCATAAGTCTTCACCTCCTTCGCCTGATACAGGACTCGCCTCATTACTGTACCAATTATGCAGATGGCCGGGCGAGTTGCAGTGGACTTTGGTGTCCCAGCAATGGCCCACGGTGGTACTAGTGGTCCTCCCTCCACTTCTTGCAGTACCATTGTCCTGCCTTGAGTTCGGTGAACTCAAGGATCGGCATTTGTCCGGTGCAGCGCTGGACCCTCTTCTGGAAGCACGACCATGGAGATTTCTCGCTCTGGTAGCCTGTGGTCATCCATCGAACTGGTTGTATCGAGTCCATTCTGGGGCGCTGCACCCAAGAGGTAAACGAAACGTACGACGGGAAGATGGGGCTCGATGCGGTACTCACATGCAAGTTACGCGTTGGGTGTGGATGAATCGATCGCAATCGATGAGTGTGTTTTCGACGAACCACTGCAGGCACGCACCTAGGTCACGTCGGTGGGCACTTAGCCGCCAGCATGAGCATTGGCTCCGAGCGGAGAGCCCATGGAACCAGGGAACTGAGCCACTGCAAGCGCTAAGCTATCCAGGCATGCTATGATAAGACGACATGCTAGATGATAGGTTCAGAGATGGAGACCTTGGTAGATGCAGATAGTGACAGGAAGGGAGAGAGAGAGAGAAAAAGGGGAGTTTTTGAACGGCCGAGCAGGGCGTGTCTGTCACCGGCGTTCAAATTCCCTGTTTCAACAAGTGATCACTCTTACACCTAGTGACTACAGTGCTGCATAGTTATCTGACATGCTAGCCCGAGGTTGAAGCATACAGACTAACCAAAATAGACAATTACTTCTGCCCTCCCTGACCCACGAGAAAGCGACATGAAGGGTTGCAAAACATGAGGTTATTCAAGATATCACCCGTGTGGAATAGATCTGACAGAACAACCAGCCCAGGGCATTCGGTTTTCCACCCAGCGAAGCACAGACACTTGTCATGCAGGTCTCCTGTGATGATTTGACAAAAAAAGGATACTCATAGACCAACCACGCGCGCCCGTCATTGGCGGTTCTGTTGGTGGGCGTCACGCCGCTCAGCCTTGCCCCGCCGGACCAGAGTAAGATCCTCAGATCGCTTCCTCCACCCACTCCACCAGACCATGAGTGCAAGACTGACACTATGGACCCCCTCACAGCTCTCAGTACGGCGTCAGCAGTGGTGCAGCTGGTTGACTTTGGCACGAGGATCCTCGATGATACCCACGAGCTGTACACCCAAGGCCGCCTGGTGACGCTCCAGGAGTTGACAACCATCACCCAGGATCTCGTGCACGTCAATCATCTGCTCGCCCACCGACCGCAACCAGGGGATACCACGGTAGACCCCATCTCCGACGCAGAGCAGGTAGGTAGACTCCCGGCGCCAGTCCCTATCCCCAAGCGTGATGAAAACTCACCGTCGCCCGCCAGGCACTGGACCAGCTCGCTGCCGACTGCAGCGAAGCGGCAAAGGAGCTGATCGCCTGTCTGCAATCCCTGGACGCCGACGTCGGGATTGGACGCTGGCGGAGCTTCTGCCAGGCGGTTCGCAGCCGGTGGGCCCTGCGCCAGATCCAGGACATGGAGGCGCGGATCCGGGCCTTTCGAGAGCAACTCACGATTCGCGTCCTGGCAGTGCTGAACACTCGAACCGCCCTCCAGGCGACGCGGCAGGAGGAGCGCTTCAACCACTTGGACCAGTCGCACGCGGACGTGATCGACGTCGTAGCGATCAACCGGCAGCGGCTGGAGTCAACCCTGCGCACCGACGTGGCCGGTCTCGCCCGGGAGATCGCCCAGGGGGAGGCGCAGGCCCAAACCCGCCATGACGAGGTCATCGCGGCCATCCTCCACCTCCAGGATGGGAGTGCCAAGGTCCTCACGGGCGGCCTGGCCGAGGGCCCGTCCCACCTGCCCGCGCGCGAGACGATCATGACGCTCCAGAAACCGGTCTTGAACCACGTCGATTTCCGGGTGCAGGATTTTGGAATAGTGCAGTCCAAGGTGCTCGAGTGTCTCCATTTCCGACAGATCGACCACCGGTATGACACCGTGCTCGGCGCGCATCGGGATACATACCAGTGGATTTACCAGAGTCCCGAGGTCGACGGCAAGCCGTGGAGTAACTTTGTCCAGTGGCTCGAGCAGGGCCACGGCTGCTACTGGGTGAATGGAAAGGCAGGATCCGGCAAGTCGACGCTCATGAAGTTCATCCACAACCATCCGCAGACGGCACGGTCGCTCGCGGCGTGGGCCGGCCACCACGAGCTGGTGCGGTCGACATTCTTCCTCAGCAACCTGGGTCACTGGCTGCAAAAGTCTCCCGCGGGTCTCATCCGCACCGTGCTCCATGACGCCCTCAACCGTCATCGCCATCTGATCCCACTGGTGGTGCCGGACCTGTGCCGGGCGGCCGCAAAACTGGAGCCCACCGAGAGACTGTCCGAGCCAACGTTCGCCGAGCTGTCCAAGGCATTCCAGAATCTCGTCCGCCGCGACAGTGCGAACCTCCGGATCTGCTTTCTCATAGACGGGGTGGACGAATGCGAGGGGGACTACTCGGAGATTTTGAACCTGGTCGCGTCGGCGTCGCAGTATCGCCAGATAAAAATCATCGTGTCCAGTCGTCCCATCCCGCCGTGCGTGGCAGCCTTCGCGGGATCCGCAAGTCTGCGACTGCAGGACCTCACCCGTGATGACATTCAGTTGTACGTCGAAGACAAGCTCCTGCGGGAGCTGCAACGGCGGATCGGAGAGCACGCGCCAGCGTTGGTGCAGGAGATCGTCGAGAAATCCTCGGGCGTATTCTTGTGGATCGTCCTCGTGGTCAAATCCCTGATCCTCGGTGTGCAGAGTATGGACCGCATCGACGACCTGCAGCGTCGGGTCGACGAACTGCCGTCCGATCTCACGGAACTTTACTCGCACATGCTGCAGAGGATCGATCCCCTCTACAAACAGCAGGCGTGGGAACTCTTCCAGCTGGTTCTCAACAGCGTCAGGGCGGATGGCGGCCGGGAACCCACCATCTTGCAACTATACTTCGCGGACCAAGGTCCGCTCGAGGCAACAACCGCGCCTATCCGCACGATCCCAACTGCGGATGAGTCCCGACTGGTTGAGGAAATGGATGGCCGCATTCGAAGCCGGTGCTGCGGACTGCTGGAGATCCGAGACCAGAAGTACTCCAGAGGAATCATGACCACCATCCATCGGCCGACGGTCGCCTTTCTGCACCGGACGGTCTTTGAGTTCCTCACGGAGCAGATCGACTCGAAGGATTGGCTAGGACGGGCCCAGGGGAACCCCGACTTCGATGCCCATCTGTCCTTGGCCTCCTCGTGTCTCTTACTCGCCAAGTCGTTGCCTCGGGAGTGGACAGAGAATCTTGATTCCCTGCAATGGCAGAGCATGCAGGCTTGTCTACACCACTGCTCCATGATCGAGCAGCAACATGCCATCACCACGGACCTCCTAGACGAGCTAGATCGTACCATACCACATCAGCTCACACATCTTCTCGCCAGACCATGGAGTCCGGGAGGCAAGCATGGCGTACAACGGTTCTGGGCTGCTGCACCGCCTTTCGGCGAAAGCTTACCCTCCGACTCCTTCTTATCACTCACCGTGACATGGGGTCTATCATTCTACCTGCAAGATGAGCTGGATCGTAACGAACACGACACCCGACGGCTGGAGGAGCTCCTCCGCGTCGCTGTCCGGAGCTTTGTTCTGATGTGGACCGATCTTTCATCCCCCTCCCACCCCTTCTCCTCGTCCGGACCGGCGCGAATGATGGGATACGCAAGGATCATCTCAGTCCTCCTGGAAAGTGGAGTAAGTCCCAACAGTGGGACAGATGATTCCCATGGCAGTAGCCCGTGGGTGAGTCTTCTACAGCACTTGAACGATCTCCTACTACACCACCGCCATACCTTCCTCCAGAGTGCCAACCACGACACGGGGTACACGCGAACTTTCCTAGACTTGCTGGTGGTCATGGTCGTGTCAGCGGCGGACCCCAACGCCAGTGTCGTTTGGAGAACAAAAAGCTATCGCGGCGTCGAACATTTGGTGGAATTCCGACGGTCCGCCTTACGCATTATTGAGCTGCTGCCGTCGGACGAGGCCGGTGATTTCTCCCATAGTCGGCTGCGGAGCGCAGTGTCGATCGATCACCAGCCGGTTGTGCAGTATCGAATACGACTGATCCGCATGCTTCGAGACCGAGGTGCTCGACTGGAGGAATGGACGAGTGCCGGGCCTTCGGGAGGGGCAGAGAACCGGTCAGCCAGCAAGGAGGATGTCCCACTCAGTGACCCGCGGACGACAAAGAAAAGGCCTTGGAAACGGATGGTGAGAGCTTTCCGAAACTTGAAGGTCGAGTAGGGTGATACGCGGCATCACCACCACCACGGGAGTTGACATGAACGCATGAACCGGCTCGCGGACGGAATAGAACAGAGATATGAGCCGTTGTCCGATGGGAACTGATGCATCAATTGCAACTCCCATACACGAGTAAACGAGTGTGCGACTGGCGCTGGTCATAGACTTCACACGGACATTGGCTTGGACGGGGACCATAGTCGTGGGTTGCACGACTGTTTTAGTCACCCCTCGGGCTGTAGATTCTGACGAGGTGGTTCTCGGGATGGACTTGTGAGTAGAAATGTAGCAGGGGTACATTTTATTAGCCTGTCTAGCTGGTTCTAAGTTTGCTGACCGACATGTCGGTTCGACAGATGGTAGCTCAGACGGATGAACGGGATCAAGTGCGCCAGGTACCCTGAGAGGCCTGTTCCCTGTAGATCTTGCTGGGACTAGAAGCCATCTGTAGAAGTTTTGAGACCTTCCCCATGTAGCTAGTTCAGACCGTCTATATTCGGCGACGCACCAACTACCGACTAAACCCCCTACTGTTTGTCACCCAGCGCATGCACCGCCAGCTTCTTATAGGCCGTCAGCCCCTCTTGCAGCTCCTGCACCGTGATCTGTTCCTTCTCGCCGTGTGCGACCAGAATCGACCCAGGCCCGTAGAGATACTTCTTGTGGTCTCCCTTGAAGCGTGGAACATCCGTGCCGTATGATACCGGTGCGCTGTCAAACCCTGCCGTACCGTCAGCTGTGCACCGTGAAAACCGGGGGAAATCGGACCCACCTTCCACTTCATGATCCAGCAATGTCTCGGGATACTCGAACTTGAACTCCAGGCGCACATGGGGATGGCGAGCCGCGACTTCCGCGACGAGCTGCTTGATCGCGGCCATATCCGTCGCGACGCGCACGGCACAGAGCGCCTTGCTGGCGGCGGGGACGATATTGTAGCTGACCCCGCCCTCGAGCTTGCCGATGTTGAAGGTGGATGGGCCGAGAAGCGGAGAGTCCGGGAATTTGGTGGCGACGAAATCATTGAGGGCCTCGACCAGGGCCACGTTGGCGTTGATGCCGTGGTGGGGGTAACCGGAGTGACTGGGTCATCAGTACGAAACAAGAAACCTCCTCTGACCACGCATCATGGGTGAGCACTCACCAGGCCTTCCCCTCCCCGATCAGCTCAAACACCAGGTGTCCTTTATGTCCCACCACCAATTTCCCCTCGGTCGGCTCGCCAAAGATGACGCTCTCGAACCGCAGATCATGCCGCTCGTCGTTGGCTGCAATCATGCCCGGACCGCCCTTCTCCTCGCCGACGACAAACAGCAAGCCGATATCGCCCTCCTGGACCCGTCCCTCGGCGCGCAGCTCCTCTACTGCGCAGATCTGCGCCGCCATGGGCCCCTTGTCGTCGCAGGCGCCGCGGCCGTAGACGGTGTCGCCGTCCATGCGCAGGGGGATGTGCGGCGGCACGGTGTCCATGTGCGAGGTCAGACAGACCCGGACGCGTCTCGTCGGCCCGAGATAGGCGTAGACATTCTCGCGGGGCGAGTCCGGGGCGATGGGAATGCGCTCGACGGTGTAGCCGAGGCGCGTGAGATGATCGTCCAAGAAGCGGGCGACCGCTTCCTCGTGCTCGCTGTTGCTGGGGACCTCGATGAGGGATTGCAGGAGTGGGAGTACGTCCGGGTTCGTCATCTTGTTCGATCAGTTTGGGATAAACGGTTCTAGGTTGTTTCCCGGCGACTCTTGACCGGATGGTGTGGGGTTTTAAACGAACATGATCAGGAACCCCTCGTGCGGGGTGACATCATTCGCAACTGATAAGATAGCCCCTTTCTCTATCACAATGGATTAAGATCGTCCCCGATGGCAGCTCCAGGGCCAATGACGGTCTCACTGGTTATAATCTGCTAAGCTGAAGAAGAATCGGAGATCGTTCGCCTTCAGCAATCGGCTGCCATTCTTCCACGCATAGGATGGGTCCATGTTTCACCAGAGGTTACATTCGCGGTGGCCCACCCCACATCGTCAGTATCACGCCAAATCAATCCGCTTATCATACCACAGAAACAAATACCCCGCATGTCATTCTTTGCGGTAACAATTCGATGAGGAAGGAGTCGTCCCGATGGGAGAGGCTTGTCTCCCCCGCCCAATCCCCTTAGTGTTGGGAACCGAGTGCTGTCCGCTCTCCGATCGTCCCCGAACCATCGCCACCAGTCGCGCAGTCCATGTACGACCTCGGCTCGGACCAACACCGGTCTCGGACGCGGGGTAGGCTGCTGGCCACGGGAATCGGCTGTTCGATGGGCTGTCGATTACGTTTCTCGAGTGGAGAAACGGACATCTCCACCGGTCGGGACCTCCGCAACGGCAGTTCCCCGATACCGAACGGATGTGGGGGACCGTCCATGGTGATACATCGCCTGAAAGGGGTTGAGACGAGTGTGTAGCCCTGGATTGTCACTGGTTTGGTCTTGGGGAAAGAGGATGCAAACAAGTTGAGCATGAACAATCAGATGGAAGGTCCGAGTAGAGCGGAGACGGGCCAAATGGCAAATGGGCCCAGGACTTGGTTCCAACAGGTTGACACGGCAAGGTCGCTTGGGGGTATAATGGGAACGTGCCCGGTTGGTGGTTGAGACCCGTGGTCTTTTGGGGCTCATGCGAGAAGGTTCGAGGTTGAAGGGTACTCGCAGCGGATCAGAGCCAGTCTCCCTCCCTCGGGTTGGGAAACGCACTCCAGCCATTGACCTCCCCAGGAAGTCTTCCCACTAGGGGACAAAGTCGGAGTCGAGCAGCGGACAATTGCATTCATAGCTGACCTAGACGCCGTGGCCCCCCTTTTCTCGATATCAAGAAGTGGATCTCACATTAGCAGGAGATGCGAGACGGTTGGAAGTCTGCATGTGGTTCGAAGAAACTTGCTTCTGGCGGGGCCGGTTTTGATGAGAAGGTGACGCGTCGAATATGGGAGACCATTTCCTCCATTCTGCCAGATTGGCGGCTCGGTGGGCGTGAATATGCAACACCAGCAGGGTGTGCGAGACAAACAGACGAATGGAATCGGGGAATCTCCCCGTCCTCGAGGCCAGAAGGATCGAGTCTGTTACTTGCATAGGAAATTGCTGATAGTCTTGTCGAGGAATCTACGCGATGGGACCCTACGGCGTTGGGGCACGTAGTGCAGCGTCATCGTCGCCGCACGTGGAAGGTGTATCGACCGCTGCGCGTCTTAGCGAGGGCTGGAGTCTGCAAGCAGTCACAGTCGGCTATTGTCCAGCTTCAAACGCGACGGCCCCCTTTCTCAGGTTGGACCCAACATCTGCTTCCACGGGTGCACTGTTGTGTTCGCGCCTGTACGGTAGTCTTCCCGAGGTAGAACAGGGATTAGACGGACATGGATCCTCGTCATACCCGGACGAATAAGGAAAATGGCAAGTGGAGATCCACCGCGAGGGGACACGTCCCTCGAAACCGATTGGCGTCTATACAAGAGGACGGCCACTGCAACAAAATACGGAAGCGGTAATTTGTCGGATCTGATAGGACCGATATCCCAGCATGATCTGCCATCGCCATCATTCTAGCGACGTGACCGCAGACCAGTGGTCAGATCGTTAGATTCGAAGCTGAGTGTGCAGGGAGACTAGTCCGGATAACCTACCTATGCCATGGGGCGTGGTTACCTGGTGTGGTCTCGGGTAGGACTTTCGGTATAGCTACCGATTCCGAGAGGGAAGACAATGATTGGCCTACTGCATATCTGAAGCCCAAAGTCTGCGGGGTAATAGCTAAGATGCATCTGGTGTTGGTCAATATTAACGGCCATAAGGCTGGGCGTCCCCACAGACATGACAGGCTCACGGGAATTCAGGCCCCCCAGTGGGAAGATCGTCGGTCCTAGGTAGCCTCGGTGAGAGTTGTCAACTCGGCGGTGCTTGCCGGGTTCATAATATTACTTGCATGTGGTGGGTGTCTTGGGTCGATCCCTCATTTGCTCTTCTGGGCTGAGGCTCCTTCGACACTAGGATTCATCATCAATGTCTTAACAGCCTCGCAAGGCCCATTTTCCTCAACCAGCCTAGTCGCAGTCCAGATGCTTGAGACGTGTATGAGGCTGTGCCTCGACATACAACCAATCGGTCCTAGGTCGTGGGATCGTACTGCATATCCGCAGAGGCACGAAGGAAACTCGAGAAAGCGCCCCCCGATTGGAAAGACACACGACTCTACCCTAACTCGCCACTCTCGCAAGGCAGATGTCAGGCTGAATCGGCTATATCACACTGAAATGCAACGAACGGTGCTCAAAGATCGGTGTCCGTTTTGGACGCACAGTGGCTATGCTTCGATGACTAGGGTTCAGCTTTTGATACGCCGAGAAGAGATTGCGCGGCAGCATGGCTTCGGTGAGAATTGCAAGCAGGCATGAAGGGGACCGGGGTGAGGTTCTTTCGTTGTTGATGAAGTCTATATAAACTCCTCAGAATCCCCCATGACTCTTTCTCCCTCATCTACTCATCAGCAACTCTTCAACCGATTTCCAAACTCCGATCCCTCTCATTTACATCGAACACCTGTTTAAACCACCCTCACCCACAACCTCGCAATCATGAAGTTCTACATCGCTGCCATTACTCTCCTGACTACCGCTGTCACGGTCATGGCTTCTCCAGTTGAGAGCGCTCAAACTCCAGGAGTATGGCATACCCTGTCCGGTGCTTAAGACCGAGCCCAGTACTGATAATGTGCAGAAATGCGGGGGGACTGCTTGCGTCCTCGAGAACGGTCAAATGGTGTAAGTTATCATATGAAGCCCCATCGTCGATTCCAAAGGCTGACATAAATACCCAGAGACTGTGATTATGGATCTGTAAGTGCTCCTGTATAGCCTTGGTAAATGGGTTGATGCAATTGACACTGATTTGAATAGTGCAAGGGCCATGATGGTGAAGCCTGCAATTCCGGAAAGGGAAACTACTGCCCGGGAGCCTGAAGTGGTGAGTCTGGGTACTACATCATGATATGCATACTCCGTGACTGACTTGTCCCGTTGTAGTGGCTTTTCAACGGTCCAGTATATGAAAGGCTGAGTTGTTGGTCTCGTCTTGATTCTTTCCCAAACCCACTTCGTGTAGTACAAGGAGGAGGATCTGTCGAACACTCTTTTTAGTATCTAGTTATTGAATCCATGCATTTCTGACCGCTCATTATTCTGCTTTCCGTAGATGTTGGATAGGAGATACGTGGGCTATAACGCCATATGGGTGGAGTAGAGTGGATGCGGTCTTGACTTCTGGGGGACGATCCTGGCTCCACTGTTTAGACAAGATACGTGACAGAGAGCGAGCAACTGGGGGTGGCCAGACAGCAGATTCATCCGTTCAGAATATTTTTTGAAAATCCGCTCCGTACGGAGTGCAGTTTCAATTAGTCTAGAATATTAGCCTTCTCACTGGCCAACATGTCCTCATGGCCGCTTTTTGCTCACTGTTTCGTAACAAGGCCAGTCACATGATGCAACTAAGCCAGCATTTCATTCCCGAAAACACAGGCACCAGGCACCTAGTTTGGAAATATTTCCTTTCAATCCACCTACACTTTGTTATATGAGCAGCATGTCAATCCCTGTCAGGAACAGGACCCTGACCCCCGGTCAAATTGAGGGAATGATATTCAATGGACAATCAATCATCATCGTCGACCAGAAAGTCCTGCGCCTCGACGCGTGGATCCCGTACCATCCGGGAGGCCACAAAACAATCGAGCATATGGTCGGGAAGGATGCGACGGACGAGATTTCAGTGTATGTTACCCCCCCCCGGCTAAGAAGGGGATCAAGAGAACTTGTTTTGACTGTTCCAAGGTTCCACTCAGAGGAAACGCGCCGGCAAATGGATCGATACCAGATCGGCAGGGTTGAAGGTCGTTGGCATAACTTCGTGCCACCTATCCAGGGGGGCTCTTTTCGGCCTTATCAAGAGACCTCGGAGGCACAAGGAGTGACCATGAGTCGAGAAGAATCCGCAAATGTTTCTCTCGGTCCGGGTGACACATCGGATGTAGGCGCCTCAGAACTCAACTATCGGCGCCTTCCCCAGCAACCTCAGGAATCTCAAGGGGAAAAACAGGGAGGATTGGCCTTTCTCGATACGCAGACTAAAGACGAGGTCACTTTGACACTCACTCGGTATCCATCGCTTGATCTGTCGACTCAAAACAAGATCATTGAGAAGTACCGTCATCTGCATGACCAAATCCAGGCCGAAGGCCTGTACCATTGCAATTACTCTGCATATGCCTGGGAGTTTGGACGCTGTTTTCTACTTGTCAGCATCATGCTGCTATTCCTTCACGCTGGGTGGTATTGTACTAGTGCCGTTTTCCTCGGGTTGTTCTGGTCGCAGATGGTTTTTGCCGCCCATGATGCTGGCCACATGGGCATCACCCATGATTTTTTTATCGACAACTTGATTGGAATGATAATCGCAGCCCCAATTGGAGGCTTGTCATTGGGCTGGTGGAAACGTACTCATAATGTCCACCACATCGTCACCAATGCCCCGGAACATGACCCTGACAACCAGCACCTGCCGGTCCTCGCCGTGAATCACAGATTTCTCGGGAATATCTTTTCCACCTACCATGGGCGCCTGTTGCCATATGATAAGGCGGCTCAATTCTTCGTTCAATATCAATCGTACCTCTACTATCCCATTCTGATGTTTGGGCGGTTCAACCTCTACGTGCAATCTTGGGTCTTTCTCGCGCAAGGCCAAGGCCCCCGAAAAGGCTCTGCGTGGTGGCATCGCTGGTTTGAGATTGCAGGAAACCTTGTCTTCTGGCTCTGGTTTGGCTACGGAATTGTCTACCAATCCATTCCGACAGCCTGGAGTCGGGTTGCGTTTGTGATGGTTAGCCATATGGTCACCATGCCACTCCATGTCCAGTTTACCCTATCTCACTTTGCCATGTCGACAGCCGATTTGGGTCCGCATGAGTGCTTTGCCCAGAGAATGCTCCGAACTACCATGGATGTCGATTGTCCGGAGTGGTTGGATTTCTTCCATGGTGGTCTTCAGTTCCAGGCCATTCATCATCTGTACCCTCGGATTCCCCGACACAACCTCCGACGCACACAGAAGCTCGTCCAACAATTTTGTCGGGAGGTCAACATCCCATATGCGCTCTATGGGTTCGTGGGCGGTAACAAGAAGGTAGTGGGCAGTCTTGCGGAGGTGAGTCGACAAGCCGCTATCCTTGCCAAATGCCAGCAGACAGTTGCACAAAGAGCGGATCTGATCCATGGCCACTGAACATTGAGTTGCTTCAGCCTTGGTTGCTAATCTAGCACTTTATGCTTGGCCATCTCGTAATAAAGATTGGTTGGGTAGATGTTTCTTTAGTGATAAAACAATGCTAGAAATATATTCATAGTAAATAACCAGGAATATGTAATTAATCCTATATTTCTTGGATTTTTATCACATGTAATCTATTGTCTAAATCACTTAGTCTTATTATCTAGAAATTATACGTGTATCTATCTTATCACTGATCTTAGTCTTAGATTAAGTAATTTTATATTACTTATATAGAAGACTCAAGTATAGTCTTCTGGTTATTTCTGAATATCTTTTACTATATTTTACTTTTTTTTTTTAATACCTACTTTAATTTATACCTATTTTTATTACTTTAGCTTATTAATAAGCTTTAACTAGAAACAATGGTATATAAGAATAAACTTTTGTAAAGTAATAATAGAAGTTTATAAATTCTAGAAATTTAAGAACTGTTAGAACCGCAGGCCCGCAGGGCGCAGGCCATGTAGTACTTTATATAGGGGAGGCAGGTATTCGAATTAGAGAGGTATCCAATGGAAACATGAAAACCCCGTCGACGACATACCGATCAATGACAGCGAGAACTTTGTGCAGATACATATTCTATGAATAGTGCACTAGGACGTGCTGGGACGCGTGCACGACTACAGCATTAAAAGAAGCGCCGAGACTACACAGTTGTTTGGCCGGCTATTGATTCAATTTGTCCTACTCTCTTACAATGAAGTGCTATACAGACGGCCATAGCTAAATACACCTGGAATGTACATGTATTCCGGCTTGGCCGCGTTGTTCCTTACCACGTTCCATATGACGGCAGATTCAGCCAAGTGACTCAAGTCTGTCACGAAGCCTGTACCCCCTCCGAATTGGTTATCTCCTACTAAGGGTAGAATACCGAGAAGATTACAGTGAATCATTAGTAGTAGAAGTATGACATGAAGCGCCTTCTATATTTTGTCTAATACAAGAGTGCCATCATAAACCCGTCCCCCATACCTAACCATACCACGTCTCCGGCCTGGCGGGCGTTGTCGGCTCGCTTTGTTTGGCTCAATCGCTTGCCCCTGGCGCCGCGCTGAGACGTGTCAAGAACTTCTGTGCGCGAATCTTTCCGTCTTTAAGACCCTTTAGGCCGTCAGACAATCCCTCGAGACCGTTTTCGCCGAGCGTGTAAGGATGACCTTTGAGCCAACCCTCACGCAGACCCCGTGCAAACGCTGCGCCCCATGCCACACCAATGAGCCTGTCGTTCTCATTCTCGGTGTGAACCTGACCGACCATAGAGAAGACAATATCAACACTCGGGTCCGAACCCTCGACCTCGGTTTTGAGCATGATGTTGGTCATCTTTGGCCTCCGACCAGCAGCATCCGGCGGGCCAGCAATGACCTTAGTGACAAGCCTGATCGTGTCATCCTCGGAAACGCTATCAAAGGCCTTCCAGCAGCGGCCGTCGGGAGCACCTCCCTTCTTGACGGCCTCCTGGGTCGCTTGGATCAGCTCCTCCCCAGTCGAATAAGCAGTGTAGTCGACAAGGACGTCTCCCTTGCTCTCATCGAGGAAGGGCTTGACAAATTCGCTCCGCTTGCTGCCTATCGCAATGATAGGATGAATATTGGCGGCGGCTGCAAGCTTGATAGCGAACGCTCCCGTGGCCGTACTGGCTCCATAAATGAGGAGAGGACGCTTGGTGCCCTCCTTGCCCGCGGCCTTAGAGCGTGGCGACCAGGGCTCTGGTAACTCGAGCTCTTGAAAGAGCGCGCAGACGGAGGTGTAGGCCGCTAGAGGAATCGTGGCAGCCTCCTCAAAGGTTGTTGAGTCGGGAATGTGGAAGGTAGTGTAGTAGGGTGCAAGGGCGTACTCGGCGAAGGCCCCGTGCGAGGCCATCATCTCGTGGAAAGCAGCCACGCGGTCCCCTTTCCTGAATCCGACGACGTCCTCTCCCACGGCTTCGACAATACCAGCGATATCATCACCAGTGTTCATATCCGAACCGTAGATGAGGGGGACCTTCCAATCCTTCGGGTTGGAACCTTTCAAACAGTCACGTTAGCTGCCGATCCAAGAAATTGGGCCGTGACGCATATACGCCATCCATGGAGAGACGAATGGTCTAGTGGCATAGATTGATTGGCCACTGCAGGGCCTCTTAACATTTAGTACTTACCGGCGACGATAACCTTGATCAGCACATAGCCAGGCCCCGGCGTTGGGACGGGAGACTCGACAATGTCGACCGACGTGTCCTTCGTAACAATCGCTTCCTTCATGATGAGATCGCTGAGGTTCCTTCGTGTGATTTCCGGTGGCGGGCTCGACTGGGAGGTAAGATGCAAATAGTTTTGGGGATAAGGTCTGGTCTGGTGTATCAGACCGGCGTGGCTCCTGTAGTCGCTGTATTTATAACTCATCCGCACAGGCTGACAAATTGGCCTAGAGTAGTTAACCAACTACTCCGTCGCCTACTAGCTAATGTAACCCCCTACCAAACCCGCCATCTGGGCGCTCCGAGATGGAGGTTGACGAAAACCACGCTATACCCACTAAAACAGATGAAACGATCCATAGGAGGAGTAAGCACTAACGGATGGAAGATGATGGTGTTCGGAGGAATCCAGAAGGAACTCCCGGAACTAAAGGATTGTTTCTAGAGAGGAATTAGTCACAGCTGATATACGATAACATATGCTACGACTCTTACTTTTCGAGCTTAAATCACATTCGAAGCCCATCGTCCACTGATGACGTGATCTATATTTGTAAAAGAGATAGCCGTTTAGGAAGTTCAAAAAGGCTATATGGGGTATGGTACAAACTATTCCGCAGCCCTCCAAACCAACACCGGGCAATGATCGCTGCAATTCTGACGGGGGGCAACCAATTCACTGGAATATTAATCTTGGCCAACTCTGGTGTTATCTTTTTTAGCAACCTTGGTCTCGCTGGCCATATGCCGCTTCTGCTCCTCACTGTCTGGATTTCGATTGGATGGTTTGGAAACATTTTCACTGCATTGTTTATCAACCGTTGGGGTCGACGAAACTTCCTCCTTACTGGGATCACTGGAATTACTATTTCCCTCGTGCTCGAATGTGCCCTGCAAGCAGAATATATTGGAAAAGAGAACAAAGAGAACGGTGCTGGCCTCAAAGCCGCGGTCGTTTTTCTTCTTCCTCTTCATCGTTTTCTGGGGTTGCTGCATAGATGCAACACCGTTTGTTTATCTTGCCGAAATCTTCCCCAACCATCTCCGCAGTCAAAAGACCGCCTGGGGTATTGTCGGGACAGCTGCTTCATCCATTATTATTCTCATTGCAGGTTCAATCGCGGTGGACAGAACTGGCTGGAAGGTCGTCCATGTGCTTATCGTCCCAACTAAGTTCTACTGGTTCGCGATCTTTTCTCTGTCCCCCGACACCAGTAACCGATCACTGGAGGATATTAACGTATGCTTTGGCGAAGAAGTAGCGGTTCATTACCACGAAGCTACAGAAGCCGAAGAGCAGGAATATCCGAGGGGAATGAAACTCCATGGGAAACAGGATGATGCCCAGCGGGAAAAGGGTTCAATGGCAGAGCACATCGAGATGACGGCTTGGCACAACACAAGTCGGTCAATTGATTATACGGTCTGTAGCTCGTCAATCACTCATCTGGTATAGTAAGAACACGCGAATTATATATCAAAGCCATCCTTATTTTCAAGGTACGCTCTTGCAGCGATCATGGACGCGTAAAAATCAAGATGTAATGGCGGTTATTGATCTCGAGCCTTCCCTTGAACGTGGAAATAGTTCCTTGCTGGTTGACCTTCTACTTGAATGCCTGCTTTAGACCTAATATTCTGTTGTCAGACTCAGACTGATGGATGTTAGTCACTGGAATGCGCTCTGTTGTTTTTCATTTTTCTTCGTTCACGTCACGCGTCTGGCCGATGAGCACTTGGACAGCATTTCCCATACCACGCCGCAAAAAGGGCTATTGAGTGATGCTATATGAAGAAGTTGACCATTCTCGGGTGCGTTGAATGCGCCAATAATTTGGGATTGTTGAACAAGAATTCTCCTTGGGGAGTCTGTCTGTTGCTCTTACAGGGCTTGGAGGGACTGGTCTTAATATGAATCATTCAGTCAACATGCAGATATCGTTGTAAATATTAACCGTAGTGGATGTGTGAGGTGAAAATGGGGCTGTCTCAGATAAGGAGCATCACTGCGAAGGCAAGAATTTAATCGCTGGCTGTAGCTTGGAATGTCAGCGTCAACAGGCAATCACCCTAAGGTAAAGAAATTAGTTGATGAAGATGAATGTGATTCCTCTTCCCCAACCACAAAAGTCTATCTGATCCAGGGCTAATTCATTGATATTACATCTTGCTCGGCATCCTCATTGCACCATCCAGTCGGATGGTAGTTCCGTTCAGCATGATATTCTCAATCCCCTGCCGTACTAACTGCGCAAATTCACTCGGATGACCTGCCCGTTTTGGAAATTCCATTGCGTCTTCCAAGCTCTTTCTCACTTTATCCGGCATCATGCTAGTCATCCGACTGTCAAAGAGACTCGGCGCGACTGTCACAACTCGAATGCCATAGCGGGCAAGATCCCGCGCCATCGGCAGTGTCATGGCCATCACGGCACCCTTGCTGGCAGAGTACGACACCTGTCCTTTCTGCCCATCAAAGGCAGCTGCCGATGCTACCATGACGATAACACCGCGCTCCGAGTCTGGACCAGTGGGTTCAACCTGGGCAATGTGCGTGAGGGCCTGGCGGATAAGGTCGATGGTGCCGCGCAGATTGATATTCACGACGAAGTCAAAGGCGTCAAGGCTGAAGGCCTTTCCGTCACGATCAAGTATCTACGGGAGAGTCAGTCGGTACCCACACTGTCCGAAGACTCTGGGAATGTAGTGTCACCTACGGTAGCAGGGTTTGCCACTCCGGCCGCGGAGACAACGCCTCGAAGTGGCTTGCTTGTCTGTTTGCTCCAATCAACAGCCCCCTTGACGGCGCTCGCAATGCTCTCCGTGTTTAGCACATCGCAAACAAAGAATTTAGCCGATGCTGGGAACTCTTTGGCCATTTCCTTGCCATTCTCCTCATTGAGGTCCAATATGGCTACATTACCAGCAGCTTTGCATATTTCCTCAACACAAGCTTTTCCAAGGCCCGATGCACTGGTCATGATGCGTAAGAATGGGACGATTGTCGCCTGTACTGGGGAACACTAACCCCCCGGAGACAATAAAGGTTTGACCTTCGATCTTCATTTGGAATGGATGCCACGTTACTGATGCAAACAATATTGCAAGGACGGAATTGATGGGGGAATGTCTTGGGTAATGTGGGAGGGAGTAACCCGCCGGAGATCAAGAGATCACCTCGGCTGCAGTGGGGCGATTCGGCCGAGGCACATTCGCTCGTGCAGCCATCAAAGCTCGGAACCGAATGCTGGTGCATTATTTATTCCCCGTGGCCAAGTTGAAGCTCGTGAATGACGGCAAAAATGTTTAATAGGTTCTGGTGGCACTCCCACTGATACTTCGCCATCTGGACATGTCGTCGGAAATGGTAACAGATGGCTTTTTACTCCCCCCCCCAGACTATAGCTCAGGGGTGTTACAGAAACCCAACGAGGTTAATACCCCACGAAGGCGGCACAACCAGGCAGAAGCCCAACACTAATCAACTGCTAGAGGATCAGGTGTCACAGGGGGTATATAGTTAGGTTAGACTCTTTATTTATACCTGACCACAGTATAGAAAAAATAATAATAATTAATTATTGTAATTCATCTCTTTAAAATCTATAAGAAAGAGAATATTTAATTTTTTAAAAAATATTAAAAATCAATATAAATTAATCTTATTCTAATTAATTTCATAAAATTTCTTTATCTTAAATATAATAAATAAAATCTTGATTTTTAATAAACAGTTCTTATTATATTAAGATACAGATAGACCTCCAAATAGGGCGGATCCGGATCCAAAAGTTGGATCTGGATCCGCCCCGCGGTTTAACACAGGGTGGATTAGACCTCCAAATGGGGCGGATCCTCACAATTAGCCCGCTGGGAATTATATCAGCGGGAATAGGTTGTTTTGATTTCATCATGGCGTTTAACAAAATTGTATGCCCATTTTTCACCAACAGTCTGGATAGGTGTAGTACCACGTTGGGAGAGGAAAATATTGGCCATTTCTTGAACATGGCATGGACGGGGGGCTGCTCAACGTTGATCCATAGATAATATCCATTGTAGAAGTGGTTTCTCTTCATTTGAAGTCAATTTATGCGAATTGGCGCGTTTTTCAGCCCGTGGAATAGTACCATGAAGTCGGGTTCGAAGAGTTGATTCAGGAACTTGAAAACAACGTGCTGCTTGCCGTACAGAAGAAATTTGAGATTCCTTCAAAGCTTGAACAGCTAGTGAAAGCCTTCCCTCCTGCTCAGCAGCATTTGTTGAATTTTGACATGCTTTTGGTGGCATGGTGGGTGGCTGAACTGGGCGAAGATAACAAACGCGGTCAGAACGCGAGAGGTTTAGGTGAGTGCTGAACTCCATACGGAATAGCGTCTATCTAACTCAACACAAATATATCGGTAGATGATGTCCACCAATGCCTTAAAAGATGGTTTGCCCGGCTTTACGCAGACGGCGTTGAGGCTGAGCGATTCCCATGGACCCGAGTCAGATAGGCCGCGTTGAGGCCCGAGTTAGGAAAGACACAAGAACCATGTCAGCCTCAGTTCCGAGCCTCATCAGGAAGCTAGACCCTGCGTGATGAGTGGATATGGGGCTTATACTATGATTCGCTGTGATGTGGTTCTTTGAGAGAGGCCTTGAAGATGAGCACGCCGCCTGACATACTTCAATAAGGGACAGTTCCTTCTCATACTTGAATAGCAGAAAGTCGGGATCCTGGTTTCTTCAAACATTTCAACTATAGTCCTCTTCTCTCATTTTGTTCCACTCACATCCCCCAACATCACATAAGCTTCCGGATGCAAGACGGGCGGCGACATACCTGAGGAAATGTCGCACAACGCCAACGCCAACGCCATTGCCGTCGTCGGTATGGGATGCAGATTCCCCGGCGCCGACTCAGCCGAGGAATACTGGCGTATCTTGGAGACGGGGAGGTCCATGTTGAGCGAGCTTCCCAAAGGCCGCTTCCCCACAACCGAACATCAGCGCAGCACCGACAAGACGGTATACTATGGCAACTACCTGGACAGCATCTCTAGGTTCGACAACCGTTTCTTCAAAAAGTCTAGCCGCGAAGCTGCGTCCATGGACCCGCAACAGAGACTTCTACTGGAGGTATCGTACCAAGCCCTTGAATCGAGCGGTTTCTTTGGTCCCCGCGAGCCAGACCTCGATGTTGGATGTTTCATCGGAGTATGTGCGTCTGACTACAACGACAACGTCGCCAGCCATCCATCCAATGCCTTTTCTGCCCTCGGTACATTGAGGGCATTTGTTCCCGGCCGAGTCAGCCATTTCTTCGGTCTCACTGGACCGTCGATTGCCCTGGACACGGCCTGTTCTTCGTCAGCCGTTGCCATTGACGCTGCTTGCAAGGCGATTCTTCATGGTGACTGCCGAAGCGCCATTGCTGGCGGTGTCTCTGTCTTCACAAGCCCTTTCTTCTACCAGAATCTCTCCGCCGCGTCTTTCCTCAGCTCCACGGGCGCGAGCAAGTCGTTTGACGCCAGCGCAGATGGCTACTGCCGTGGAGAGGGTATCGGGCTTGTCGTCTTAAAACGCCTCTCCGACGCTGTCGCCTGTGGCGACAATATCCTCGGCACGATCCTTTCAACCGCAGTCCGCCAGAGCAGCAACCAGGTGCCCATCACCGTTCCCTACAGCCCATCACAGACAGACCTGTACCGAAAGCTCCTCAGCACAGCTGGAATTACGCCCGAGACCGTCACTTATGTCGAGGCTCATGGTACGGGCACTCCCGTCGGAGATCCTCTCGAGTTTGGTGCGATCAAGGAGGTGTTTGGTATCAAGTCAAGAACAGACCCTCTATACTTTGCATCAGTCAAGGGCAACATCGGACATACCGAAGGTGCCTCTGGTGTTGCTGGTCTCATTAAAACAATCCTGATGATGCAGAACCACGCCATTCCAAGACAGGCTCATTTCAAGTCTGCGCACGCCAATCTTTCGCTGGTACCGGGGCAGATTTCCATCCCGACCGAGACTGTGAGGTGGGATGCAAAGAATCTTGTTGCATGTGTGAACAACTACGGAGCCGCGGGTAGCATTGCTGCCATACTCGTCCAGCAACCGCCGTCGCAGGGGGTTTCGATCGCCACATCGAGTGTGATCAGCAAGCATCCCCTGGTCATCACCGCCAACAGCGTGAAGAGTCTCGGCGAGAATTGTGCAAAGTTGGCGGATTATGTGTCCTCGCTCAAGGGCCAATCTGCTGCAGACACAAACCTGCTCGCAGATATTACATTCAACCTCAGCGACAGGCAAAATAGGACACTGCCGAATATGTTTGCAACAGCTGTTTCTAGTCTATCCGAACTAGACAGCCAACTTCGTACAGTGGCTTCCAATCCCAACTTAGCCATTTGCCAAGTTAACCCCAAATCAAAGCCTGTCGTTCTCGTTTTCGGTGGCCAGTCGAGTCGCTCTGTGGGCCTGAGCAAGAGCGTCTATAAGTCGTCGAAGCTCCTTCGCAAATATCTCGATGAGTGCAACGACATACTTAAAGGATTCGGTCAGAGTGGCATATACCCTGACATATTTGACCCAGCACCGGTTGATGACGTGGTGTCGCTCCAGACAATGCAGTTTGCGCTACACTATGCTTGCGCCCAGTCATGGATCGCCTGTGGTCTGAAGATCGACTGCGTTCTCGGCCACTCCTTCGGCCAGCTTGTCGCTTTGACTGTGTCCGGTGTCCTGTCGCTCATCGATGGTCTCAGATTGGTGTATGGACGAGCGGTGCACATGCGCGAAATGTGGAGTCCTGAGAGAGGTTCCATGCTTGCCATCGAGGCAGACCGCGAAACTACCATAGATATCATCTCCTCGGCACGAAAAATGACATCGCCTTCCGGTTCTGGACTTGAAGTGGCATGCTTTAATGGACCGACCAGTCATGTCCTGGTTGGATCTGCTGCTGAGGTCGACGCTGCTGTGCAGGTCACCAAGACGAGCAACGCTAAAGCCAGGGTCCTGGACGTGACGCACGGCTTCCATTCGCGGTTCTGTGATCCTATTATCCCAGAGCTGGAGAGGCTCGCACGTGGTCTTACATTAAACAAGCCCTCGATCCCCCTCGAGAGCTGCTCCGCTGGTGAATCCTGGCCCGAGGTCACTGCCAACCTGATCGCCGACCACACTCGAACACCTGTCTACTTCGGGGATGCTGTCAAGCGAATCGAAGCGCGATTCGGCGCATGCACATGGCTGGAAGCTGGATCGAACTCTTCCATCACCAGCATCGTGCGCCGTGCTCTTCCGAATCACAAGGACCATCTCTTCTGTCCAGTCAACCTCACTCGAGACGACAGCATGAGCGCCTTGGCAGACACAGCAGTAAATCTCTGCAAGAACGGTACTCATGTTCAATACTGGCCATTCCACCACATCCAACGCCAGGAATACCGACCCTTGAACTTGCCGCCCTATCAGTTTGAGAAGAATGAACACTGGCTCGAATTTGACCTACAGGCAGGAACCGGCTCTGAGCCAACTTCCATGGCATCTAAGGGATCGCAACCGGTCATCGCCGAGCCTGAACCAGAACCAGAGCCGGAGCCCGTGCTTTTTGAGTTCTGCGACCTTCAAGACATTGGCAACGGCCAGAAGCAGGCTACGTTCGCTATCGACCCAAGGTCTGAGGAGTGGAGGGTGCTCGTTGCTGGTCACTCCGTGTTGCACGAGTCTCTATGCCCGGCAACACTATACATTGAGCTGGTTCTCAGGGCCGCTAAGGGTCTGGCAAATATCAAGAATATGTCGTCTACCCCTTTCGCCCGCGTGGACGACCTCGAGATATCCTCTCCCCTCGGCATGAGCCAGGAGAAGATGGTCCATCTTGTGCTCACGCCGTCCGATGCTGCCGGTCGCAAGTTCAACTTCACTTTTCTTTCACAGAACCGCTCTGGAAAGCCGGCTGCTCTACAAACCCACGCTACTGGCACATGCGAGACTGCTCCAGAGGATGATACAACTGTCTTCGCCGAGCTCGAGAGAACCAGGAAGCTTCTCAAGCACATGCACAAGGGACAGGACCATGCCCAGAGATTCGCGGATATGGCTTCACAACTGGGCGGCGAGGCCGTCTACGGGTCAATCGTCTACAAGGTGTTCTCCAGGGTAGTCCAGTACCACGACTTCTACCAAGGTGTTCGAAAGCTCGCAAGCACAAGCGACGGCTCTGTCGCCGCCGAGGTGTACCTACCCGAGACACAACCAGGCTTCTCAAAGGATCTTTACTCTTTGCCCGTGGCCACCGACAACTTCTTCCAGGTTCCGGGGCTGTTCGCAAACTGCTTGGCTCCTTGCCCGTCAGATGAAGTCTTCGTCTCTACTCACGTTGACCGCATCCAGTTATCGCCTGAGTTTGGCAAACAACAGGCTGAAGGGAGCAGCTGTGGCTGGGAGGTTTTTGCCATGTCTACCTCCATCAGCGACAAGGAAAGCAGCAATGATATTTTTGTCACGGACAGGGGTACTGGTAAACTTGTCTTCGTTGCTTTTGGTGCAAAGTTCAGCAGGGTGAAGACGGCAACACTTGCCAGGATCTTGTCTCGCGCCAACCCCAAAGCAACGTCTGCACCTGCACAAACTGAGGCGCCTCAAAGAGGTCCAGTTCCAGCTATCCAGGCCATATCAAAGCCTGTGGCTGTGAGGCCGAGCCAATTAAAACAGTCTATACAGGCTCAGCAGCCGACACAACAAAAGACTGCACCTCACTTCGAAGCAGTGCCTGCCAAAAGCATTCCATCCTCATCACCACCTGTCATCCAAGCGCCACCTCAGTTACCCAGCGTCGAGAAGGAGCTCCGACAAATGCTGAGCAAAATCACTGACGTCCCCGCGAATGAGTTCCAGACGAATGTTGCCTTGGACCAACTGGGCATCGACTCCCTGATGGCCACGGAAATGGTATCAGAAATCCGACAGGCCTTTAACATCTCGATACCGCAATCTGAGCTCGCTGATCTGGAGACGTTTGGATCGTTGTGCTCATACCTAGATGGCCATGAGAGTCGACAATGGTCTGTCCATGCACTGGATCAGCCATCTCAAGCCAAGCTTGGTCCTGTCCAATCTGCTCCGACTATCACCTCAATCCCAGAGAAAATTACTATCCCTGAGACTAAAATTCAAGAGCAAACCACATCAGAGATTGGAGCTTCAGACGTGCCGGACTACGAACAAGAAGAAGAGCTGGTCGCGCGACTTGCTGGTTTGCTGGGCACTCACCTCGAATGTCCAGCTACGGACTTTGAACGCTCAACAAACCTCGCGGATCGCGGTCTGGATTCTCTTCTCAGCATGGAGCTCATGAGCGACATCGATGGAATGTTTGGTGTTTCAATTGATCCGTCGCTTATTTTGGGCGAGAGCACCTTCGGACATCTCGCCGACATCCTCGTCAGCTCGGTCATCTCTCTACGGCCTGCAGGGAGTACGGATTCAAGCACAGTCCCTTCTACGAGAGCACTGTCGCCTGGAATTGTGACACCGGGCATCGCGACACCGGGAACCATCCCTGACGATATTGTCGATGGTGGCGGTATCTTGACAACAGCTACCAAGGTGCAGTCTGCTTCGACAACAAGTGTCCTCGGCAGTGCAGCCCAAGCATTTGAAACAATCAAAGTGGACTTTGACAAGTTCGCAGAGAAATACCGATTTGGCGACTTCTACACCAAAGTTGCAGACAAGCAAGCAGAGCTGGTCCTGGCCTACGTGGTCGAAGCCATGGCCGATTTGGGTGTCGATCTGAGGACTCTGAGACCAGGAGACCGGATCTCACGAATCCAGGTCGCGCCAAAGCATGAGCGCATGATTAACGTCTTCAATGAGGTCCTCCGCGCGGGCAAGTTGGCCGACTACGATGGCAAAGAATACGTCCGCTCGGACGTGTCGGTTGATACAACCCCATCAAGCGTCCTGCATAAGGATATCATCGAACGGTTTCCTCAACACGCCAAAGAACATACCCTGCTGAACCTCTGTGGATCGGACATGTCCAAACTCCTAACTGGTAAGATGGATCCTCTGGCGGTGCTCTTTGGAAGCAAAGCCAATAAGGAGATCCTGGAGGATGTGTACACCACGGCGCCTATGTTTGTGGTTCATTCGGAGCTGCTCACAAATTACCTCGAGAAGGCATTGAGTAGCTCCTCGCCCGGACCTGATGGCAAGTTCCATATCGTGGAGCTCGGAGCCGGCACTGGTGCCACGACGCGGTGGATCGTGGACCGACTGGTGCAGTGCGGAATCCCCATCGAATACACCTTTACCGACATCTCTTCTTCACTTGTTGCGGGTAGTAAGCGCAAGTTTGCCAACTACGACTGCATGAAGTACGGCACGATCGACATCGAAAAGGAGCCGCCCGCCGAGTACCAAGGACAGTTCGATATTGTGCTCGCAACCAACTGCATCCATGCCACCAGCAACCTCCGCAACTCTATGGGAAATATCAATAAGCTCTTGCGGCCCCACGGTTTCGTGTCTCTGGTTGAGTTGACGACTAGGAACTACTGGCTGGACATGGTCTTTGGGCTCCTCGATGGGTGGTGGCTGTACGATGATGGACGGCCATATGTGCTGGCGACTCCCGAGTTCTGGGACAAGACAATGCGACAGGTCGGCTTCAAGCATGTGTCATGGACAGGTGGTCATACGCGCGAATCAGAGGTTGTCCGAGTCATCACCGGTTTCAAGCAGCCCGTTACAGACCCCTCCTCTTATCTCAGCATGCCGCAGGAGAAAACTGGGAACATTGAGACGGTTGTCTTTGCACACACAGACAAGAAGCTTCCGCTGAGGGCCGATATCCACTACCCCTCGTCGGCGCAGGAGGCAAGGTATGATACTTGGGTTACTGGTACGGTATAATTCTGGGTTATTTCTTCACAAATGTACAGGCCGGAGCTGACATTGCTCCGGTATAGGCTTAGTGATTCACGGAGGAGGACATGTAATGTTATCACGTCGAGATGTTCGACCACGTCAAATACAATTACTTCTTGATAATGGTATTTTGCCTGTATCAGTGGACTACAGACTGTGTCCCGAGACGACCATCCTGGAGGGACCGCTTGTCGATGTCGTCAACGCATATGCCTGGACAAAGAAATCGCTGCCATTGCTGAAATTGACAAAGACGCGAATCAACGAGAGACTCGACCATAACAAGGCGGCCGTGATCGGCTGGTCAACTGGTGGCACGCTAGCCATGTCTCTGGCGTGGACCTCGATACCACGTGGGATCTCTCCCCCAACCAGCATCTTGGTCTTTTACTGTCCAACTGACTACGAGGATGAATTCTGGCGGAAACCCAACGTGCCAGAACACTCTGACAGCTTCGGCAACGAATCCTACAACGTCATCGACGGAGTTCACCCCGCTCCCATCACGGCATACAACGTGCCCTCCAAGATCAAGGCAGCAGCCGGGTGGATGGCGCCTAAAGACCCTCGCAGTCGAATCGTTCTTCATATGAACTGGCACGGACAGACGCTTCCTGTTCTTTTCCGTGGGCTACCATCGGGATCGAAGGTATCTGGGCAGGCTGCGGCAGACTTCAATCGGCTGGAGCAGCCATCAAGGGAAGATATTATCCGGGCTAGTCCCTATGCACAGATCCTTCAAGGGAACTACAAATCGCCAACCCATATTGTGTTTGGCACCAAGGACGATCTGATTCCGTTGGAACAGGCTCAGCGAACAGTTGACGCAATGAGAGACGCGGGCATCGCGTCGGGGATTACGATTGCGCCCGGACAACCTCATCTGTTCGATCTATACCGTGATCCTGATGGCAAGCGCTGGGGTAATGTCGTGGAAGGCTACAAGTTTTTGCTACAAAGACTGGGGAGGGAAATTGTTTAGGCTGTGATGTATAGCTATGAATTACTGGTAGAGTAGAATGAAATCTCACGATATTGGATTGGATTTTTGCCTCGCTTCCGCCAATAGTTGCTGAGCCCCGAGTTATATCTCTGTGATTGCTAAACCTTGGACCCGAGTGGCCGAAATTGCAGCCATACGACTAGCGTGAGATGTTCAGATCGATTGGAACTAGATATCTATGATAAATCGCAACGTGCCGGTCTGAATTAACTAGTAGACCAAATCTAACTCCCATACAACATGCATCTAGGAAATCTATGTCAGCTTCTCGATAGCAGCGCCTGCCGGCTAGGCGAAATCACCATACTAGCAATCCTAGTGATTGCCGTCATTCTATTTCGATCATGGCTACGTCTGAGACATATCCCAGGCCCACGGACAGCATCTTTAACAAACCTCGTGCGACGATCCTGGGTAAAGACCGGAGATGCGCATCAGATACACACCGACCTACACCGCAAATATGGCACTGTAGTACGCTCCGGACCCAATGCGGTCATTGTATCTCAGCCTAAGGCCATCGACACTATATACGGGTTCAAAAATCGGCTTGAGAAGGTACGTTCACCAGGACTGATTCTAAACCACCCTACTGACATCACTCAGTCAGAATTCTACGACTCCATCATGCCCCGAAGCAAGGGCGGAAAACTCCCTGATATCTTCGCAACCCGCGACGAAGACGTCCATCGCCGAATGAGAAGGCCCGTGGCTCGATTATTCTCCGTGACGAATTTGACTACATTCGAGCCAGCCATGGCGTCTACTATGGAGCACTTCTTCTCTCGTCTGGATGAACGCTTCGCGAATAAGGATGCGGAGTTCGATCTGTTCAAATGGATTCAGTTCTTCATGTTTGATGTTTTGGGACAGGTCACTTTCTCGCGCGAGTTGGGATGTTTGGAGAATGGGGATGATGTCGATAGTATCGTGGCGAACATTTGGGCTTATTTTAGAATGGTTGCTGCTGTACGTTTATCACCGGTATGATATTCGGGGATTTTAGCTAATGATGCAGAATACGCAAATGCCCTGGCTTGATTATCTCTGGCGAGATAATCCGCTCGTTCCAGGCTCTACAAAGAGAAACCCACTGGTTGAGTTTGGATTTGCACGAATCACGGAACGGATGAGCTTGAGCGAGAATGAGAAGGAAAATCTCGGGCAGACGGATTTTCTCGCGTGTTTTCTCCAGGAACAGGCTAAGGATAAGGATAACACTCTTCCCCCTCTGTACGAAGACCCAAATCAAACCATGCAACAAGAATTGACAGATGTATAGGTTCGTCCCGACATGGGTAAACTCGAACATCGTGGCCGGCGCAGACACAACCAGCATCCTAGCCAGCGCGTGCATGTACCATCTCCTCAAGAATCCTTCTTCCCTCGCAAAACTCAAAGCAGAAATCGACGTCGCGACTGCTAAAGGCCGTCTCTCGAGATACGTCACTTGGAAGGAGACAAAGGAATTATCGTACCTTGACGCCTGTATCAAGGAGGCTACGAGGATGCACCCGCCTTTCGCCCTTCCTTTTGAGCGTGTAGTGCCTAAGGATGGTCTGGTTGTCGATGGGTATTTTATTCCTCCAGGCACGAGAGTCGGCATGGTAAGAGTCCCGGGTTGCTAAATCTACTATGTATGAGAAGTTGACGTCTATAGAACCCGTGGGCAGTGCACCGCGAAAAATGGCTATTTGGTGCGGATCCGGACGCCTGGAGACCTGAACGCTGGCTATGCGGTGAGGCCAAGCAGCAGGAAATGTATAAGTCTCTGTTGACGGTAGGTCTACATTCATTTGTCTTGCATTGTATGGCGTGCTTACTTTGCGTTCAGTTTGGCGCCGGTCATCGAAGCTGTCTCGGAAAACATCTTGCTTATTTCGAGACGTATAAACTTGTTCCGTCTCTTTTGCGGCAGTATAATGTAAGTGCTACATAATTACTACTAGATAATCTGATGCTAATTGAACAGATTGAACTAGTAAGTCCTGTTGGCGACTGGACGGTTGAAAACAAGTGGTTGGCCAAACCGTCTGGGTTCCAAGTTAAGATCTCATCCCGCAAATAGTGACTCTTGTAAATAGCATTGATTAGAAATGAAAGTATTCCATTCTTTCCATTTACTTCGTTGATGATAGATTACGTAGAAAGATAAATCTGACAGGCTGAAGCGACTGCGAGGCTTTGTTACTCTGGACCCGAGTTAGGTCACATATGCATGTATAGCCCCAACGCGGCTGAAGCCTTCCAAGTGCCGACATCTCACTAGGAACACGTTGATAACTCGGTCCATGCAGCTTAATTCCAAACACACCTGCAGTCGCATATATACTGTGCCACCCGTACTCCAATTACCAACCGACCAAGTCATCTATCCATTCTACTCTCAACAAAATGCCAGCCCTTACAACCCTACCGCCGACACCACCACTGATGGTGTGGAACTCGCTAGTGAAGAAATGCCTTCCGCAGAGCGACAACAAAGACATCGAATTCTGGTGGAAGCTCACGGGCTATCACATCGCAGTCATGATTGAGGCGGCTGGATATTCCATCGAGAAGCAGTACGAGGTTCTTCTCTTTCACTATCACTGGATTGTACGTAACTCCTCCATCATACTCAACCTAGTCACCCCTTTAACACAAAAAGAAATAGGTCCCCCGACTAGGCCCTGCCCCCAAACCCGACGGAACCCCCAGCTTCAAATCCCTCGTTGCATACGACGGCTCACCATTCGAGTACTCCTGGAAATGGAACACGTCCACCGGTGAGCCCGACATCCGATACTCCTGGGAAGCCATCGGCAAGAACTCAGGGACTGCAATCGATCCGCTCAACCACGACCCCACACTCGAGTACATGGAAAAGGTCACCCAAGTTCTCCCCGAAGTCGATTACTCGTGGTATAGACACTTCCTGGCGGAAATCTATAACCCTGATAGAGGATTTTATGCCGCGGAGCTGGAAGCTGGTGAACCGCCCGCCACGACGCTCATGCATGCGGTTGAGTATAACAAGAAAAAGAACTTTGGGCTGAAGTCGTATTTTCTCGCCAGGAAGTTGTTCCAGGGTGGTGATCCAGCTACGACGCAGGAGTGGGACGACGCGATTGTGAAACTTCATCCGGGCGAAGCACACCCGGGTAGAGATGTGCTTATGCATTTCCTATCCACCAGCCCGGAGGGAAAACTCATGAAGCCCTGTGTCTTGGGAATGGATAACGTGGAGCCATCGCAGTCGCGACTGAAGATGTACTTTACCTCCGCGCATACGAGCTTCGCTTCCGTCCGCGAGATCATGACCATGGGTGGAATCTGCGACATCCCCGAAGAGAGCCTTCAGGATCTACGCTCCATGATTCTAGCCGTGCTCGGCCTACCAGCCGATTTCCCCGAGGACAAGGAGATTTCCGTCGAAGCCACGACTGGCGGAACGGTGTGGAAGGACTTCGAGGCGCTCTGTGAGGGTTTCATCTATTTCTTCGACATCGCCCCCACGTCCGGTAAGCCCGAGGTGAAATTCTACCTGACAACGCGCAAGTACGGTGCGGATGATCTGACTATTGCGCGCAATTTGATGAGCTGGATGCAGGCGCACGGGCGGGGCGAGTACTGCGCTTCGTATATTTGGATGCTGGAGAGGTTGGCTGCGCATAGAGGGTTGGAGAATGGGAAGGGGATGCATGCGTATATTAGTTATCAGTGCTCGAAGAAGGGGGAGCCGGATATCAAGTCGTATATCTCGCCTGAGCTGTACCATAAGGCTAGGTATGAGGGGGTCTAGGATAGTCACTAGCCGAATGATAAGATAATGATTTTCAGGCCAGTATCGTGTTTAGCATACCATATGGAGTAATGTTGCTTTTTTCGATTCTGTTTTCAGAAAGGTTGCTATGGTGAGATCTGCTGTGTACGAGAATCTGGTTGCCTCCTATAATTTTTATTATGAAGGAAATCAGACCTGTTGAGTATAATTCCCTCAGCCAACGCCACCTTGCAAGAGCGGATAGAAACCGAAGGAAATTTTGTTGATCTATATAGGTGATTGTTGTGAAATTCTAGACTGCAACCAGCCAAGCGATAATGACGACGCCGGTGATGAATTGTCCCACGATATTTCTCCATCCCACGAAATAACTCTATCCCATGAACTCTCTCTGCTTCCCAGTCGTACATCCTCCTTTAGTTGACGGGCTGGGGCATCATGCAACGCAGAAATCCAAGGAAACTGACTTTGCTGCTGCTGAATGTCAGCCCAGCTGTCCAGCGCCAGTCTCTCACACGTATCGGTAATTAACAATGATAACCAGCGATTTTCTTTGGGATTTAAAACCGATATCCCACTTATTAAAAGAATCCATAGAAGTAACGGTGCATCAGCGTTTGAAAAATCCGATGCTATGACGCAAACATCTTGCAAGGCGCTTCCCAGACGATCCGAAAGAAGCGGGATGCTAGATCCATCACGGGTGTACTCGGGTAGTAACGTCGTCATGAATGCCAGCATGGCAAGGTATATCACATCGCCATACAGTCCTCCAGACTTGTTGGAGCGTTGCCGCAGAGGCGACACCTCCACGAGACGATAAAGAAGTGATAGAAGTGTCTCGGTATAGTCTAGAGGGTTAAGCTTCGGTCGGTTCCCCCTCTCTGTCTCGTTTAGCAGCCTTGAGAAACTGAACAGATCTAGCATCAGTGGGATCCAAGGTGCGGCTTTGGGGAATTGTCCGCTACTGATGGCGCAGAGGATCGGTTTAACGGGCACCTCGTCGCCGCGAAATAGAGTTTCTGTGCCATTTTGCATTGCCAATTCAATATCAAGTCTGGGATAGTTAGATTATCTAGAAGGGAATGCTAAACAGGCAGCAAAATCAAGCAAGTTACATACCTTAGAGGCTTCATCGCCAACGGCCGATTCTCTTGCATCAGCCTGCCAATTCCACCTCGCAGCTCAATCATGCGATAAAGCCCATGGAGATGTACCAATCCAGTCGCAGGCTGGTGATGTACCTGCTGGTAGATGGCGAGACTAACCACAGCAGCAATGGCACTGTCGGAAACGGAAAACGGACCCGACAGTTTAATGTTGACCAGAGCATACGCCTGAGAAATGTGATGGAGAGTTCTGGATGATACTGCTGCTTTCCGCGCCAAGAAGTCAACGTAAGACGCAGATATAGCCAACGTGCTATGGAAATCTGCATTAATGGTCAATACGAATGCATAGACTGGTTGGCTACAATGTCACTCACATGCTTCATCTGCCAGAATGCAGTTGACCCAGATCGACTTGATAATCTCGAACTTGGTGCAGAACTGCGGCGGGAACAGCGCATCGCTTATGTCAAAAAACCCTAATTTCGTCAGAAACAAGGGACTATGAATAACTACCCTCGAGAATAAAGACAACATACATCGATGCATAAGCGCCATAGACGCTGAGTCCATCTCCTGCGGAAACGAAGTGAGACACAAATCGCCCCAGAGTATCTGTCTTGGCATCTTATACCCGAACTCTGGGGCAGTTAGGAGGTGCCTAAGCGCTGCAACGTTCTTCTCCTTCTTGGTGGAGCGGCGCTGCTTGCCCTTGTTCTTGCCTCGCATGACATGGGAGCGGATGATGCGCCTATCAGAACTTCCTATCCCGCTGGAGCTCTGGTCGATGAACTGCAGCACCATGGTGACAGTGGTGGCTCATGTTATGCCATGGCCATCCAGTTCCTTCTTCCGGTTTCCGGGTTTCGACGCTACCACAGGAGATGATGGAGAGGGGTGTTGGTTGATGATGACGATGATGATAACATGGCGGTCTGCGATCAGCCTCATTATGGACGGAATCTATCCCGATACCCCTGTATCACGTGCTAGAATTGTCAGCTGACTTTATTGCGGCAAAATAGAATTAAACATAGATCATTAAATGGATGAGAAATATCAAGCGAGAAATATTGAATAATTGAGTGAAGGATTTTGGGAAAGTTTTTAGAATATCAAATTATTCACACTTTTCTAAGAAATGTAAGTTAACTATGGGTCACTGAGAACAAGCATCCATATCCATCTTATAGGAACATTAACTATAGGGTACTGTGACTCGAGCAAGGTACGAAAAAGGGATACCATCCCTGGGAGAACTGTACTATTTTGAAAAGAGAGTGGAATAGCGAAAATGATGGGACGGGCCGAGATACGAGCCCCTGAACCGCCCGACCGCGAGGAACACGAACATTCACCACCGCGATTATTGAGACCAAAGCGCTCTACCTGACCACCTACAAACTATGCCCAGGAGTAAGAAATCGATTTCGAGCAAAGCAACGCGCGTTCCCAACGGAATAAAAAGACCCAAGGCAAGCCAGTAGTCCAGCGTGAAGCGGCGCTCTCGGAGTCATCGACGGAGAGCGAGGACCCGGACGCCTCGGAATTGTTACAGGAACTCGGACGACTCAGGAAGGAGATCAGACAGCGAGACGAAGCACACAAGGAAGAACTCCAAAACGTCAAGGCAGAATTCACCGCCCTCAAAGAAGAGTTCGGTACCACCCTTCCAGACGTTCGACACGAGCTACGGTCCCTGACGGATGGAAACGCGACACCGCAATGCCGCCCCGAGACCCTAAATTCTTTAATCCAGAAATCCAGTAGATCTGGATCTGGATCTAACTTTTAGATCTGGATCTGCCCTATTTGGAGGTCTAAACTTGAGATTATCTAGACTTACTAATAAATAAATAAAATATCTCTTTTTACTAATTCCTAATATCTTATAACAGATAATGAATATGCTTTAACTACTAAGAATAGAATATTAAATACTTGAAGAAGCATCTTTAAGCTAGTCTACTAACTAATAATACTTTATAGAAACTGACTATAAGATTTGAAGCTCAGATATTAAATATAGAAGAAAGTACTATATACACTTTAAGAAGACACGGCGTATATCTAAACATGCATGTATTAGTAGATTAGTGATAGTTACTCTCTCGGCTCAGCTGCCGGGCGTTAATGAATTATGTGTGTGTGGATGGGTCACTGATATATATAAGCGCAATGCGGGGTTCTCCCCAATGATCAAGAGGAATATATACAGAGAGCCATTCAACACTTCTAAGTAAAACTCAAGTAAAGAAATCTATACCACACCTCATATGATCAGAATAAGCAAGAAGATATTCTTGTAGGTCGTTTGTTGATCAATAATAGTCTCATGCTTAGGTCCACTTGCTAATATCAAAAGGCACAGCGTGGTACCCATCAAAGAAACCGTGAGGATCATAAGCATTTTTGAGCTTTGTCAGGCGCTCATGACGCCAGTCCTGGTATCCATAAAGAGCCGACAACGGCTCATCATCATGAGCATAGTTCTGGTAGACATGGAGCTTATCATAACCAGAGGTATTAGCGAATCTGTCACGCCAAGCGCGGAAAAAATCGTCAACTTCCTGTCCGACACTGTCATCTTCGTAGACTCCGATCATTTCAATGACGTTTTCAAAGTAGTCGCGGTGGGGGAAGGCAGAGTAGTCGTTGCCGAGCGCCTGCATGCCCTGTACCGGGAACGTCTCGATCATGACGGACGAGCCGTTGGTGGCGGGGTACTTTTGCATAAAGGATTCGAACTCGTTGCCGAACTCAACCCATGTTGCGGGGTCGAGGGTCTTGGCGTTGAGAGCGTACAGATCGTATCGTGGGCCTGAGGCGCAGGACAAAGGGATGAGGCCGAGAACGGACTTTTCGGGGAGTTGTTGCCACTTCAGCATGTGCTCTTGAAGGCTCTGGCTGTAGGGTGAGAAGAGCTTGGTGTACTTTCGGGCTTCTTCCTCGGGGCCGGGGTAGACGATGTTGACGACCATGTTGAGCTACATTGGTTAGGGAGCGTACTCTGAGTAGGACGAAAGTTTACTTACATCGTTGGTGGTGGCATTCAATGAAAGGAAGACAAGAAGAGCCAGTTTATCTTCCAGAGCCGGAGTGGTCAGACTGTTGATAATCTCGGTGACTTGCTTGATTTCGCTCTTGGCGAATGTCATGTCGGCGCTGTAGTGAATGCCTCCATGGGTCGCAGGCCAAGTCTCGTACGTCGACTCAAACACAATGCCATAGTTCTGGCCAGAGCCTCGGATACCCCAAAAGAGATCAGGGTGCTGGGTAGCAGAGGCTTCAATGATGGTACCATTCCACAACGCTAAACGGACACTGCGGAGAGCGTCGCTAGTTAGTCCGTACAGGCCTTGGAGACGACCCAATCCTCCTCCGAGCATAGCACCAGTTGCGCCAACACACGGGCATGATCCAACGGCTGCGACGGTTAGAATGGATATGAAATACTAGTGCTCATCAGGGACGTACTCAGCTCTCTTCCAGCCCCACCCACGGTGTCGATCAAGTCACCGAAATAAGCGCCTGTGCCAACAACGACGGTGCCTTTGTCCTGCACATTGACATAGTTGAAGTTTTCGAGGTTAATCAAGACGGCATCCTGGATGGATTGGAGAGTAGGAGAATATCCATGCCCTCCCGACCTGGCCAGGAACGACATATTCTTGCTCGACATGTATTCGAGCTACAGTTCCTGCGATTAGCCTCTATACTCAACACAGGGGCAAAGTAACTTACACCCAAGGAAAGATCATTTTCGTTTTCAGGGAGAAAGACTTCATCAAACGTTGGCGCCCTGTACGACGACCACCGCTTGGTCTTATTGGCAAATTCCGGCCAAGACTCGCCGTAAACCTGACCATTCAATGCCGAAGGCCACACAGAGCTGTGTGGGGGAGAGGCACTACGCTGATCAAGTCGTCCAACAGTGAACGGGGTACTAGACACAGTCTGAACGGCAGCCAGCAGCGCCGTCACGGCCTGCGGAATAGTAAAACGGACCATTTCTGCAGGAACTAATTTTCAAAGTGAGGTAGAGATAGAACAAGCACTGAGAGTACAGTACAGATATATAACCTTCAATGTGAGATGGTTGCGCGGCTCTTCTAGGTTGCTGAACACTTGAAAGCCACTATGGGTAGTGCTGACAGTGATCCTTCTTGCAGAAATTAGGCTATGGGTGACAGCGATCGAAGCCAATCGATCGTCTCAGCTATAAATAGTCCCTCGATTTTGGACCCTAACGTCCCTGCAAGTGGAGTGCATATGTGATGTGAGGACCTGCATGGGGCACATCAGGCATATGGAATAGCAAGTTTGCCTTACAAGGCTGAAAGGTTCGTGACTCGGGTCCAGTGATGGAGGCGGGACTCGGGTCTGAGATGGCGAGAATAAGCATTTGCGCATCGAGTTGATGTGCGATAAAACTAGAATAATATGAATCTGTCAGTGTCGTAGTCAATCTAGTCAATCTAAGACCCAGATACTATTCTCAGTTAGTTTTTCACATTTATCAAAACGAAATGAGCCCCAGCGCAATGCCACCATCAGCACCATGCGACGGCAAGACGGTAGTTATCACGGGCGCTGCCAACGGCCTAGGCCAAGCAGTAGCCATCGCCTTCGTCGCAGCGGGAGCAGATCGCATCGCTATAATGGACAGCTTCAATTCCAGCTTCTCAGAGACCCTTGAACGAGCTTCCGCGGCCGCTATCGAGGCCGGGAGACCAGCGCCGGAGCTATCTTCTTTACAGCTCGACGTGGGTGATCCCGCTAGTCTCGAGAATGGGGTTAACCAGATCCACTCACGATGGGGACATGTCGATGTTCTGATCAACACGATATCTCAGGTACAACCGTTTGAAACCAGCGATACTGACGCGTGGTGGAAGACTTGGGAGATGAATGTCAAAGAAGCATTGGTGGTCGCGCGCACTTTGCTGCCGCTGCTGTTAAAGGGAACCGACAAGACTATTGTCTATGTCATTCCGCCCAGCTCTTCCCCCCAATCCCCATCTACCTCGCATTATCTGTCCGAGTTAGCAATGATGCGTCTCTCCGAGGATCTGACCCTCGAGCACGGGAACGACGGACTGTTGGCATATTCACTACAGCCTGGCTCTCAGGAAAAACAAACCCAGGAATCAGATTCAGTCAAACGGAGTAAGTAAAACCCCCAAAATCACATTGACCAAACACTGATCAACCAGAAGTGGCCAGCGAAACCTTAGTCTACCTGATCAGCGAACGGCGTGAGTGGCTAGCTGGCAGACACGTCAACTGCAGCGAGGATATGCGGGGAGTTATCTCTCGTAATAATTACTGGGATGCGGATGATTTCCTGGAGCTTGGAACGTCTGTTAATAAGATGCCTGTGGCTTCTGGGAAGACCAGGGGCCGTGTGTCGAGGAGTAGCTACTGATTTTATGGTATCTGGTTTTATGATTGTTCTATGGATAGCTCATGAATCTGCGAATAGTTAATGTATTTGATTTGGTAAATATTGTTTCCCGCTTCGTGTTCTAGGAGATTTGCTTAGGAGATAGCTTCAGAACTCAGAGTCTAAGGCTTTGGGTGAAATCCTTCGATAAAGTGCGGCGCAGTTGCATGACTCAAATTAATAGAATTCTTTATTCTATCGCAAGGCCGGCTGCCCATCTCTTTCAAGGCCACAATTACCCTCTCTATACAAATTGCTTCCCTTCGAATAATTATCGCCACATAAAAAGAATACTCCTAGTGCAAATTTAACACAAGCAGCTATTCAACATGTATTGAAAATGACGTGAGCACATACTGACCCAAACCGCCAAGCCACATCAGATCCCTCGCAATCCCAGTTTCGGTATCTAGTTCCCTCGCCAACGCCGAACCAGAGACCCGAGTCACGCTGCCAAGATGCTCAAAGCCTCAACTCCTCATCAGGGCAAAGCCTGGGTGAGCAAGATCTTCACCCGGCACTGAGCACAGACAGGCACCCGCTGCTGGGCACCTTGCCCAAAAAGGAAACCAATATCTAATTAGCCAGGAAACGGACAAGGCTCCAGAGTCGCTCATCATCCGAGCACGCTAGTCGCTTATCATCCGAGCACGCTAGTCGCTTATCATCCGAGCACGCTAGTCCCAAAACAGATGCCAATATCAGATTGGCTGAGTGGATCCAGCCGGGCCGGAGATATCATGCTCATTGGCTGAGAGTTAAAATTAGCGTATTGAGGTAGATCCACCTGCAAGGGTCGTGTGGGGCTGGTAACGGTGTAAGTGTAACACGTCGGGGCCAAGGAATGGTCTAGGAAATGAGAGGATTAAGGTAGAAATACAACGTAGGATAGCTTATGCTTTGTTTATTTACAATATATAAACTGAATACGCCACCATTCCTTCGAAGGGGATTTGTTCTTTCTGCTTATTACTTGTTTTCACAGCTTATCTATTTTCAGCTGTTTATTTTCTATCCACACCCTCATACTATAAAAGCTAATTCTTGCGGACGCGCAAACAACAGCCAAAATGGTGATGCTTCGATTAGCAGCTGAGCAGTACCGCAAGCTGCCGATTCTGGTAGACCAGAAGACATGTATCGGCAAGACCTACATCATCACAGGCGGCAATTCCGGCCTTGGCCTCGAGACGGCAAAACATCTCGTCGCCGCATCAGCCGAGTGTGTCGTGCTGGCTGTGCGGAATCTCAAGGCGGGAGAAGCAGCCAAGAGTGAAATCGAGAAGACAACTAGCCGAAAGGGCGTTGTTCAGGTATGTTTTCTGCGAAATAATAAGGGTGATGTGCGAGACTGACCCCCCAAGGTACGACACATCGACATGTCGACATACGCGTCGGTGCAGAGTTTTGCGAAAAGCGTATCAGAAGAGATGGACCGGATCGACGGCCTCATCTGCAATGCTGGTATCATGATCGACGCATGGTCGCAGTTCGAGGGCATGGAGTCGAGTATTTTTGTCAACGTGGTCAACACCATCTTCCTGGGTGTTCTCATGATGCCCAAGCTGAAAGAGAGCGCGGCGAAATTCAACATCAAGCCTACTCTTGTCTTTATTGTCAGTGTCCTCGGGTATACGGTCCAGGCTGAGATGGACAAGAGCCGTAACGGTGGTGTTTTTGATGGACTGAATGACCAAAAGCGGGCGAATATGGATGCAAGGTGAGATCTTCTATCTACATTTACATTCCGCCAATCTTCCGGATGTACTACTAACATGTGCTAGATACGCCCTCACCAAGCTAGTGGAAGAGTGCGCCGTACGTCAATTCGCAGCGCTCTGCCCCGTCGAGCGCACAGGCGTAGTGATCACCATGGTCGCGCCCGGTCTCTGCAGCACAGGACTAGGCCGCGACGCCCGAACCTTCACCAAGATCATGCACGAGACAATCAAGGCGATGATGGCGCGATCTGCCGAAGTGGGCAGCCGAACCTTCCTGCACGGACTGGTCGTCGGTGAAGAAGGTCACGGTAAATTACTGTCTGGGTGCAAGATTAAGGAGTTCTGGGTGCCGACGTGGCTTACTGATCGCGAGGGCCAGAAACTGCAGAAGGATATTTGGGAGGAGCTGGTTGAGATGTTGGAGTCTGTACAGCCTGGTTGTATCGAGCAGTGCAAGTAGAGAACCTCGTTTTGCGTAATTAGTTTTAGTTTTTAAGTTGCGGACCGTTAGTTAATACCATCTTGTTAGACTATCTATTCATTACTATGGAATGTGGGAAATTGTTCCGGCCAGTTACATCAACTTAAGATCTTATCTAGCTTCTTTAATCACACAATGATAGTATTGTTTAAATAGAAATAATTGCTCTTTTTTGAATTTCCTAAGTGCCTCATTCAGCCAAGATGATAGTTTACTTAGTACCACCAAGCCCCTCAATCAGGCCCCTCACTGTCGTCTGAAGCTTTCAGAAGATGATATGGATAATATTATTTCTTGGTTTAGCTCTTCAAAGGAGATGCGCCGTATGCCATATGATAAAGTTATAAAAAGCCTTGATTGTACTCTCTATAGAAGGCTATGGGTCGCTGCTTGTCAGAGCTAATCGCTGGTCTCCTGAATATGAGGCCAATATGCCGGGCTATATACATTGTGCAGTGGCTTGCTTATGCACGCTTAGGTGATCCTCCGAGCCCAACAGCGAGTGTCTGTGATCATCTAATCCATAGCTACAATGATACCGCTGATCGTCGAGGCCGCTCTATGTAGTAATCAAGATGTTGAGTAAATCCTACCTTAGTATTGAATAGCGTTTTCATCCGGGGTGACCAGAGTACACTGTTTCTCACGGCCATCTCCAGCCAGGCCTAAACAATTTCGGCCAATTTGCCCACATGATTGGCTGCGCACCTGGCGCAGACGCTGCAGAGAGGGGCTATTCCTGGACGGTTTGCACTGTTCACTGGACAATTGCGGGGCCCATCGGGACTCACAATAATTTTATTTGATTGAGTGAGATGGTGTTCCTTCTGTATAATCAGGAATAGGCATGGAGTAGGGTTTCTATTATTATCATTATCCTTGTTACCCCTAATATGAATAGCGAGGCTGAGCAAGGCTGCAAGACATATGGCCTCAGCCTGGAGGATGTGATTATGATTGTTCGAGCGTGTTCGAGGGAAATTTTGCTGCAATGATTTGCTTAGGCCGCCAGCCTGTAGCTGACGGGAGGTAATATATAACCAACCTGGTCTGCACGGGTGAGATGATATCTAGTTCATTAACACCTTTACTACTTCTGATTAATATTTCACGACTGTCTTATAGACGGAGATTATTTTATATCTAGAGATGCCTCCTACTCGAGAAAGACGGTGGTGGACGAGTGAGGAAGATGACCTGCTCAGGAATGCAGTACAAGCACAATGTACCTAACCACCCCAGCCTCATGGTAGATACAATGCAATGATCAAGCTAACCAGTTGACACAGTATGCAGAGACGGCGGCGTCGTACCAAACTGGAACGATATTTCCTCATCATTAATTGGCCGTACCAACAAAGACTGCCGCAAGCGATGGTCAAAGGTGCAAGAGGATATTCAAAAAGGTGTATGGACACGAGATGAGGATGAGAGATTACAACATGCGGTGCAGCAGCTGGGGTTCAAGTATGTTATGACACTTCTGTGGGTGCTTGACTTTGCTGATTGTGTAGATGGTCTCGCGTGGCTACCATGGTGCGGAGTCGTAATGCGGACCGTAAGTTATACCGAATCGATTTAATTCAATGTACACTGACATGAGATGACAGAGTGTGCAAAACGCTGGCAACACGTTCTAAGACCCGACCTGAAGCACACGGAGTGGACGCCCGAAGAAGACGAGAAACTGTTAGCGGCTATCAAAACGTACGGCAACAACTGGAAGCAGATTAGTGTGTCTGTGTTGCCGGATCGTTCGAACCACGACATACGGAACCGGTGAGTCATCTTATTCATATCCAAAGAGCGCAAGCTGATCTCCTCTAGGAGCCTCCTTCTTGGCCGTAGAAGCCGGAGTAGAACCAACACCGGAGAACCCGCGCAACTACAGACGCCCATCTCAAATGACGAGATATTATGCGGAGATGAGAACGAAGACAGCCGTGATAGTAGTAGTAGCTCTGAGGGCGAAGGCGAATATATCGACAACCAAGATATCCTAGCTCTCCCGGATCTCGGTTTTGGGTCGTCACCCAGTATCACTGGCTTTCAACACTTTACCCCATTGACACCAGGTAGCGCTGGTAATATATTTGACCAGAGCTGGCTTGGACAATCAGAAAAAATGCAGCAGCAGGGACCAATGATGCCAGATAATGAGTGGCTTTCGCCCTGCAATCCGTTCGAGGGGGCATCAACTACGCCTGGTTCCGAGTTTCCGTGGTGGGACAACGCTGCAAATCAACACTATTTTCCTAGCGTGGTGCAGCCTAATACTAGAATACCAGGAAAAGCAGAGGACAGAAATGCTATGGACCGACTACATAATATCGACATTCACGGAATACATGGTGGCGATAATATCTTGGAGAAGCAGAAAGGAAGCGTCACCCTGACCTTGGATCAAGTAGATCCGAGTGTGGCCCATAGGATTATGGGCAGTATGCTGAAACACAGTGCTGGTCTCAAGGTTCAGTATATTATTAACAACAAATAAATGTTCACTAGATGATGATAGAAATGTCTGTATACATAAACGCATTAGATGAAAACTATACCATAACTACTATAAAATGAGGACATTCTTAGTAATTACGTAGTAGTGAATCTCAGAGCAGCAACTCGACCGGAGGAATTCCACCCAGTTCAAAATCTGACCATGAGGCACCAATGCTGACAGCCACTAGTGCCTCAATGTAGCACTGGAACTGGATCCTTGTTGCTGTTAGCAGCATGATCACTCACCGGACCCGAGTCAGGCCTCCTTATCGGAATATAATCAACGAGAGAGTATTATTACAGCCACAGACGGCTCTATCTAGCAACCTGCCTCCATTCATCAACCCATCACACAATGTCTATCTTCATCTCACCCAAGATCAGCCTAGATGCCATCGACACTAGCATCTGTACACTCCCAGATCTAGTCGATTTCCACGCCAAACACAATCCACAGCATCTATTCTGCATTCAAACAACACGAGATCACACCTTCGTATCAGTGAGCTATGAAAATCTACAACATGCCATCGTGCGCTGCCAGGCCAGACTCAGAGAGGAATATGGCCTTCATGCCCCTACAGTTGATGCAGATGGAAAATTAAAAAAATGCGCTCCGGTTGCTGTGTTGATGGAGAGCCATATCGGGCTGGTCATCTATGTACTGGCTTGCATGGGAATGGGCGTGCCGGTTATGCTTCTCTCGGCAAGGTTGAGTTCGGTTGCTGTGCGTCATTTGCTGCAAGAGACGGGTGCGGAGCTTGTTGTGGCTTCTCTGAGGTTACAGGGGCTCGCCTCTGAAGCCATATCTCCCTCAGAGGGGGGAACTGGAGCAACTATTCGTGTGGCAGATGAGTGGGAAGCACTTCTTCTTAAGGACACTACAGACCAAGGCCAATCCATGTGTGCTGCTGCGCATGCAGGCCATTTTGCGTCTGAAGAGGATCGCCAAGTTGTCATCCTCCATTCGTCTGGGACATCAGGACTCCCAAAGCCAATACCCTGCTCACACAGATATTTCCTGGGCTATGCGACATGTCATAGCTTTACTTTAGACGCTGAGGCACGCGGTCTGACCTTCTCGACACTGCCACTATTTCACGTTAGTTTCGACATGTGGTATTGAACATTGAATCTCGCTAACCATTCAACAGGGCTTTGGCTTCGTGGCAGTCTGTCTCTCGCTAGGGGCCGGAAAGACTGTGTGCATTCCGCCTCCGTCAATGGTTCCAAATGGAGCATCAGTTCTCGATCTCCTCCAACTGTCCGGTGCGAGCTCACTGTTAACTGTACCTTCCATGTTGGAGGAAATCGAAAGTCTACCAAACAATAAGGTGCATGAAGCTCTCGCTCAACTTGACTTTGTCGGCTTCGGGGGCGGCATGCCAAAAGAATCAGTTGGACAGAGACTAGGAACTGCCGGCGTCAGACTGATCGGCCAGTACGGCGCCACCGAGACAGGTCCAATGACACCATTCTTCACCCCGGGCGAGGGACACAATTGGCGAAGATTGCGATTGCGAAATGACATTCTCGGACCGCTTCAAGTCAGACTGGGTCGTGTTGACGCCGAAGTCCACTTCGCGTATAGGCTGAGCATGGTGCCGTTTGGCTGGAACCAGCGTTTCGAGCTGCAGGATCTCATCGTCACCGACACCGAGTACATTCCTGGGAGTGACATGTCACAGTTGGAATTTTCCATTGCTGGACGGACTGACGACCTGATATGCCTCGCGACAGGGGAGAAAGTTCGGCCGACGATTCTGGAGTCTCTGCTGAGACAGCAAGATGGGGTGAAAAACGCAACGGCATACGGGGAAGGTCAGTTCGAATTGGGCGTGATTATCGAGGCTGCTCATGAGCTCGATGTCAACGAGGTGGAGCATTTCAAGGCATCTATTTGGCCTGCGATTGAGGAGGCTGGTCGGCAGATGGATGCACATGCCAAAATCACCTCGCCGGCTGCTGTGTTAGTCGTGTCTCCAGGGCATCTTCCGATTTCAGACAAGGGAACTATCTTGCGGAAGGCAGTTGCGACGAAATACGCAGATGAGATAGCTGCTGTATACCGCAATCTGGAGGTGGCTGTCGCACCAGCACTAGATCTGTCGCTGCCATTAGCCAGCATCAGGGCTCTTGTGGCAGAAAGCACGGCGTGGCCAGTCTATGACGAGGATTGGCGAGACGAGGGCGACTTCTTTGCGCGAGGTATGGACAGTCTACAGGCAACGAAGCTGCGCAGATTGTTGAAAGGCTCGGTACGGGCAACACACTCTGCCTTTGGCTCGGAGTCCGGAAATCTTCTGCCAGTGGCCAATATTGCTGACGACTTTGTGTACCGCTATCCATCGATTGCCAGCCTCGTAGATGCACTTTTCCCCAAGAAAGCTACAACTAACGGAGTACTCACCGAGACCCAGCTATTTGACCAATTAGTCGATCAATATACCGTTCGAAAAGGCGACACACGAGACAAAGCCGTGGTGCTCACCGGCGCCACAGGTAGCTTGGGATCTTTCTTTCTTGGCCAGCTCCTTGCCGACTACTCCGTCAGTCGTATCATCTGTCTGAACAGATCTGGCAAAGGAGACGCACTGCAAGCTCAGAAACGCGCCCTCAGCTCTCGAAATATTTCATTTAGTGATGATTCCTGGGCCAAGGTCGACGTACATCAGACAAACACAGCAGCCCAATGGCTCGGACTGAACAAGGAAGACTACGAGAGTCTGGCAACGCAGACGACGCATATCGTGCACATGGCGTGGCCAATGAACTTTAAGATGGGCCTTGGGTCTTACGATGCCTCGTTCAAGACTCTGTGGAACCTGGTGGAGTTAGCGCGTACAGCTCGCTTTTATTATCCTACACGGAAGCCGAGATTGCTATTCATATCATCCATCTCGACGGTCGGCAATTATCCATCTCTCTCTGGGCAAAGGATAGTTCCTGAGATTATTCCTGATCACCCGGCTTCAACACTGGATCTAGGATACGCCAAGGCCAAGCTCGTATGTGAAAAGATGATTCAACGTGCAGCAAGTGATTATCCCGAGCTCGAAGCCGGAGTGGTCCGAGTCGGCCAGATAGCTGGAGCCAGAGGTGGTTACTGGAATCCCAACGAGCATTTCGTCGCCGTCTGCGCTTCCTCTAAGAAGCTGGGTAAATTCCCTGATCTACACGGCGTAAGTCCTCTATCCATACCTATCTTTACTTTCCTCACTAACATGCCCAGACATTAGCCTGGCTCCCCGTCGATTCCGCATCTCAGGCCCTCAGCGAGATTCTCTTCCACGAACAACCGCTGCAATTAGTTTACCATCTCGAGAACGCAATTCGACAGGGCTGGGAACATGTTGTCCCCCTGCTCTGCGAAGAATTGCAAATCCCGCACTCGTCTATTATCCCGCACAGCGAATGGTTAGATCATGTTGCGTCTGCACCGGGACCAGAGAATCCTGCTGTTAATCTGATTGATTTTCTTCGAAGCGACTTTTTGAAAATGTCCTGCGGGTCTGTTATTCTCAATACGAGTGTCTCGCGTGGTGCTAGTCGGACGATGGCGTGCATGGATCCGGTGGGAGATGATACTGTACGGGCGTATGTGAATTACTGGAGAAGCATCAGCCTGTTTAAGTAGCTGTGTACACAACTACAAAGAACTTGGAGATTTTCAAAGCTTCTTATATGCAATTCAATTGGTGATTTAAGAACTCATCTGTATATTGACTCTTTTAAACATATCACAAGCTCATATAGGTTCATCCGGCGTACTCGAGAATTGAATACAAACATGGTTTGAAAGGGAATCTAATCGGCATATTCCAGGTAATTATACCATCTATAAACATGATTTTATGTTTAATAATTTATATTACTAGATAGCACTGACTTTATCCAATGGCGGTAATACCCATGCAGTGCATTAGAATTAATTTTAGCGTATTTTGAGCCGGGTCATGGGTGTATTAGAATTAATTATTTACTTTTAATTCCATTCTATATAAATATTATCTTGATTCTATTCAAATTTTAATATATTATATTTTTACTACTAGATTATAAGTAGAGTGGGTAATAGCCAGGTCAGGCCAGGTTAAGGACCCTTACCTTAACCTGATTATTATACCTTAATCATAACCTGACTATTAACTACTAGTCAGGTTAAGATATAGTCTAATAGGCATATTCCAGGTAATAGTACCACCTATAAACATAGTTTAAAGATTTATAATTTATATTATCTGATAACACTGTCTCTTCTTAAATAAGAATATATTTTTCTAGAATTTTACTAGTACTATAATAACTACTAGAATATATTAAAATTATTAGACTAGAGATAGGCCTAATAAAAGATATTTTATAAAATTCTTAATTTAATTAATTTAAATTATATAAAATTCTAGAATAAAAAGTTATAAAATTCTTATATTTCCTGTTTCTTCTTTAACTTATAAAGTAAATCTAGTCTTAAATTATAATAATCTAGTTATTTCTTCTTAATAATCTAGTATTCTACTAATTTTAACTATTTTTTATAGATTTTTATAGCTAGTTAAAGTTATTAATCTAAAGAATAATTAGAATCTTATATATAAAAAATAAGAGATATATTACTAATAATTATTATTATTATTATTTAAGTTATTTACTTTAATTAAACTCTTATTTTAATTAGACTAGTTACTTTTATAATTTTTTATATATAAATATTACTTTTTTTCTTATTTAAATTATATAAGTAAGAAACTTTAATACTATTATTTTTTTCTTTAAATTAGATATTCTCTTATATTATAAAATTCTTTATATTATTTAAGTATCTTTTTATTCTCTTTTTTTCTTACTCTAAATCTTATTATAAGTAAATTATTATATATTACTTATTATAAATAATAATTATTAATATTAAGAAGAATTAAAAGTAAATATTATTAAGATAATTATTTCTTTACTTATTAATAAATATTTTTATAATAATAATAAGATATAAAAAGATAAGTATAATATAATTTAAGATAAATTACTTAAAGTCTTTTCTTAATAATTTTTATAATTTATTTTACTTAATAAATATTTATTAATTAAATATTAATTTATTATCTATTTATAAGAATATTCTATATTTATTTTTATTAAGTTATCTATTAGGGTATTAGGGGGTCAGGGTCATTAGGGTCATTAGGGTCATTAGGGTCAGGTCATTAGGGTCATTAGGGTCATTAGGGTCATTAG